AGGGAATGAGAGCCGCTGTACCCCTGCTTCAGTTCTGTCCTTTGGCTGGCTGGCAACGAGCAAAGTGTTTATTAACTTTGGCTGTTTGATCCACTTTGCCAGGCAGCTGCTCCCCATCGCCCCCCACTCCCTGTACTACCCCCCCCCCCAATGCTAGTTGTCTGCTGCCAGGATCCAAGGATCCCAAGGATGTTTGCCATGTGGTGGCAGCTACCCACAAAAAGTGCTGCATACAAACGGGCGCACAAACGCACCAAATGAACGAAGCCGGGCAACTGAATGAATGCATGCGCTAAGGGGGGATGGGAAGGGGATGGCCAGGAGCAGGGACAGGGGCACCGAGAGCGGATAATTCAAATGTAATTTACAAAAGCACTCGTTTGATTTGTTACTTGTGCCTTCACCGCCTCCCTCCGCTCATCGCCGCTAGCCGTTAGCTGCATCTGCATCTGCATTCGCCGTCAGAGCAGGAGGTGCAGGAGCTGCTGGTGCTCGTGGTTCAGTAAATTAGTTGGTCCTGGTGAAGCCAAAGAAACGGGGGAGCTCCTGGCTAACAAGCCGAAACCCGAAAGACCAAATAAAAACACTAAACTCAATAAAAAACCAATGGAAATCCGACCCTTGGGCTGATGAAAGTTGGATACCCTTAGGGACTGTTTGAGTAAGTTTTTATAAAGTTAGGGAATTCTCAAAGGACTCTTGCAAAAATTGAAATCAAGCTAAAAAAAACCCAACAGACATGATTTAACAATGTAGTTGGAATTTCTTTTACTGATATAAATAGAGATTCAATTAAGCATTACCACAAATAATAATAGAGTACTATTATTTGCTCATATATATTATATTTATTTCATTAGTAATCCACCTTTATACCCTTAAATAAAACCCTTCTGTGGGAGTTGGAGTGGAGGCGATTCATCCTTTCTTTTTTTGGGGGACCCTCCATCGTCGAGTGCTGTGGAAAAACAAATACTTTCCCTGAGTTAGGTCCATCTTTGGCTTTCTATTATTTGAATTGAATTATCTAACTAATTGGATCGGGTCCGGAGCTAACACTGAAACTCAACTAATTAGCCGCACACAAATTATAACCACATTTATGCGTAGATATACACTGATATCCGAATGGCCAAAGTCAAATCTTGAATCCAGACCTGACACGCCCCGCCTTTAATTGCCAGGGGATTAAATTAATGCAAAGACAAATGCAGATAGTGGCTATATGGCTATATCAATGAACAGTTTAACTTGTTTTAGTTCGCACATTAGTCTGACCCCAGATCCCCAGGCTCCCCTCGAGTCCAGGACGTTTTGAATCCAACTTTCCTAATCCTTTTGCCAGCCGACACGTACAACAAATTAACTAAATTAATGGCATTTATTTGGCTGAATAAAAGCGAAATGAGAGATAACTGCACCAAGTCCCCGAAATACTGTGATTGACGGTATGGTTATGGTATTGGAAATGGGAAAAACGATTTTTTCGACTAAACTTATAATACCATTCTTTGAGTTGATATTTATTATATTTTTTTTATATGCTAATTTTGTCTATAAATCAAATATTAAAAATCTCATAACTAAGCCAAAAATGCATTAATTTTAATTCGGAAACCTTTCCTATGCTAGTTTTTATTAGGTTAACAAAACTGCATACTCAATTTAAAATGAAAAATTTGGTCGATTTTTGACAATTTTAATGATTTTTTATTTTATCTTTATTTATCTTTTTTTGCAAAAATCGAAAAAATTTTCAAAAAATTTGTTTCAAGCGGACATAGCTAGATCGATTCAGCTGTTGATGCTGATCAAGAATATATATGATTTATGGGGTCGGAAATGACTCCTTCACAGTTTTACATACTTCTGACTAAAATTATATTCCATTCTTTGAGTCGATATTTATCTATATTTTATATGCCAATTTTGTCTATAAATCAAGATTTAAAAATCTCATAGCTAAGCCAAAAATGCATTAAATACAATTCAAATTGACAATATCGATGTATCGATGTTTCCTAAAGCAGCGGTATTTTAATTTCAGTATTTCTTTAGAATGATTTAAAGCTCTTACGGTCCCACCGCTGAAAGCTTGTCAGTCTTATGCTCTGGTCACACTGCTGCCACTAGCGACGGTCGAAAAAGAGAAAGAAAACAGCAATTAAAATTAACAACCAAAACCGCATTAAAAACAGCAGCCAACATGGATGTGGAAAGCCCCGAGCACACGCGCGAGTTCGCCGAGGTGGATATCAACAACGGGGAGGCGTCGGCGTCCGAAGACGAGGAGGAGGAGGTGCCAGCACCCAGCAGTGATCGGGATCTGTTCGTTTCGGCCCTGAGTCCCAGCAGCATCGGAGATGTGCACGTAAGTAGCACGGGTGGCTGGATGAGCTCAATCACAACAGGATGCTTATTCAATTAGCTCTAATTTCGGGGCGGCGCTCGCTCTTTATCAGCGTTGTCGACGACTGTTGCTTCGCTTTGTTTGGCTTTTGGGCGGCGACGTCACGAGTGCCGCCCCCAAGCCAGCGGAGAACCTTGTTGCTTATCCACTTAAGCTGTACTTTCTCTCTCTCCCTCTTCCTTCCAGCCACTGCAGGAGGTACTTACCGACGATGGAGACTACTTCATCAGCATCGTGGTGTCTGACCCGCAGAAAATTGGCGACGGAATGGGATCCTATTTAGCGTACAAGTGAGTCATCATGTGGGGTATTCTTATCATAGAACAAGCATATTATTGACACGATTCATTCGGCTTATCGCGGCCGCTTTTAGGGTGACGACCAAGACGAATATCCCCAAGTTCAAGCGGACTGAGTTCAGCTCGATGCGTCGCTTCAGCGATTTCTTGGGCATACACGACCTACTGGTGGGCAAGTACATGCGGCTGGGTCGTATCATTCCCCCGGCACCGTCCAAGAACATCATTGGCAGCACAAAGGTGAAGATTAGCCCCCAGCAGACCGAACCGGGCACACCGATGAACCAGGAGTGGGTCGAAATCCGACGAGCTGCTCTGGAGCGGTTTGTGCACCGCACCGCCCAGCATCCGGTGCTGCGCGTTGACCTGGACTTTATGAACTTCCTGGAGAGCGACCAGGAACTGCCGCGCTCGGTTAATACCTCCGCTCTGAGCGGAGCCGGCGTGATCAGATTGTTTAACAAAGTGGGCGAGACCGTAAATAAGATAACCTACAAGATGGATGAGAACGATCCCTGGTTTGACGACAAGATCACTGAAGTGGAGAGCCTCGATGCCAATCTACAGAAGTTGCACAATGCCATGAAATCCCTGGTCACTTCACGGCGCGAGCTATCGCTGCTGACGGGTCTAGTGGCCAAGTCGGCGGCCATGCTGAGCACCTGCGAGGAGCACACAGGCCTATCGCGGGCGCTGTCCAACCTGGCGGACGTTGAAGAGAAGATCGAGCTGCTGCGCTCCGAGCAAGCCAACTCGGACTTTTTCATTCTGGCAGAGTTCATCAAGGACTACCTGGGCCTGTTTGGGGCCATCAAGTGCATTTTCCACGAGCGCGTCAAGGCCTTCCAGAACTGGCAGTACGCACAGATGCAGTTGTCTAAGCGGCGTGAGAATAGGGGCCGCTTCGAGCTGGCCAACCGGGCGGATAAGCTGGACCAGGCTCAGCAGGAAGTGGACGAGGTGAGTTTTGGTCAAAAGTATAGTTATCCGATTTATAGTTAATTCCACAATTCCAAAATTCCAGTGGCAAGGCAAGGTGCAGCGCTGTCAGCAGCAGTTTGACGACATTTCGGCGGAAATAAAGCGTGAAATGGAGCGTTTTGAATTGACCAGAGTGAAAGACTTTAAGGTGAACATCATCAAGTACATAGAAGACCAAATGGCGCATCAGCAACAGGTGCGTACACATATTGCGCATATATAAGGCTAAGCGGGTCAGTGAACGCCTCTTTTTTTTCTTTTATTTCAGATCGTCAGCTACTGGGAGGCATTTGCTCCGTTTGCCCGCGAAATTGTTTAACTTTAGCTTCAGCTGATTCTCAATGCATTTCCAATAGATATTTCAACAGCTATGCGCGCTAAGAACTTATTATTCAGCGGGACCAAATTCGTTCTTGATCTACAGTTTTGGAGCTACAAAAATGTATTGCCTTTAGCACTTATCTTGCAATTGCCGCCACTGCTCGTATTTCCATGAAGAACTTGCTCTTTGATTCCCTCTCTCCCTCGAGCATTGAAAATGTTCAACTTTATCGCTGCATTTACACAAGCGCAGCGCAACTCTCTTTATTCCACACAAAACGCAGTAATTATTATCAAGGCTCGTATACATTCAAAGGAAGCTTAACGTTCGTGGCTGCACATTCTCATTCTAAGCATTATATATTCGGTATTATCAAAATCGCGGCAATGTGGTTCTAATAGATGTATGAAACTGAAGAAATTGAAGACTCATTGGCCATTTCCAAATTGAAGTTTATACCTAATAATCGTGATTACTGTTGGTATATATTTATGTATTTATATATATATATTCCTATTAAAACATTTTGTATCATGACAAACGAGAGCATTCCAACAATAAATTTGTAAATATGTATAGATGTAAATAGTTGTACATAGATTGTTTTTTATTATATTAGATCGATTATTATTATTATTAGTTAGAACAATTCAGCTGTTGATGCCGATCAAGAATATATTTTATTTGTAGGGTCCGGAACAAGCTTCTGGCTAAGAAATGTGTTTGAGTGAAAATACTGGCTTGCACCAAAGTAGTCTCCCTCTTTGGCCTACAACAACCATTCTTCTACAACAACAATAGTATTGCTAAGTAGTAATTCTCATAAATTATCTCAATTTTGAGTAGCTGGCAAATTCTGAGTTGGAGAGTGAATATGAATTGATGTGAGTTGAGTGAAATTCAAATAAATTATCGATTTAAGTGTGACCATCTACAGTTTTGGGAAAATGTCTATAGCAGTGTGGCTAGCCCCTTAAAAAAATGTATCATCTTTTTTGCGCTCAAATAATAAGTGTTTAGTCATTTTCGTCCAAATCGGGCTTGTTCTCGAAGTTTTCCATTTAAACAGGGAATAAAAGAGGCCTTAATCTTTTGGTAGAGCTTAATTCCAAGACAACAGCACACAAACAAGTACCATGGAGTTTCCACATCTGGGGCAGAACTGCAGCGAGCCAACCTGTAACAGACTGGGTAAGACGCAAAAAAGCAAGATTTCACAACCAGGAAACAAATATCAACTAATTAAATTAATTTTGCATCTATTTAGATTTCCTGCCAGTGAAGTGCGACTCGTGCGACAAGGTCTTCTGCGCCTCTCACTACAGCTACGAGCGCCACAACTGCCCGGGAGCGTACAAAAAGAACGTCCAGGTTCCCATCTGTCCGCTCTGCCGTGAACCTGTGCCCACGCCGCCCGGAGTGGAGCCAGATGTCACCGTGGGCCAGCACATCGATCAGCAGTGCAAGTCGGATAGTAAGAAGATATACACGAATCGCTGCCATGCCAAGGGCTGCAAGCGCAAGGAGCTCATCCCCGTAAAGTGTTCATCATGCCATTTGAATTTCTGTCTACGTCATCGGCATACGAGCGACCACGACTGCCAGCCAGCGAGTATCCCAGCCCCAGCTACATCATCCAGTACCGGAGGTTGGCAGTCAATTTTCAAGTCCTCGGACACACGCTCAATGGCTGCCCAGGCGGCGGAGAAACGCAGACAAAACAAGCCGACAGCGAGCACCGTTGGTGCCTCGAATACCCGGCCGAGAGCCGCAGCAGCAGCATCGCAGGCCACACAAGTACAAACGATACAAGGAAATATGGTAGGTGGCTTCAAAATATGGTTTCTTGCCTTCCAATAGTTTCTTAAGGATCTAGATTGTTCTAGAAATATCTAATGATCATTTAACCATTTGTTTTAGAGCGAAGACGAAGCACTTGCTCGAGCCCTAGCTTTATCAATCATGGAACAGGATGACGCTGCGGAACGGAACCGGCAGCAGCAGCCCCAAAGTCAAAACAATGCCCAACAGGTTACTGTGGGCGGCAGTCAGCAGGGAAATGCCAAGGACAAGTGCCTGCTGTCTTAGTTTACAACAGCTGCCACCTCAACTTCGACATATCCCCCACTTGACCAACTATTAGCTCTTAGTTAAACAAACAAAAGCAAGCGTTCTGTTATTTATAATATTTTGTTGGTAATTTACTTTGACTTCGTCACATTCTACGTGGTTTAGCAAAAATAAATCGATGTTAAGTCTACATTTTTGGAAAGAATATATAGCGAGCTGTATTCCACGCGACTGATCTTTGTTGGGATATAAGGAAACGATCTCTAGGAGCTTAAATATGATACATAAATAGATACACGAATACGGTTATAGGGGATACATTGCAAATTATTCCGAAATGGCCTGCGTCGGTGTGGACATCTCCTCCACTATCTTCTCTGGTGGTGTGCCTTCAGCAGGCACTACTTCAACCTGGACTTTCTCGATTTCCGCCAGTTGTGACTTGTTTGAGAGCTGAGTGCTAAGCTTTCTGCTCGCCGTGGTGCCGCCATCCACCGAGGACGAGGTGCTGATTTTCCTGGCAGCCGCTGCAAAGCTGGCCACACCCTCGGCAGCCAAAATACTGGCACTGGAGAGCAATATGGACACTTGCTCGGCCGATGGACAACTCGTAATGATCATATCATCGGTCGAGTACCCATTCGTAGTCAATAGTTGTTCCAGCTTCACAAAGGACTGAATGATGTTGTTCTGAAAAGGACAAATCAAGCTTAAGTATACAACAAGCTAATACAGAAAACCTTCAATACTTACTCTAATAGGTCGAAAGATAATGAATTCCGTATCACGATTGCTTAGATATAGTTGCATTGCACGCTGGAGAACTGCCAACTTAGCCTTGATCAGGCGCTGCGTCTCCTGGATAATGCTGCTGATTTGCTGCGGACTTGCCCAGGGACTTTGCCTCAAAGCATAGCTGGGCTTTGTGGATTCCGGCGACTGTGTTGCTTGCGCCAACAGAGACTGTGCCTTGTCCAGGAATGTTACCAGCGGACCCACTAGCATGTGAACCGCATCCTTGATGTACCGCTCGCACACTGTCTTCAATTGACGGTCCACTTCCTTGCGCGAGTCCAGCAAGTGCTCCTTTATCTGCGGTGTGCCTTCCAATAAGAACTCCAGCAGTGCATTGTTGCTGCCCATGGAGAAAAGCTGCTTGCGCTTCTGCAGCAGTCCAAAAGCAGCCGTCTTGACTTTACTGAAGTCCAGAGACGTCTCCTTCACAGTAAAGTCTACACGGAACGGAGCTATCTGTTCCCTAAGTATGAGTAGATGCTTAATCTCAAACAGTTCTCCATCGATGGGCGTCTTGGAGGCAGCGATCTTCCCGGCCGCATGCGAAACACTCTGGATACACAGCTTAAGAGCTTCTTGCGAGAGTCCTTGGAAAATAGGTCGATCCACGCAGCGATACAGCCGAGAGAGACAGACCAGAGTGCGGCGTACCGTTGGATACCACATGCCATGCAGGTCGGCTGGGGAATCTATGCAAAAAGAATTAGTTTTTTTCTCTTGAGTTGCTATTCTTTGATAGCTTACTCATCTGTTTGAACCTGTATGCCGTGTCCACGCTTTCCGTCTCTACGGCACTCGATACAGTAGATATCATGGAGCCGCGCGAGTCAGACCGTCGCAATGGAGCAGGTTCTTGTAGGGACAAGGCAATGCTCTGTAGGGATAGGGAAAGAGGGATAAATCAATAATAAAGAAACGGAAAGCTTTGGCAATTCGCAGTTACCTCCATCATTTCTAGCTTCTCAGGATAGGCCAGGTCTCCAGATGAGGGGTTGAAGTTCTGAATATCCGATTGCAGATACAAGTGAGCCCGGAAAACCAAACGCTCCTGCACATCCTGCAGCAGTTGGTGTGCAATAGTGGCAAAGGCCTCCAAGGCGGCAGCTGCTCCAAAAAAACTTAATATAATTAAAATTTTAATACCGAATTGTGATATTCAACATACGATTTTGCTGGACATGCTCCTCTAGCATTTCTATTCGCAATATAGAGCAGATCTCTGCCAAGGTTTCCAGGTGATTGATGTGAATGATAAAGGGTCGCATTGTGTCGTAAAGTATAGTGCATAATCCCTCCAAATAAACCCTAGAAATATAGATTAGGTTAATGCCAGATCCATGCCCATGTCTCGGGATAAACTCACGTTAAGTGTGTAGCACCTGTGCTGAAGAACTGGTAGAACAAACGCTGCTCGTCCTGGCACACATGAACGAGAAATGCACAGGCACTCCGGGTGAGCGAGCAGTGATCGCCCTTGTGCGCCACCTTTACGTTTTGAATGGACAGATTCACAGCCGGTGACATCACACTCGCCCGCTGAGCCAGATAGTGCTGCTGTAGATCCGCCATTAGCTGACCGTACTCGTTGCTGTGCTCCGCCCGGGATTCTATCAACTGGGACACTCGTTTCACCTTTGCCGCTGCGGTTTGATACTTGCCATAGTAGAGGGCAAAGGCTGCATCGGGCGCCTCTGGCAGATTGTTCTTGGGATGCAGGGTGGCCTCCGTGGCCTGATTGATCACACTGGTCACATAGTTGCGCACTAGTCCCGAGGCCTTGGCCAGGCATTGCTTGTACTTAACGTTATAGGCGGCAGCGTCTTTGAAATTGGGCTGAATGTAGGGCTAATTTAGATATGAACCATAAAAGATAAGGCCAACTACTTACATTCTCCTCGATGTATCTCAGGCAATCGTCGATCTTATTGAGGCACTCCCGGAAAGCTTCACTGGCCACCGACAGCGTGGGACTCTGCAACCTCTGGTTGAGCAGCTCCACCTGGCTGAAGTAGTGCAACCGTCGTTGGATCTCGTTGCTCAGCTCCTGGAGCTTCTCCTGCTCCTCGATCAACTGTTCGCTAGCCGTATTTAAAGCACTTGTCTTCTGCGACACAAAGTCATATTCATCACAGAGAGCGCCTAGCCGCTCCATAGCCACGGCGATCTGGCCAAGCATGTGGGAGCATTCTGCCTTGCGCTGCTCCAGCTGCTGGAGGTATTTGTGGTAATCGGCATCGCCACGCTGCTCGATCTCGGCGCTGACGTCAGCGAACCAGAGCAGGAAGTCATTGGTGTTCTGCAGCCCACCCGCGGGCAGTTCGATGTCCTCCCCGCTGCTCTGGGAAGCAGACGTGGCCTCAGGATCCCCACTCGTTGTGGTAGGTGGGGTGAGAGCTGCAGCCTGTAGGGAAATTGGGAGCACATTATTTGGCAAGCTGCCCGCAAAGGATACTTTACTTACCGATGGCCCACTGTCACGCCACAAGTTGGTAAGGACGTCCAAGTGCTCCTCCTGCTGGACACTTAGCGCCGCCAACGGATCCGTTTTGGATTCCCACTGCATCAGGCGATTGCGAATTTTTCGCAAGTTCTCATTCTCGCTCTGTGCCGCGGCGACGTCATCCCTGGTGGCCAGAACTCGGTCGGGTTGCATTTTTTTCGGAATAATTATAACAAATTATCTGAAAAGAACAACTGCAACGTAAACAAGTTTGATCAGCTGGCGTGGAGTGTGGCTGCCGCTCTTTCCAGCCAGAAAGGTATAGCGCCTCTTAGAAGTAAACTTTGGTCACACTCAAACTGAATTTTATTACTAATCCTTATTTTCAAATAAAGAAAATCCTTTCACTGGGTATGTAGTTGGCCCATGGGTTGCTTTTTGTCCTGTAGCATCAGCGAAATTCTCAAATAGTTCTCCCATCTAGAAAACGTTTTCCGCTGGAAGAAGCCGAGTTTACAGCACTTATTGAATTCAAGTGTTTACCAACACTGGCCCCTCGGAAAGTTTATTTTGCTTTTGCGAATTTCGACCAACTTTTTCGCGTTAAATACAGATCACCATGGCCCCACAGCCGGTGGTAACGGGACTGTCCCCAAAAGAGGGACCTCCTGGCACCCGAGTCATTATACGCGGCGAATTCCTGGGCACCCGAGTCCAGGATTTAATTGGTAGGCGTAGTCTTCAAACACCGCCTCCGTCATCACAGTAAATTTTTCAATTCGCTTTTAGGCCTGAAGATCTGCGGCTCTGACTGTCTGCTATCAGCAGAATGGAAGTCTCCCAACAAGATCATAGCGCGCACGGGTCCAGCGAAGGGGAAGGGCGACATCATAGTGACCACTTTGAGTGGCGGAGTGGGTACGTCAACGGTGCAGTTCCGCGCCTATCATGAGACTATCGGTCCACTGAAGGAGTCGGCCGTGTGGATCGAGGAGTCGCCATCACAGAACTTTGCCTGGGGTCGGCGCACCTTGGCCCAATCGGGACTGACGCAGGAGGATCCGCTGGGCCTGTCCATTGAGGGCAACGAGCAAAAGATACCGGAGGACTTACGTGATCTGTTTCCTGACGCCTGCGGCGATCTGTCGCAGGAGCACTTTTCGCCGTCCTGGTTCCTGCTGGAGAATCATCTGGCCACCTCGTTCGAGGACCTTAAGGCGGGCCTGGCTTATCTGAAGCGCAAGGTGGAGAGTCAGAAGGAGGGACAGCTGTCGTTCCTTAAGTCCAATGCGGGATCTGTCATCGATCAGCTGGATACGTTGATGAACATTAGGGACAAGCTGCAAGAGGATGTTAAGCTACACGGGAATGAACAACTGAATGTTCTAGAGGCATCTATAGAAAGTGAGTTAGCCCATTCCTGGCGAGAATAAGGTTGTGAAGTGTTTGTTTTCATTGCAGACTCCATCAGCGAGTCACAGAAGATTTTTACGGATGTGCTCGTGCGGAAGGAGAAGGCCGATTCCACGCGCTCTGTGCTGTTCGCTCTGTCACGGCACAAGTTCCTCTTTTGCCTGCCCAACTCGGTGGATCGTCGGGCCAAGACAGGCGAATACGACATTGTGGTCAACGACTATTCCCGCGCCAAGAACCTCTTTGGCAAAACGGAAATTCCCATCTTCCGCAAGGTGCTCGAGGAGGTAGACCACCGCATACTATCCATAAGGAAGCAGCTGCACGAGAAGGTTGTGAAGATGCCACAGAGTGTGGAGCAGCAGAAGAAGTTGATCAAGGCTTTGACCAGCCTGGAGTTGCAGCAGAGTGGGACGCCTATTGGCGATAAGCTGCGGAATATCGATCCAGCGTGGGATGCCATCGAGGCCAGGGCCAAGTATTTGGAGGCCACCTTTCGGCAGACATTCGAGCAGCACGCCAGCAAGGAAACAACGAGTGGACAGGAAAAGTCCAAGAGCAGGGATCCCAGTCAGACGCCTAGCCGAGTGAACTTCTGCGAGGAACTGTGCGACATTGCCGCCTCCCAGCTGCCGGACTTGTGGCGCCTGGGTCAGCTGTACTTCACCGGGGAACTTCGAGGTCCCCATGATCCCAAGCCGGGTGACTTCAAGCGAATGGTGCTGACTGCCATTGAGAAGTTCTGCGTTTATTTGCGGCTGGCCATCCTAATTGCTGCCGATCAGCGGGCCCTGCGCCAGACTAGCGGCCTGTCCTGGCCCATTGGCTCTGCTTCGGCCACACATCAGTTTTTGCCCTGGATTCCGCAGTGTCTGCGCTACACGAGGATTGCCTATGCCTCACTCATCAGCCTGGATTTGCCCTCGGAGGCACTGGATATCATACAGAAACTTATCGACGAGGTTCGTCTCTTCTGCTTCTCGATCATCTTCAAGCGAGCCACAGATCGCTGCAAGAAGCTGAGCACTCACGAGACCTGGGAGCTGGGCGTTGAGGAGTATCCAGGCGCCACCCTTCTTCCGGCCGCACTTGAAGCACTCCTTATCGAAACGCTGGACGAAGTGCAGACGGTGTGCATGCAACCAGAGGCACGTGAGGGCAATCTACTGGAGCCGCAGTCCGATGGCCAGCGAGAGGTGACGCAGCGCCTGCAGGAGTTCCTTTCCGCCTTTAGCGGTGTCATCGAGGAGTTAGCCTTTCACTCCCACGACGAGGAGACGCCCACGCACAATGTGTCGCAGTTGCTGGGATTCCCGAATGCCCAACAGCCTGATTCGGTGGCTGGAAGTGGAGGAGTAGGCGGTGGCGCGGCAGCTGTCACCTGGGAGCAGCGCATGCTCTGCTGCCTGGCCAACTATGCGTACTGCAACAAGAGCTTCTTCCAGCATCTCGGTGAGATCTTCGTGCGCTACGGGTACCCACTGCCCACACTGGCCATTGAAACGGCCAGGTACACGGTAAACCAGCTGTTTACCAACCTGCTGGAGGAGTACGTGGAGCACAAGGGCGACCCGCTGGTGGGCACAATTGAACCCTCCATGTACCTGGGTCGATTTCAATGGGATCATGAGATGGAGATCGGTCAGCTGCGGCCATATGCCCACGAATGCTGCGATAATCTTGTTGGGGTCTACTCCGAGATTTACAGCATATCGCCAGCCCTGTTGCGACCGATCCTTGAGTCGATTGTGCAGACAATATCCGAGGAGCTCGCCCGCCTGATGAGCTGTGTCCAGCGGTTTAGCTTTACGGGAGCGATTCAGGCGCATGTGGACATACGCTTGCTGAGGGACGCCCTGGAAGGATATGTCAATGAGACGGCCAAGTAAGTTAATCATTGAGAGTCAGGAAGGGATAAAAAATTATATTTTTTGCCCCAGGAACTATTTCATGGAGGCACTGGAGGCCATTAATCCCCCACTGAGTGGTGAGCAGAAGCGCAAAGCGGACGAGATCCTGGAGCGGGTGAAGCGGAATATGCGGCTGCAGCTGCTCTGTTTCGGCGTCAAGGATCCCTAGGCACATTCCACTGCCAACTGTTAGATATATAGCCTTAACGATAATAGCTTGTGATGACTCCCGATCTTCTGGGATAAAGATAAACCTTTATTGCAAACACTCTCTCTCTCTTGTTCTCTAGCTTAGAACCCCAACAGCTTCGGATCGAAGGTGAATTCGCTGCCCTCTTCCTCGTACTTCTGAGCCATCAGCTTGATGACCTGCTCCACATCGATGGCATTGAACTTCTCCTGCACGCGCTGCTTAATCGGGTTCTCAATGGCGTCCATGATCTGGTAGCGCAACAGATTGGGTATCACGTTCACCAGGAACTCCATGATGTAGTCCAAGGTGCCAGCTCCGTCGCAACGCACCTGGATATTGCCCATGTCGAACTGCAGATCGGTGACCTGTGCCCGCTTACGCGTATCCATGGACTGGCTTATGCCGACCGTGGCACGGATGTGCTGCACGGTGAACTGGACATGTCCCACGCGTGTCATCATGCCCAGGCCTACCTCCCACTGGCCGGCGCCTGTTATCTGCTGAGTGCCCAGCTGCAGGAGAACCGACACCGTCTTGTTGGCCATGCCGGCGGTGATGTTGCCAACGCGATAGAAACTCGAGACGCCGTTGATCCAGGTGTGGGCCAGCTGGACACTGAACACGCCCATCGTGCGATTCATATCGGGCAAATGGTACGGGTCGTAACCCTTCTGGCGCACTATCTTTCGGCCCATGGCGATGGCGCTGTCCAGCGGTGTGATGGAGTTGGGCAGCTTGCGGTCACCAAGCGACGTTTGGATCATATTAGCAATCTCCAGGCGCATCTTTTTCTCCGCCTCCTGGAGCATGAACGGCTTCATGGCGTCGAACACTAGATTGGGAGCTGAGTTAACCACGCTCTGGAAAACTGAGCCCAGGAAACCGAGGTTCTGGAAGTCCATGGCCATGTCGGCGAAGGTAATGTCGATCCTGACGCGGTCCGTGTCCAAGTGGCCGTCGCGTTCGACCGCCAAGTAGGCCGTTGCCTCTGCATAGACTTTTTTCAGGAGCACGGTGAAGGGTCCTTTGGTCTTCGAAAAGAAGGTGGCAAGCTCATAATTGCCCTTGCACAGCATCTCATCCAATTGAAGGCCACCATTGATCTGTGGAGTATTATTTAATTTAAATTTAAAAAATATATTTCTTTAATTAGAAACTGTAGCAGACTCACCTTCAGTTCCTTCAAGTCCAAGTTCAGTTTGTCGATGCGGAACTTGGACAAACCGTGGGCCTTCACATCCTTCATCACCAATGTGCCCATTCCCAGGCTCTTCTTAACATCGGGGACCTCCATGGGATCGGGAATGGGCACGCCGGGCAGGCCCGTCGGATCCTCCTGCTGGAAATGCTCCAGCATGGCTTCAACCTGCGCAGCAATACGAACCTTGCTGGCTTCAATGTTATCTGCGTCATTTGGATCGCCCGCTTCCTGTTCGACGGCGTCTGCTCAAAGGTCGTGGAGTGAACTTCCCGTTTTAGGGCTTACAATTTGGTCGTATCTCCCACTCACCATCGACAGCATCCTGGGCATGGGCAAGGTGGCAGCTACTCGTCAGCATTCCCACGAGTACGATCACTATCAGCGGCTTCATCTTGCCCGGGTTTAGGTTGAACTTCTGCTTATCAGTGTGGCAAAAACAAGGGGAACGGAACGCGCCAGCCTCTCCGCTGTGGATTCTGGGAACTCTACTCTCGACTCGGGACAAACACGCACTGAGGACCGACAACTGCCGCCGTCGCGTTAATCAAGAGATAATGATGAGCAAGCAACAGCAGGCGACGGCAGCAGCGGCGTTTCGTGGCTTATCTAAGGGCGACCATTCTCGTGGATCCGCTGATTAAACTCGGAATTGAGAATGAATGAGTGACTTGGCTTGAGCTAAGACACTCCGGGATTTTATTTCGTATGCAAATAACTCATGACTGAATCTACAGAGATGTTATACCCTTGCAGGTTGTTATAATTTTAGTCAGAAGCTTTCAAAGCAGTGAAGGAGTCATTTCCGACCCTATAAATGATATATATTATTGATCAGCATGAACAGGAGAATCGATCTAGCTATGTTTGGCGGAAATTAATTTTTTTCAAGATTTTTAAAATTTTTATAAGGGGTTACATCGTTAAAATTGTCAAAAATTGCAAAAAATTTAAATGTTTTAAAAATGTAAATTAAGTATGCAGATTTAAAAATCTAATAAAAACAAAGATGGGAATGGTTTCCAAATTAAAATTAATGCATTTTTGGCTTAGTTATGAGTTTTTTTAAATTTGATTTATAGACAAAATCGTCATATAAAATATAGATAAATATCACCTTAAAGATGGGTATTATAAGTTAAGTCAAAAGCTTGTAAAACTTTGAAGGAGTCATTTCCGACCCCATAAATCATCAAATATTGATTCAAATAATATTTCTGCTTAGTTATGATCCTATAATTCAATTACAAACTGCAAGGGTATATAAACTTCGGATTCCCGAAGATAGTTTCTGTTCTTGTTAAAAGTTAAAATAAATAATGCTGTAGTTGCTGTAACTTTTTATAATGCTTTAAGTTAATAATCTCAAAAAGGCTTCCACCTAAAATGAAACAATTAAAAATCACATAACAAATGGTGGAAAAGTATGCATTGAAGAATTTTAGATACTTTCGCATATTATTCCTAACCATTATGTTATTCCCATAAAACGAAAACCTCGTTAAAAAATCTTTTAAAAATACATTTGGAATATCAATGCATATATTTATGTATCTTTTTTACATATTTTATATTGTTGCCTATATAGTATATGGCTTTGTTTTTAATTTTCCTTATAAAAGGTTCACGTGCTCAAAAAAAATGTTCATGCTCAAAAAAAGTTTCTTAACCTATTCAAAAAAATTGTCTTAGCTTAAAGGAGATGTCTGGTTATCTTTTTATCTCACAGTAACCGCATTCTGAGCAAAGCATTCAAAGATTTCCTTACATTTCGTTGTTCGTTAAACGAGAAAGAAGAAAAAAAGGTATGACTATTGCTTTGCCCTTATTTAAGCTTAAGAAAAGATTTATCGCCTGCGGCAGCTGCAGAAATTGCTTTACATATTTAGTCAGTATGTAACTTTCCTTGCTTAATTGTACACGAATAATTGCTTAAGGTTTCCGTTTCGTGGAAACATTGGCTTGGTGTTTACAAAAAGTCTGGAAAATCCTCATGTAGAATGCCCCTAAAAGATATTTGGGATTTGATTTGTGAGTTTGGTTGAGTACAAACGAACTACATAGATGAAAATAAATACATTACATGTACATAAGAAAAAAAAAAGGTAAGCAGGGTTGCCCCAGAAATCGCTATACATTTAAAATTATTTAAAAAAGGTGTTTTAAAGTATGCAAATAACATATTAATAGCTCCCAATTCAAAGGCTTTACATCTTGTAGCACACTCTACACAGCTTTTCAAGCGATTTTAAATCTACAGCGTTTTCTGTGTATAAAATAAGAGTATCAATGAAAATGATACCCAGAAAAAGCATTGACTAGTTATGAAGCACCCAAGTATCGCATAGTAATACTATCCAAAACTCTAGGGCCTGGCCATAACTTACACACAATGGTCAAAGATAACGAATACCCTTGAAGGGTATTCTTCTCCAGGCATCACAAAATAAAAAAAAAAAAATAATAATAAAAAAAATACAAAAAAAAAAGAGGAAAGTCAAAACTTAGGTAAAGACACAACATCTATGCATGAATCGCCTTGCTTACAAATCATCCGAGCCCGACATGATCTCCTCAAACAGCGAGTGGGCATTGTCAGTGGCTGACAACCTGTCGCCAGCGGCAGAATTGCTCGTAGATCCGCCACTGACAAGCTCGTCCACTGTATCGAGGGCCGAGAAGTTGGCCATCCCTCGCCTTGTTCTACAGCCAGTCCGGAACTTCTTCGGCGGTGGCTCAATCACTTCCCTTTCCGGTGCTGGAGGAGGTGGTGGCGGTGGCGATGGTGGTGGTGCTGGCACTGGGGCTGTAGCTGAACCAGCAGGTGTTGTCGGCGGCATTATGTAGGCATATTGAGGAATGGAGCTGTTGCCATTGTTGTTCTGCAGTTGGATGCGTATAAAGCCAACAGTTTCCGGGTCAACGGGTTTGCTGCCCTGGAAGATGTTGAAGCCTGTAAAAGGGTAATGGTTTAGAGATACTGGAATACTGGTAAATGTGTGTGTGAGCTTACCCTGGTACTCGCCATTCTCATTCAGGACCAACACTAACGGATGCTGATTCTGCTGTAGATTGCTAAGGGCACCAGACTTGGGGGGCCATCGGAACTCTCTTCCTGCGCAGCAGGCATTGCTTTCTGCTGGTCACTGTCCTTTTCCACATCGCTCTTTACCGCTTCCTCCTCCTCCTCATCCTCGTCATCAGTTTTGATAAAGTCAACCTTGTGGGGATTTTTGCAACTAACGCAATTGCAGCCGGAGCAACTATTGCCGTTCTTATAGCAGGGACAGCGCGAGGTGCGGCAGGTTGTGAGAGGATTGGCCGTTTTGGCGATACCGCAACGGCACTTCGACTTTGGCGGCCTCTCCTTCTCGTTGTCCTTGCCTCGAACCCGGCGAAAGGCACTCTTTGACGACTGCAGCTTTGTTTTAGGCTCCGCTTTATTCTCTTCTTCGACTTTCTGAACTGGGATTTTGGGACTGCGTGCTCTCTTGCGGGTAACTGGGCCTTCGTGGCTGATTGCCTGCTCTTGTGGCTCCTCCTTCTTGAGCTCCTTGACCACAGGTTCTGGGGTGGCCTCCTCTTTGTCCTCGTGCTCATGTTCTTCCTTAATTTGATCTAGTTTCCTCTTGCCGCTTTGGTCCTTTACTGACTCCTTGGGCTCCTTTGTACCGGAGAGGACAGCTAATTTATCGGATTCCTCTGCAACGGATGCCACAGTCAACTCCTCGGGCTTCTCTTTGTCCGACAGCACAGACAGCTCCTCGTGCTGTTCTGTGGCGGAGAGCAGAGCCAACTGATCAGGCTCTTTCAGTTGCTCTTTAACGGATAGCACAGCCAGTTGTTCAGGCTCCTCTTCGACGGTCAAAATATTTAATTGATTGAGGCCTTCCTCGTTTTCATCGAGGTCTTGTAGCACAGCCAATTGCGGGTGTTCCTCCTCCTCCTCCTCCCTTACAGGCTCCGCGATGGCTGTGAGCACAGCCGTTTGTGAAGAGTCCCCGATTTGCACCACCTGACCAATGTGCAGCTCCTGCCCATCGAAAGGCGTGGATGCTCCCGCAGGCATCAGATAGGAGACGGCAAAGTTTGTGTTGTTGCTCGGAAAGCTGGAGACCGAAACGGCCTCGGAGAGATCCACTTGGCCGGTCCACGCTTGCTCCATGAAGCCGGACTCCGTGGTGTCCGTGGTGCCGCTGGTGAAGATTAACTGCGCTGAATGTGCCTGCAGACCCATGCGCGAGCCTGTTGGCAGCAGGGGCAGTGGCGAGAAGTGACCTTGCTCAGCTGTGGCCGCTGCCTCCAGTTCGATGTCGCTGATGGACAGCTGCTGATGGTGCTCGGGCAGATGCTGCTCGTATGGTATCTCGGGTGTGGTAGCCGCCGTCGTGGGCGGTGTCTCGGCGGGCAGCGAGGAGGGCAAGCCCTTCAGGAACGGCAGGTCCGGCTGCGGCAGGAAGGTATCACGCATGTCGTCGTAGTTGGATCCCTCGCGTATGAACTCCTGGGTGCTCTTTGGCGGCAGCTTAATGCGCGGCAGCAGCTCCAGCTCCCTAGCTCCCATCTGGGGACGCAGTCCCGCCAACTGGGCGTAAAGCGACGATTGCAGCAGGTGGACGCATAGCGTCTTGTAGCAAAGCAACTGCAGGGCCATCGTCCGGTTCTCCTCGTAGGTTTTAAAGTCGGAGCACTCCTCGCACTGCGGGCAGCTGGGGAATAGGCGCTTTTTGCCCCGCAGACACAGTCTACACACGTTGTGCTGGCAGCGCTTCCCCTTGGGCGAGTACGGGTCCATCAGCAGTTGGCAGCACACAACGCAGGAAAGCAGGCGCCGCAGCTCTCCAATACCCGAGTTCAGTTCATCCACGCGCCGCTTAGAGAGGTTCGAGGCGGAGCGAAGAGAGATCCGCGTCACCTTCAGGTAGACGGACTGCGCCGACATCGTGTCTATTATATGTTTATGTCTGGGACTGTACCAATGCCGGGTGTTTGTTTACCACCCAAAGAGGGCCGAGACTCCGCTGGCCCAGGCTACTGGTCACAGACCACGCAACAGTGCAGATGCTTTTCCTTTCTGGCTTCTTTGGCTACTCCCCGCAATTGACCGGCAATCCTTCGTGAGTCGAGACTTCAGCAGCACATGCTAGGTTTTCGCGGTAATTTTTTTCGTTTTCACAAGAAATTGACTTTTCACAAAACGCTCTCAGTGCTTCACTTTTCCGTTGATGCTAGGGCTTATAACTAGTTTTCACGTGCAAAAAAAAAAAAAAAAAAAAGGGTTTATGTTTATGTTTGGTCTCAAGTCATTGTTAATACTTTAAATCACTTAAATGTTTAACAATTATCAAGCCACATAAAAAAAAAAAAAAAATTACCCAAGCAACAACGGTGAAGCGAAGTGTGTGATGGGAGAGTGCCGATAGCCACGGATACGGCATATCGCCGTATTTTCATGGATGTGCTATCGATATTTTGTTGTCGATAGTCACGTGTTCAGTATTTTATATTCGAAATGAAAAAGAACACATTCGTATATGTTTATTATATGCAAAATGAGGAATACATTTTATAAGCTGATTTCTAAATAAATGTTTATAAAAAAAACGAGTAGGTGTACAAAATAAATATATGTACTTATCGATAGAAATGGGGGCGCATATTTCAAATAGTACAGTGAAATCACTTGATATGGTAAATTAATAATTTATAATGTATCTTTACCAATTTGAAGGTATGTAATCAATAAATTCTGCTTCCTGGGTTATATCATTAGCATATATCCCTTGGAATGACAGAATATGCTCCATCTTGACATTGTTGATTAGATTTCCCCAAAAAATATATATTTGCGGGAATAATTATCAAGGCGAATTTACAAGGCATAATCAAAGTTTAATCAAATCAGCTAGAATTAGCGATAAGCAACAGAAAACCCAATTCAACTCTTATTTTTGTCCTGCACTTAGTTGTAGACTAGCGGTGTTCCAAGATGTTGCTTGTTCGCACCAAGTGCAGTGCCTCCTCGATCGGGCATTCAACGAATCCCGCTCAATGGACATCAATACTGCTGCTCGGTAACGTATCAGCAATCAGCAGTTTGAATTTCCGACTGTGAGCGCGCCATAATGCGTCCGTCTTTCATTCGTTTTCCTCTCATTTCCTTTTGCCTCTTGGCGTCGGCGCTGTGCTTTGTTTTCTCCGACGCCGGAGAAGCGCAGGGAGTTATTGTTATTGCAGTTCACAGTTAATTTGCAGCATTCGGTGAAAGTGGAAGTGCATCCCATTTAAATAACAATACCCACTCATTCACACACATCAACACTCACTCATCAAACGCAAAAAAAAGTAAACAAATTGATATTGCTTGGTTTTGGTCTGTCTGTGTGTGCGATTCACAATATATACGACAAGTAAATAAAAAAAGGTAAGAAGGAAGCCATTGCAGCTTATCTATCTATCATATTATGTGCCCTCTGTGCGTCCCATTGTTCAATTATGGAATATTAATGCCATATTCGCGCCCACTCGCAGTGCTCGTGGCCCAAATCAATGGCGCTGCTTTGAACGCCAGCAACTACTATCAGTACCAAGTTGTGAAGGAGGAGCACGGAACGCCGGCCAACGTGAACATAGTGCTCCAGGATCGGGACACAATGCGCACCTGGGGCACCAACCTGACTGCCATAACATGGGCCCACGCGGTCAACAGCCAGCAGCTGCTGGACGAGGCCCTTACAGGTAGAGGAGGCGCTTCGTAGAGCCACTACAAATCTGATGAATCTCCTTCTTCCTGTCCATAGGTGACATTGACTTCATTGAGGCGGACATCGTTCTCGGCAAGCTGAATGGCGAGGGAGAGGACATGCCCGTGATGGCTCATCCGCCGGCCACAACCTCCGATCTCACGTTGGCGGAGTTTCTCTACCAGATCATGGACTTTAACCGGGATCATGAGGGTGAAGAGAAAGGCGTCAAGCTGGATTTTAAGTCCATCGAGGTGTTCGAAGGGTCCCTCGATATCCTGGACGAGAACATACCCAATGTGAGTTTATTGATCTTACCGTTTTCCAATATAAATATTTCTTTAACTTTTACAGATGGATTACCCCGTTTGGATAAACGCCGACATTCTGAGTGGTCCCGTGGAGCAAAACAAAAGCGTTCCCGTCGATCCGGATCGATTCTTTGCCGGTTGCATGCGCTACAAGCAAGCTGTTCTCTCCATCGGCTGGACAACCAATTGGGGGGCCGACTTCCGGGATGGCGAGTACACGGAGGAGCACTGCGAAGGTATGCTGGAAACATTGAGCGCCAACAATGTGCTTTCCACCGGTCAAAGCATCACGTTTCCGGTGCGTGCCGGCATTGCGGCCAACAGCGAGGAGCAACTACACCGACTAGTTGCCGCAGTCAACGAGACCAATGAGAGCAGCCTGACCATTTGGTCATCCGCCGGCGACTACGTGGACGTGGCCAAGCTGCGTAAGCTGATCTTTGGCTTCGGTGTTGAACGCGTCTACCTGGACGTACCTGAGGAACTGGCCTCGCAGCTGAATCTGGGGAATCCCGGCAACGGAGCCAGCACCTTGAAGTCCCTCTTTAGCTTCGGTTTCATAAGCCTTTGCTTTTGGGCCGTGTCCAGCTGGCTGAAGCGGCTATAATCGTCTTTAATAGGTTATTAACTAAAGAGTACAATTGTGAAAAGGCGTTTAAAATTTGTTTTTCAGAAATGTGTGTGAGTGTAATAAGAGGTATACATATATATTAGTGGATTTTCTCTTTTATTTTTGTATGGAAATTTCAGCAATATTCAAGGATTCAATTTACATAAAAGAAGTTACACAAAATATTTTATTTCATGAACTATTTTTTGTCGATATTATGCTGAATACTAAAGTTTTATAAGTTTAAATCTCTGACAAAAATATAACTGGGACACATTTTTATTTAATCTTTTCTTCTTAAAATATAACAATTTTTATAATTAAATATTTAAATAACAAAATGTTAACCACGAGAACTTTTCTTATTAAATTGACATTATTTTCATGTTATTTCAAAATGTTTATGATATGTTTGGAATTTGGTGGCATATAGTTTATACATAGATGAAAACAGGCAATTATATAGATTTCATTTAATTTGGTTTTTATTCTTTTCTTTAAATTCAAATGTATTTTAAGGAATTATCGGAAATATTTCCAGGGGTTCACAGCTGTGCTCTACTATCATCTAACTTACATTGATCGATATATGTACATAGGATATGTGAAATCTTTGCAGGTGATATTTAAAAGACCTATCTAAAAATGAGCAAGTCGGCAAAAGAGCTCACTTCTTAATGTTATTTTCCATAGGTTCGCTTTATCACTTCATCTCTTCTTAAATAAAACTAAAATATCGATCTACGAGTTACAAAAGTTTGACGTATTATAGTTAAAATATATAAATACTTTGGGCATGCGCAGTTTCAACTTCAACAATTTTTAGGTAAATGGATGATAGATAGCAAATGGGAAACTTAACGACTCACTCTATTTACAGATAGAAGCTTAAGCCTATAAAAATAGTTAATGACTTTTGCTTGGGTTCTCTGCTGTTTTTTACCCTCTTCTTTTTGGCACTAAATAATAAATAATCTTATTAATCTCTCTCGCTGTCTGCAGAGGGAACTCCTAAGGGGGTGGAAGTGTGTGAGTGTTAATGTGGTGATGCGTGTGATATAGATTTGGCGATCTCCTGTGTGAGCCAGCCGCTGAGGGTCTGGCTAAGGCAAAATGGCTTCTATACTAGGCTACGGCGACATAAATGAGTCTTAGGCAGATGATTGTAGGCGGCATCGCCAGAAATGCGTTATGCCAGCTTATGTATTATCTAACTATCACATCGGGCGAATCCACGCTGATCAGTCGTTCCCTCTGTGACCTCTCGGAGACGCCAACGCTCTCCTCCTCCCTCAAGCCGGAGTCACGCCGATAGTCGAGCAGGCGCACTCCCACGCGCTCGTTGCCTGACGCACTAGTGTTTGTGCGGAAAAGCTGCGCCACAGGAGCCGTTGCTGCCGTTGGATTTACACCAAAGGCAGTAAGTGGCCTAAGGACACTGGCCTTCGCCTTGGGATCGCTGTGACAGAAGTGCGTAACTTGCCGCGTCGGATACCAGCAGGTGCAGATAAGACCGCCAGCCAGCAGAATTCCAGTTACGATCTGTCCGAGCAGGACAATCAAAGGCACCAGCGCTATGTCATTGGCGATTTCCTCTGTGACGCGAACGCGTTCCTCACACCATATCATGGGAATCATAAGCTTTGGAATATTTTCGTATATGCTAAAAAAAATAACAAGGAATTCGATTATTTTAATTGAGATTCTATAAATCTTCATGTTACTCACCTTATCCCCGGTACAGGTTCGATGAAGTAGTTGGCTTGAAAGCCACCACCCACGTCCATTGGCACACCTGCATTCGGTTCCAGCGTCATGAAGAACTCGTGCTTTTCTTGCTCCGGCTGCAGACCCTCAAGGTCCTCCAGGAACCTTGGATCCGCTTTGTAAAAGTGAGGATATGACATGTAAACCGACGCATTAAAGGAACAGCGACTAACGTCGATCACACCAATAGGCGGGCACTTGCCGCCGACGCAGTAGCAACTCGCCTCAGGGTAGAGGGTGCCATTGTCCACGGCATGTTCGGTGCCACTGAACTTGTAGGCGGTCACGCCGTGAACAGTTACCGTTTCCGTGTAGTCCAAGGGAACGGCCCTGCACATCTTGGGCATATACATGTAGACGCTATCGTTGGTGCTCAAATTGGGCGGAAAGAATTCGCCCATGGAGCCGCGCACCTGACCGCATGTACCCTCAAAGGCGCCCGTGTGTGTCATATTGTTCCATGTGTGAATCTGACCCATTTTGGCAATATCGTCGGCTCCGGTGAACATGTTAATATCCCCGTCAAAGCTGGTACTTCCGTTTCGTGGATACTGAAAGCCAACGCGAACATACGGCACATCGTCGGGACGAAGTACCTTTCCCAGCTTAATAAATGGATGCTCGTAGCCCTTGAAGAGCATTTCTTCGGCAGTTCTCGATACTGTCAACTGCTGTCCATACATTCTAATGGCTATGTTGACTCCCGCTCTTCCAACCCAGCTATCAGCAGCCCGTTTAGCAGCAATCTGTGAGAAAAACTGTCATTAATTAAACATTTCAAAGTTGGAAAACGGTTTTTACTTACATGTGTCACTGTATTGACCTGCGTTATTACATCTGAGAGACTGCCATTGCTGCCGGCAGCGTCAAAGTAGAACCAGGCCTTTTTGTGAAATGACACTGAATCGTTCTGGTTGTGCCAAGCAATGTCCACCTTGTCGGGACTCTCCCTAAACCGATACGGTCCCAGTTGCTGGAAGCGCGGCTTAATGCCGGATCCCACATAAAAGTCCTCCGGATTCGTCCAGTTAAAGATGTAGACATCGAAGTTGAGGGGCAGGGGAGAGATTTTCCAGCCCTCGTATGATCGTGATGTGGGACTCAAGGCCATTTCCTATAATTAAGATCAAGTAATATATTATTGGGGATAAGCTTGACTCAATTGATAATTGACGAAGATCAATATTCAATGATTTACGATTTACATAATTTGTTTGTTATAATTGAGGATAACTGGCTGGCAATTAAGTAAAGTATCGTGAATTCATTGTGCAAATTTTTTATTGAATATATGTGCATATGGAAACCCCGACCAAAGTTCAATAATGATCTGTCCAATTGGTACCGGCTCGCTGGAGGTTTCATAATTGCTACAGAGGACTTGCTTGTGCGCATTGAAAATTGACGGGCTATTTAAACAATGAATTCATTTATATTTTTTAACGTAAACTATAAACGAGTAAGTAAACTATAAACGAGTAAGTTTATAGTTTTCCCAATGGACCAAAAAAAAAGAAAAATACCTATGCAAAATGTTCGTAAAAGTATCTAATATAATTATTTACTGCTACGAGCTAGTAGCTCAAAAATGTAGTAAACTTTTAGATATTGAGTTTCTAATAAGATCTAATCTATTTCGTGATTTTAAGTTTTATTTTTAATCTTCCCAGAACTCAGTTTTATCAAATATAGCTTCAAAAAATGTCAAGTGAGTGTGATCGATCGATTGTTTGTTAAAATACGTTTTAAAAATATATAGCAAACCTTTAAGAAACATTTCTTGCTAGAAGTTCGTTCTGAACAAATGAAATGCAATTCGCTTTCTACTTTGTAGAAAAGCAGGTGCTAGCCTAGGCGATTACACGTTTACGGTGAGTGAGGTGTTATCAGCAATCAATCATTGTAAGCCACAAAATGGCAGCATTAACGATCTTCGATCGGGGATTTTAGAACACTTCTGGGCCACAATTTTTGTTTTGTCCATTGCCATATAATCTTTATAAATTGAACAGCGACTGGACTACAGGAAATGACTAAACTGATAATAGGTAGGGCATGGTCTCTTTTTGTAGATGGCAGAAGGCTCAGTTACAATCCCAATAGATTATGTCTGTCTGGAATATGGTATCAGAGTGGGAACAGGTGTTCAGTCTACCGGGGCCAGGTGTGGTTACATGCCACTTCTGGGTGGTTAAGGTCATTTATGAATGCTTCGTTCCATATATTTATATGTATACATATATGGGGAGTAAAGAGCGTTGCTTAATCGAACACACGGTTATCGCTAAATGGGTTATTTTTCAGGTCTCTGATAAGATAGCACCCATTGCGATTTTCCCGAAGCCCCAAACTCCTAAGCAGTGAACCTCCTTTGATGGCATTTCCGCCTCGCAGGTAACATAATGGAAACATTTCGATTTTTGGATTATTGACCCCATGAATCACAGCGACAGGTGCGCCCTTTTTGATAATTCCAATTAATCACATACTAATATTAGTCGAGTTGCCAAAAAAAGACAAAATGGAACCACAACCGAAACTTCAGTGATTCAACGAGTAACACCTGGCCATATAAATTTGGCAAATTGATAATTTTATGATTGATGATTATTTTGGAAACAGAATTCCATCAATTTGGGTTATCTTATTTCTTAAGATACCTAGTATGATAGGAAATTGCAGGATAGTAGGAAAAAGACTAACAAATGAATTACACAGGAGTTTTAAAGTATAGTTTTTAAGGTTATCGTGGAATAAAATATATTCAAGTTCTTCGCTCTCTTAGTTCATTGTACTAGGAATAATGATTACGGAAATTTCATGAATATTCTCGCCATAAAGAGCTTTAACTCCCGTGACTAAGCACTCTCTGGATATATTATATAGAGAACATAAACCCAATGATGGCATTAGCATGCTAATTAAAAGCACGTACAAAAGTATAGGTACTGCTAAATGTGAGATCGTAAAAGTGTTTTACAAACTTATCGTATCGACAGCTCTCTCGGTTTCAATATATGTATATTCCGCCGCCTTAGTTGTCCTATCTTATCGCCCGTTGGCTTGGGGTGATTTTTATTGAGCTAGCCACCTGCACACACTCAATTTTCGGCTGACATTTCGATCAATTGCCTTCAATCAATGGGAGAAATGACTTTCCGACGACCAAATTGTATGCAAATGGCAAGTGAGCCCCCAGCCTCGACCAGTTGACCTTTGGGGCCGCGTTCGCCAATTTGACGGCTCGCCAAACTTGACTCAAAGGTTTCGAGGAATCGATGTCGGATCGGATCGGATCGGATAAGATAAGATCAGTTAGATTTCAAGTGTTGATAGATGAAGGGGGATGGAGCATGAGGAGTGTGTACTCACCTTGCCGCGCATGCGTGTAAACATCTCAATCCAGTTGCGGAAGAGATAAATCCCACTGGCAATGCAAAAGATACCCAGAACGACGATTCCCAGCCGGGCACAATGACGCACTCGTGATGTCATCTTCGTAGTCTGTGTTTGATGATGGTAATGTTGGTTGTTGGTTGATATGTTGGTGCCGACGTATCGATGATGTTCTATATAAAAGAGGGGCGTCTTCCTCGGCCGATCTCTTGCGTCGCACTGAATGGAGCCCTCGGCGCGACTACGTTCCCGTTATTAGCGTCTAAATGGCAAAAAGAGAGAGAGAACCAATATGAGCAGAGAGTATATATAATGGTGGTGTTCGCCGGGCTTATCGCTGGGCGACGGGGTCTTATCGCACGTTCCGGGGCCAGCAGGCTCGACACCCGATTTCCAGGAGATACCCGGAGAATTCCGGCTCTGTGAGAGACGGAGAGCGGTTGTGAGAGATAAAGAGCCGTGCGATCACGCGCCTAAGCTGAGTTCGCCTGGCGTCGTAATTAAACAAATTTTCTGTCTAAATGTAATAAAGTTTTCACTTAAAACTGGTCAAACCGCAACTAAATACATATTGAAGTGAATACCTACAACTGTCATGAGTGCATGTTCAGGGTATTAAGATACATGGGGTTTGAACATACAGTGTGGCTTTAAAATATGGTACCCACAAATGCTGGGCTATATTTTAAAAATTTAAGTTGAACTGTTAAGCCCTTAGTCATTTAGCCATATAGGACGGACTCAAAATGTTCAACTAAATCTGATTTCAATTTACCGATAAATTGCTTTCTACGAACTTCGAACTTTCCTGACTATGTAATCAACATTTATTTAACATATCAATGTTTGACTGTACCCCATATATAAAATACAATTAAGTGCTTTAAATATTTTTGGGGGTTGCTTTACACTTAGAAGCCTGTCCTTAGGGTTCGTATATATTGGATTGTTCCATTACGTCAGGCTTCAACAGAGCATGAATTAGTTATCAATTCAAAAAATCTAATTGCAGACTAGGGGATTTTCTAAATATAGTATATAGTATAAAAAGAAGGCTGATTAGCGACGCTTAGTCAGAAAGTTGTGTTGTGTTTGGTCGGAGAAAGAATAAGTAAGCCCTGCATGACCCCGTTAACACAAACCGTATAGTTATTTTCAACAGAACTAGATCTTGATGGTTAAGTAGGGCTATTAGCCAGAAAGGTCAAATGAAATCGAGGTCAGGTTAATGATTTTCTATACGAGTAAGGGATATTTTTAAGATATTCACTAATATTCAGCCTTAAAAAATACGAATACAAAAATATTTTACACAAGGAATTAAAAACTCCATACAATTAGACAATAAAGAGTACTTGAGCACTTGGCAGAACATTTTCCACAAAAGTTGAATCTGCCAATTCAGCGGCTTTGAGTAACTAAACACCGACACTGTTCCGAATACCAGGAAAAGAAGAATCGAAAAAAAAAGAGTTACTCCCACCAATTTCGTGTGCTGACTCCGAACTTCAATATTATCGATGTTTTCAACGCAAACTTGGGCAATGTTGAAAGTCCGTGATTCACTGCGGCACATTCCTTGGCTCAGTTTTTGTTTTGTTTTTATTATAATGACTATTTTTGTTTTGATTCGCGACTGGGACGACTGAATTGGGAGAAACACGTTCACCTTTCCATGGCCTGGCACAACCATAAATGCGTAATGCGCAGGGCGTGGGTTGTAAGTATACACTGTACTTGTGGTTGTTGTAGGAACTGTTTACAGCTCTTGGAGCTGCTTGACGACCGCTGGCTGAGTGGCATTTTGGCCTTAGTAACGGCCATTATTATTATTATTGTTATTATTGGCGATAATTCGAAGGCACCAACACACACGTATGATGTACATTTGCGACGCTCAATGATTTATTTTGTTATTAATGCACACGTAGCGAGGTTAAGAGAAAAACCCGTTTTTGCCGTCACTGACTCCCAGTTTGTGTGTTGTTTTTTCTTTTTTTTGTGTTATCTACCAGCCACACCCTCCCCCAACCGCCCGCTCGTGCGCTCTGATTACTCCGCTCATCAGATTATGAACTTCACATAGCGCCAAATCATTTGTTCAAACATTAATCACGCAATTTTTGGTCGCTCTATTCTGTATTGAACGTGAAATAATAGCACTGCAAATATCCTTGAACCTCGCCACTTCCGCAACCTGTTGACAATGTTTTTTGTGTATGAGTCTGCTCTATTCAGTGCTGCCAACTTTTGACCAACAAAAAAAGCTGTTTTTGACGGGAGAAGTGAAAAAAAAAGCTTAAAAAATTTATAAAAAAATTCAAAAAAAAAGCTGAAACAAATGTATAAAAAATAGAAAAAATTTCAAAAAATATAAAAATTTAATAAGTTCAGTTTTGTTTAAAAGATTTCCATAATTTGATCAATTTCTTCATGGTCTTCCTTATTTTCGTAAGACCTAATAGTTCCTATCATCTGCAGATATTTGATTGGCACTTCATAGTCGACGCAGCATTTCCCGACCCTTCGCAATCCGTTTCTGTATATTAAAATAAATATAATGAATATAAATAGAAATGAATATCTTTTGCTTACACTAGTATGCTTCTTTATTGCAGCGTGAGCTCGCAGATCACTGAGTTTAGCTGTAATAGTAGTCTTGCAATAGTTGCAATAAACCCTTTGCAGGTCTGTGTCATCCCTGCGAATCCATGCCTTAAATTCATCACTTTTAAGCCAGACATCGCGGCATTTTTGTTTATACTCCTTCGGCATTTTAGAACTTGCTAACAATTTACGCGCACTTTTTATATAGAGATGGAAAAACTAAGCGACTTATGAAATTAGCGTATATCTATTAAAACAATCGATACGTCGCTACATTATCTGGTTTGTTCGTAAAGCTAACTTTTTAGCTGCCACTTTTTCATATTTTGTACTTAAGTTTTAACAACACAAAAAAAAATCGGGAAAAAGCCAATTCAATTTCCAAAAAAGCCAGACTTCCCGCTTTTCACAATTCCCGCAATTCACAAATTTTTCCCGCAGTTAGCCTTAAAAAAAAGCCAGTTTTGACGGGAAAAAATCCAAATTGGCAGCACTGGCTCTATTTGCTCTTTTAGCCTAAAAATAAAACCGCCGCCGCACAGTGCAATGTGCCAACAAAAACACACACACACACACAAACATGCATTCATACATACATACATAATTCATACTTGCGGGAGTATGAACATACTTATGTATGCATGGATGAACGGAATGTATTCATGTTAATTCTGCATTTTCATCGCCATGCGTCACTGTCCTGGAATTCGTGTCACTAAGTAAACTTCATTAAAAAATGAAGTAAGAACTGTTACTGTGTCTGATGATATTTGTTTAAAAACTTATCTGACGGGGAAGCAGAGAGCAGTAAAAAATATAAAGAAGACAAAAACGCGGCACGTTTAACTCTCTCGAGTTTGCGCTCTCTTCTTGCAGTACTCGCTCTCCCTCCATCTCTTTCTCTGTCACTCGCTTGGAATTTTGTTGTTTTTTTCATTTCGCGGTTTTCTTACATTCTCCTGCAGTTCGATCCTAGTTGGATTTTCGGACACCATCACTCTTTCACTTGCCGTCGCGTGTGACTGGACTCGCTTTCCACCGGCGCGACGCGTGTCTAATTTTCGCGAAATACCTTTCAATTGATATCAATTTTAATTGCAGTGGCGGTGTAAATATTGTGCGACAACGACGCCAATGTCTAAAAACGTTTTGAGTGTGTCGTTTTTGCGTCGTCTTCGTGTATGTTTCTGCCGCGCGTTCGATTGCTTGCTATTCGCCGTCTCGCTCCCACTCGCACTGTTTCGCGGGAAGGAGACAACGCACCGTTAAGTCGGCTCTTGATCTTGAAATACCGCAGTCCGAACGAGAACGACCGTGTCTGTGCGCCGCTTGCTCTGCGACTAAGTTAAGTACTGCTCAAAAGTCGCCCGCCAGCCGTAATTATTTATTCTTCATTAAGAGCCGATACGCGGTCGGTAGTGGTGACAGCCGGATACCCTGCTGCGAAGTGTCAGTGCGGCCAATGTTACCAGATAGTGTGTGTCGAAAATGCTCCTGTAGGGTGTGCAATCACTACAATATATTTATGAGGAAACAAGGATAAGGCAACATCATGAATAGCGGCGATAATAGAATGTAGAAAAATGTGAGTAACTTAATCATATTTTAATTAGAAATACAAATTATTTGTACTTAGTTCATAATTTTAATTATTCACCAAAATAATTTGGATTATTTATGAAGTAATAAGTAAATTGATGTACCGTGCCCTTTGCAGGGTACAATGAACATAATTGCTCTCACACGGTCTCTCCCGCTCTTTGGCTCTCTTTCTCCAAACCGGTTGCCTCTCTTGTAGGGTAAACACTTTTTTGAATCGGGTATGAAACGGCTCAGCCGAGCCGATTGCAGTTCAATGCTAATATAATGCGATTCATATTATTTCCACACAATTATTTATCAGTTATGGGCGTGTGATTTTTTTCTCTTGGACTTTTATTTAACTAAGTGATTCAGTGGAACAGGCGATCCTGACTACACTAGTTAACACATAAAGAAAATTAAAAACTTCCAAGGCACCGAATAAACACCTTTTACCCTTTATTGGAATGAATCTGTTTCTGAACATTTATCGGACGGTTACAGTATACAAAATTTGTTTTTCGGGGCTTAATTTCTCAATGTCCAGTCAATAGTTCTGATGCTTTGAGTATTATGTGTCAGAAATTCGTTTTCAAAGGCTTTATAAATCAAGCAATACATGTTTTAAAGTATATTTGTAAATTTTAATCACTCTAAATGGACACTGAGTAACTGTCCCTAAGACTGTACAGACTAGGCTAGATAAAACCCTGCGAACTTAACCCTACGACGTGACTTAACCTTAACCAGAACCAGTTCTCAAAGGGCACAGCCCTCCCCTTCCTTGACACCAACATATTGCAGTCCATTCAGCAGTGGTGAATCCTCCACTCCACTGCTCTTGGTTGGATCAACGGAGATCCTGTTCGTCTCCAAAGTGTTGATCTCGATTTTGTGTATCAGGCGCTTCTGCCAGAACAGCTGGTGCGGGTACCAGAAAACCATCAGCACGCCCAGGGTAACTCCCAAGATACAGCAGATCTTGCCCACCGTTTCGAGGATCGGTCTAAGCTTCAAATAGCCCAGGAGGTCATCCGTAATGTGCACATTGTAGTCCGCCCAAATCAGTGGGAAGAAGGTCTTTCTTGAGTTTCTGTACACTCTGCAACAGTTTAAATTTACGATTATAAAGAATACAAATTCGATCTTGGCCTAGCAATATGAACCTACGATACGTGTTTGGGTTCCACTAGCAGGTTAACCATAATGCGAGCCTTGATCTCAAGCATCATGCCTGTAATGGGCTCCAACATAATGACCATCTCGTGGCGATCCTTGTCGGGCTTCATGCCCTCCACATGCTCCCCGTAGTAGGGATCGGCTTTGAAGAAATGGGGATAGGAGGCAAAGACTGGCGCTCCGTACCAGCAGGATGATATGTTCAGGAGACCGGATCTGACCTCTTGGCAGTTTTCCTGGCAGTAGCATTTGTGTTCCGGATTGTCGGTACCTGAAAATGGAGAATAAGTTAAGGATTAGTCCAAAACAACAAATGAAACTTTATTTATTCTCACCATTGGCAAAGTTACGGGCACTGCCCCTGTAGACGTATGCCTCCACGCCCTTAAAGATGGTGGTGCCGGAGTAGTCCACCTGTATCTCGCGGCACAGGTCTGGCAGGAAATATGAGATTGGCCTGCCCTTCACCAACGGAATGGGATGAAACTCCCCGGTGCTACCTCTTAGCTGGCACCGGGGACTGGCTTCCGTGAAGTTGTTGTAGCGCCATCGAGCTATTTGGCCCAACTTCTTGAAGTCATCTTGGCCCGTGTAGACGTTGTGGTGGCCATAAATTTCCATACTGCCATTGCGCTGCAATTAGTTATCAATTAGTAGATAGGAATATTCATTTTAACAGCAATTATCAACATTTCCTTGGCAATCTGTAACAATCGTGTTCAAAGTCAATATGGGATTAATGTGAATAATTAATCTGTTAAGTACTAATTAAAATATACACTACACTACAAGATTAACTAATTAACTTACTGGATAACCGTAGCCGATTTTCTCGTAGGGAAAGTCCACCTCCGGCACTAGACTTGGTGGCACCAACTTGCTCATCTTGATCAGTGGCGTGTCAAATCCGTCAAACAACCAATCTCCGGCGCGCCGTACCATGGTGCGTTCTTTGCCATAAAAGTTTAGGGCCATGAGCATAAGGGATCGCAACATTGGACTCCATAATAGCATCTTCTGGTAGATACCCACGATGAGCACGTTGGGAGCTACAATCGGATCCGAAGGGCGTCCGGCGCTGTGTTCCGGGTCGAAATCGAAGCGACTTCGACGCATATAGGACACTGTGGAGTTGTGATCATGCCACTGCACATTGACCTTTTGCATTCGCTCTGTGAAGCGATAGGGCCCAAGCTCCTCGAATCTTGGCTTCACAGTGGGATCGCTTACGCTCTCTGAATTTGTCCAGTTGAATATGTACAGGTCCACGGTTATATCCATCGACGGCGATTGCCACAGATCGGTGATAAATGCACCCGGCTTAAGCACCATAAACCACTGGAGCACCAAGCGCTGGATCACCTCCATGTAAATCAGTGCGGTCAGGCCACAGGTGGCCAGGAGTATTCCCAGAGCACTTGTCCGCAGAATTCGATTTTTCGCAATCATAGTGACGGTCGATGAAAATCGGCTTCTGTTGGATACAACGAAATTAATAATTAATTCGATTATGATTTTAGTAAAAACCAGTGAAGGATTCATTTCCGACCCTATAAACCATATATATTATTGATCAGCATGAAGAGCTGAGTCAATTTGGCTATGTCAGGCAAAAATTTATTTTTTTCAAAACTTTAAAAATTGTATAATATATATATATATATATTAATCCCCTTAATCGTTAAAATTATCAAAAATTTGACAAAATGTTGTCTTTTTATATTTGTAAATTTAATATGCAGATTTGTTAAGCTATGTATTAAAAACGTACACAGAAAATCTTTCCAAATCGAGATTAATGCATTTTTGGCTTGTGTGCTTAATGTACATTATTTACAAACTGTTCCAATAAATAACGTTTTACTGTAACAATCTTAGCGGCTTAAGAATTACAAATTTACATAATATTATAAAAACTGGTCTAGTTGAAATATACCGTAAATAACTAAGTCCATTGAATAATATTTGTTAAAGTCAAGATTGCTAGCTTGCATTTAATTTCCCATGCAAATTAAGTTGTATACTTTTGTTGCGGCCAGGATATATGTAAACTAATTTATAGACAATTTATGAGGTGACTGATTTCAGTTGTTTTGAATTTAGCATTTGTATTTAATTTAACCATTTCTAAGCAACAAGGCTTGAAGAGAATGAAAGTACATTGTACAACAGAATCATTTAAGCTTTTTTTTAGTTTTGAGTGGTATTTTACAGGTGCAAGTATTTATCTGGTATTTATTCGAATTGACGTCATATAGAGAAAAAGTGGTTGTGGTATAGCTAGTGGTGTTAAAGTTTATATAAATCCATGTATAAATGTCTGAAACCTGATCTACTCTATTTAAGACTATAACTTATCGTACATGAATGGTGGTTAATACTTTTCCTTAGTTTTTGAATGAAAACCTATATATGTAGCAGTTAAGTCCTAACTTTAATGTTTTCCAATTCCAAATTTTCAAATTCTGTGATCTTCAGTTATATTATTTTAATTATCAGACTTAGGTGTTTTTTGAAAACTCACTTGTTTTTGGGGTCTTTGCTCTTCGTTTCTCAGCGATTCTGTTGAGGAGTACAGCTGGGCGTCTGAATTCTCACTCCCACTTCCTTATGCTGCCTGATCTGGCTCTGATCCGAGTCCAAGCCCGCGACTTAGGTTGGAGGTTATCGGGCAACTCTGATAATAAAAATGCAGTGCCACTTGCAAATATTCCCGCAGAATCACTTCTTAAGCTTCTCGAGTATCACTGCAAACTATTTATATTTAATTCACTTTCGATCCTGACTAGTTCAGTGGACGACGGTATGGAGTTGAAGCGTTCGTAGTTATTGGTCTGGTAGTTACAATCGAACCGCTTCGAATGCCGTCTTGATAACGACTGAGCTGTCGATAGGAAAATATATTTTTTCAATGCGAGAAGACGGCTATATAGAACAGAGAGAATAAATAAACATAAATGCCGGAATAAAGTGATACCGAGCCTGAAAAAGCCTTAATTTATACACTGAAAAATTTCACCGATGTTATTACAGGTAACAATCTAAAAATTTTAACAATTGGGGAAATTCAATATTGGAAAGACCTGTAAAATATCTCTCTCTAATAAAACTTTCACGATCAAAACACGATGATATCATATGAATTATGGAAGCAATTAATACGATTGACTAGGAGAAAAAGGGTTAAGTTGGAAGGCTTTTATTGGTCAATAAATAATAAGTCTTGAAATAATATCTTTCAGTGAACTTCAGTTGTCGAATCGTTTAGTGTGTAAGTGCAACACCCCGGTTCAATAGCTCCATATTCTCGGGTTATCATTCGACGACTCTGTGCGTGGCTATTATCCCATAATTCCCCAAATCAAGTGCTCTACAAGTACTAAAAATTAAACTTTAACCTGCGATTTACAATTTTCCAAAGTATTTCCTCGTTTTTTTGTTTTTTTTTTTGGTTGATAACTTGTTATAATGTCCAGACCTCAATTCCCAATCGTCTGCTGCAATTGGCGATGGCTCAGGGTGATAAGAAGGTAATGCGGCCTTACAGCCAAAAATGAAGAAGGCTGCTTTCATGTAATAAACGACTGCCTCTTATCAGCGTGAAATATATGACAGTACAAAGAAAACGTTGATTTTTGGACAGGAAAAGCCCCTATTACCGATTTTAAAGATCAAATCGAGGCTTGTATGTCAAGAACCTTTAAAGTTGAAAGATCTTATCGGTCATTGTTACACTTATTTACTAATCGAAAGTAAAAAGTTGAAATTCAATCTATCAGAGAACTCACAATAATTGTCATGTTGATTGGTATTTCAAAGAATTATAATTAAATAGATTTAATTATAATAAATTATTTCGATAATATTTATATCAACAACAGGTTTAAAATGGTTAAATGAACGCAATAAAATTTAAACTATTGTATGAAGTTTGTGTTCATATGTATGTATGTATATGATGTAATGTATGAATATTTATTGATATTTATCGCTGTAATCTGATTTGCAAACTGTCATTATAGGGCAATTGATTTGCTTTGATATTTCAGATGATATATATTTTTATTAATTGATATTGAAAGCAAACACATATATTAAATAAGGGTTGGTATAGTACATTTTTAATGAATTATCCCAACGAAGAGAATTGTTCTTTTTCCATTTAAATTTACTGGACTTAGACAACATTGAGCGTACCATAAAAAGTGTGGTTTAAACCACAGCTAATTTTCTTAGCTAAGTTATTCACCCGGAAAGTACTATAAAATTATTTTTAAATTTAAAAATCCTATATGCATATCTCGTATATATCCAGGCAATAATTTATTCACCGAGAGATGTTAATGGGCAGTTAAACAGCGTGATAAATGCTATATTTATATTTAAAAGTTTACATTATCTGGCAGCTTTCGTGTCAGCTGGCTGCCTGCAGTATAATACCAAAAAATACAAAAATCATCTACGGTCATACTGCTCTTCGGGGGCGGAAAAATAAATAAAGAAACTAAACGGCGGCGCGAGCTATAAAAGCGAAACGCAGCCTCAGATTTCAATTCAGACGCGCACATCCAAGCGAGTGATAGTAACTCTCGAGTTACAGTGAAACCAAGCCAAGTGATCAAACGCAAACAACAAGTGGGAAACCAGGAGACCTGCCGGCTTCTTGCATAACAATTGAATACTCAAAACAAATCCAAACAAAATGCAATCCATGGCCAGGCAATCGGCGCGAGCCCTTCCTCAGATGGGCAAGCAAGGTGTGTGTTGTTGTGTGTGCTTAGAGTGTCCCCTGTGCGCGGTGCGCTAACGGTCTATTTTCGCCTTTCCGAGCAGTAAGCTACCTGTCGACGAGCAGCGCCTGGCGTGCAGCCTCCGTGGGCGGCAACGATATGGTGGTGGAGATCAAGGAACCCAAGACGACACCCTCGCAGAAGCTGATGGCCTTTCAGAAGAAGCTACGTGCCAAGACGCCTCTGGGCAAGCTGGACGAGTTTTCGCGCCATCCCTACCAGGAGAAGGAGCCCCTCAAGCCGTGGCCCAACCAGACGAATCCGTACACGGGCGAGATCGGCGGACCGTCCGGACCCGAGCCAACGCGCTATGGCGACTGGGAGCGCAAGGGTCGTGTCTCTGATTTCTAGTCCCCCAAAGAGTTCCTTAGCTAGTACTTAGGCTGTTATTTAAATGCTACCCACTAAGACTTGAAAGCGAAAAAGCAACAAAAATGTATACTTATAGTGTTAAAAAAAAGAAATACAGAATATTTTAAAAGTAAAAACCAACTTTTGAATTTACATGAACTCTTGGCTGAACCCATATCAGCAAAGAAATCTGTTTGATTTGCATACTTGGTCTTCCCATTAGTTTGAATGGAGTGCTTTCAATTAAATTAAATTAAATTAAATTGCTTCAGTATTTGTTTGTAGGGACTTTGTCCCTTAAACAGATTGATTTAAATATGATTTACGTTCTCTATAACAACTCTCATCAATTGATATTATAATCCCCAAGGAATATATATATGAATGTACCTTTATTGCATCATGTATAAATATTAACCCACCTTGTGACTTGTGCTAATGCTGCTCCTGCTCCAGAAGCTCGGTGAGCAAGTGCTCGCTGACTTGCCACAGCTGCTGTTGCAGTGTGGCGCTCCTGGACAGCTTGCTGGGCTCGCAGAAGAAACAATTGTTAAAGTACAGTCCGGACAGACCCGTCAGCTCATTGGCTGTGGCGCAGTAAATGCTGGTGGCGGCCGCTTGTTGCTAATGGAGAAGCGAAATGGGGTAAATAATTAGTGAAGGGTCGCACCAAAAAGGGGGGAGAGAAAAGCACCCACCAGGGACTTGGTAAAGGGACGCACTAAGGCGAACAGCAGCCGGTAGAACCAATAGTTTCGCGAGAGATCGGTGGATACCATATTGCCGGGATGCACGCTGAACACAGAGATACCTCGCTGTTTCCAGCGCTGGGAAAGGGAGGGTTTCAAGTAAATCAATCCGATTTGAGACCAGATTTGGTCTTGGCTCTCACCTGGGCCAGTTCCTGGGCGAACAGGACATTGCACAGCTTGGCATTATTGTAGGCCATCATGCTCCAGTACTTCTCCGGTGGCGGCGACAGATGATGCACCGCCAGATTGTCCACGGGGAGATTGGCAAATCTAAAAGGAAATAGTGGATGTGGAGTTCGGTGATTATTGTACGTCGCATTTTCCTTTTTCCCCTCCCCGCCCCGTCCCACTTCTTTGCCATATACACACACTGAACCCACTGGACTTTGCCCCCGCCTCGGTCGACAATCGCAAAACGAGTCTTGATTGGCATTGGCGCTGGCATAGCCGGCGTTTAACGCTCTTCATTAATGGGATCCAGATTCAAGAGGAACAAAAACATAGCATCAGTGCAGTACTATGACTAAGACGGTGCGGACAATGAGACACAACAAGTGGTGGCAGTCGAAACAAAAGCCAGACAATAAACAAGGACACTCGGAAATGAATACTGAACTCTGTCGGGTTGAGACCCTATATTTGCCCTCCCGCCGCGACAAACAAGGGGAAGCCCCTCTTAAACTTGGTCACGTGTAGCGCATGCGCGGGTCGCATACTCCCCGAGGATTCGGAGGAGCCGCAACATGACAACGTTTCTACAGCACCTCGCGCACAATTTGGACTTTGGATTTGTTTTCATTTCGAGTATGTGGAGTCTATCTGCGCTCGGCTTGTGGGCGATGTAAAAATAACGTCGCAAAATGTATGCAAATTCAGTTTTATTTATAGTGTATGGCCCGTTCTCGGCATCCATGATAAATAGTAGAACCCGTCTCCATCCCATTGGCGTGTCTCTTACATATGTTGTGGTAGGCACTGTAATCTGTAATCTGGTCTGAATAAATACTTTTATTTAATTAATAACGACACAAAGAACATAGCTGGTTCTTATGCAGTTGAGGAATTTTTCTATAAAAAATTGAATTAATTCATAAACCATTTAAAGTAGTTATTAGAGGTATTCAAGAGGTAATTCCAATTTAAATAAATATGTACTAGTAAAAAGTAAGGGTAATCTGCTTCAGAAATCCCTACAGAAAACATTTCACCTTCCAATTGCCTTATCTTAAACTTATGCTAAATTTCATAATGTTTTTGAATAAAATATTATGTAAATAGTTTAGCATTATATCATTTTTTAATTCTAGTGAATTTTACATGGGAATTACATTATTTATTCATTTCTAAATGACTTGAAAACTTCTAATTTGTATAGAACTCTTTTCTTTAGTGCTTTGCAATGAATAAATTTGAGTAAATTAGAAATTTCTGCAAGTTGGTGGGAATAAATAAGATAATTTGAATTGCACAAAGCATCAAATCTGTTTATTTACCCTTCGAAAGTGATTATCAGTTAGCACCTAAGGTCGATTGCTTTGCGTTTGACCCCAATGGGAATTGAGCGCAATTCATCATCACAGATACAATATCTTGAACTGGAACGCACTGTGTTTGGTGGCATACATGACTATCTGCGAGTACTCCGCCGAGTGGCGCACGAGACTCTCTGTGGCACGTTCGCCAGGCTGAGCAAGATATCTGTGTATGTATGTACTCGCTCTGTGAAGCCGAAAAAGTTGTACGTGCTGGAAAAAACGAACGCAGCAGATACAAAATAAAAGCAACTACATGAAATCCATTTTGGTTCAATTTGGCTTCATGCTTCTTCCGAAGCTTCACGCGACCAGTTTGCCAGATGATTTATCTCCGACAGCTCGCACAGTGGGTCAGCCGTTCCCCCAAATTAATTAAACTAATCTAATTAAGCTAGTTAGCTGTGATTACCGCCATTGAGGGGGGTCTATTTTTACCAGCTCAGGTATCTGCTGCCTTTGTCTCGTAAATTTATAAAGCAGATATGGGTCTGGATCACTGTTTATACTTTTATGAGGTGTTTGAAGTCTCTTTGAAATTTTTTGCAAATTTAGTTTGTATGCTAAATGCAGTAAAATTTGTTTTATACTGACTTAAAATTCTAAAAGAATATCACATTGGGTTTCTCAGGAGGTTAATATTTACATCAAATATATGCGCAATATTATAATTAGTTTCATTACAATAAATATGGCAATATAATTATTGTACAATTTTCTAATATTTACATAGAAAAATGCTTTTATACGCTGGCCCACTGTGCTTTACGTCTGCACGTGAGGCTGATTGTTTTTGTGTACAAATCAGTGAGGAAGGCATAAAGATCGAGGGCCTGAAGGGAGTGTGGTAAGGGGTTTCGGTTTTGATAATACAATCACAGCTGTGTCAGCGCCATAGTTATTATGGTTTTTTGATGGGCCTTTGTTTACGAGTGCGCAGCACTTAATGTAAACGAATCCGTCTCTGGCTGGGGAGAAAATATATGTACATATATTTTCCAAGCTGAGTTCAACTACGCTTTGCCTTGAGAAAATAAACAATGAATTGTAAACAAAACCGCACGAGATGTACGACAAACAGAAATAATTTTGGAAGACGACGCTACACTAGCCGGCATGGCTGGGCGAGAAATATGCATAGTTATTTCTGGCCGCGCCATGAATAGTTTGGCCCCAAAGCGCGAATAGAAACCGGTCGGTCCAAAGTCCACAATGTGGAGGCAGAAAAGTGCAATCAACTCGCAAGTAAATAAAAAGCACAAACTTGGAATGCCAGACATGAATTTCTAATTGGAGATAGCGACTAGGAAATATCCACTATTTCTTGTGAAGAGTTTGTAATCATCTCGCTTTTAAACCTTTTAGAAAACGAATTAAATTTATATATTGGGAATCATTTTAAAAACAATAATTAAATGCCATTTCATGTTTTGCGTAAACAAATTAATTGTGGTCAAGTGATTTGACCCAATTTACGAATAAATGGCACTTTGAACCTTTGATAGTATTCAGAGTGTGCTCAAACCAGCTTATCGCACCTATTTATATACTCTTCTTATTAAGTTTAAATTTCAAAAGCTAGATATGTTTATCACAAATTAAATATTGCGTATTTGCAAGACTCTAAACATCATCCTATACAAATACCGGTTGCATTTATGGAAATTGCTTACCGGCAAAAAATAAAAGTTTGGAACTTCAAACTAGATTTACAGTGCAGGCAATAAAAAGTGGATCTGCTTGGATTGTTGTCATTTAAATTAACTTCCTTTGGGAATCTTCTTAATTAGTATTCCTCATTATAAAATGTTTAATATGTAAGAAATATAAAATGTTAAGGGTGCAACAGAATTGCTTGGTTAAGAATATCATCTAGATATTTACTATACAATTCCTTGATTCTCCCCCATTTGTTTACGTGCCCTAATACTGAAATTCCAATTTACCTGTGCGATTCAGATGACAGAACCACAATTCGTGTTTTATAATCAAACAGCGTCTCCAGTTGCAATGTAAGGTAGAAATGGGACAGGTGCGAGACCTGGAATGTGGTTTCTAGACCATCAACGGTCTTGGTGTAGGGCAGTGCAAATACTCCGGCATTCAGTATTAGATAATCAATGTGGCTATAAATAAGAGGTTTAATTATTATTTCCAATTATTAATTGTGGATAGTCAAAGGCTTACTTTACGCTCTGCTTGATTTCCCTAACGAATTGCTGAACGGAACGCAAGGAGCTCAAATCTAGGGCAGCACAACGACAGCGGGCACGGGCTGCCGGTCGCTCCTGGGCAATGCGTTCTATGGCGGCCTCTGCAGAGCTTCTGTTCCGGCAGGCAAAGATGATCTCACAGCCGTGCTGAGCCAATGATCGAGCCGTTTCAAAGCCAATGCCACAGTTGGCGCCCGTGATGAGAGCCGTTCGGCCGTGCAGATCCTTGCCGTGTAACACCTGCAGGGCGGTGGAGCAGGAATCAAAGCGCTGCCGCACCTGGGCCACATTCTGCGTTGGCTCCTCCGCGGCAAAGGCCAAGCGGGGATCGACATTCGTCCGCTGTTGCGTCTCCTTGTTGAGGAACATGAACCGCTTGCTCTGCTCGTCGTAATACTTCTCCCAGCCCAAGGGCAGCTCCCCGGTTATGCGTTTGGAGCGACCTGTGCGCGGGTGCGTCCACTGCGATGTCTTACTCTGTTGGCTAATGCGAAAAAAAACCTAATTAATGGCTGTTTTTATTACTGTACCTTACTTTTGCTTACTTCACATAGCAAACAGCGCCGTCGTCGGTCGCCCTCTCCTCCCAGCCGGGTGGAAGCTCATCCTCGCTGTCTGTGTCGGGTAGAGATATCATTTTACAGTGGAATTGACATTAATTAATTCAGAGTTTAATGCAAAATTAACTTTTGCAAGGAACAAACAAAACAATAGAGATGGGATATTATCGATGTCACTATACATCGATACAAACAGTATACATCGATATTTATTGTACAATTTCAGTTGGTATTGATATTGGCGTTGCCAGACTGTGTGTGCGGAAAACCGACTGCTTGTCTTGCCTTTCCTTGTTTTGAATTTGAATTTAAATTGATTCTATTTTAGAAACCGTTAAAGCTTAAAACTGTTTATATTTTCAACAGATTAAAGCCAAATTAGTTTTATTTAACATTAAAAAATTAAAACGGAAGGCTTCTAAGTTCAACATACATTTTTAAACAGTAAATCCAAATTTCCCAGGAATTGAAGCAGATTAGTCTTTTATATCAGACTATATACTAATTAAATAATAAGATTCCAGGTGGTTGTACTATATTGTTATTATGATTTAATTAATTTGCATCATTTAAAATGATTAATGAAGTTCCTAACTAGAGTCAACGAACTAAGGAACTAGAACTTAACTAATAAGAATTATGCTAATTGTTAAAATGCCGCCGGTGGCTCATTAATGATGCCGTAGAAGAGAACCAGCTTGGTGGGATCGTGACGCACTAGCACCATGAAGGGAGTGTCCACCCGGAAGATCACATCCGGGCCGGATTTCTTTAGATACGTGACGGTGGCTGCCGCCGCCTCCGTTCCCTGCTCGTTGACATTGAAGTCCACCTTGTGGACAATGTCGTCCACCACCAGATCGGAGTGTGCTCCACCTGGTGCCTTCCGCTGGGCCTCCAGATTCTGGAGGCTGTTGCCGCCCAGAGAATTCGTGGTGGCGGCTCGTTGATGACCTGAAGTCCGAGTCTCATGTGAGGCGATCAGGGAAAGATCGTTTTCCACGGTGCTAAAGATTCCGCGCAGACCCATGTTCTGCATCATAGTCTTCAGGTTGACGGACTCGGTGAGGTGCATTTTGGGTATGGCCACGATGGCCGATCTCCGGTACATCCTGCTGATGAGCTCCTCGATCCTTTCGGGCAACAAGCGCCTCTGCAGTGCCATTAACTCAACCGTGGAGGACTTCAGTGGCTGGATGATGTACATGGTGCTCAGGTTTCCCCTGTAGGGCAGTCCAATTATCCGGCAGCCCAACTGTTCATCCTCGTGATACGGGAAGGTGCCACCAGTGGCCATCAGCTTCACCCTCACCACCGGCTGCGTACCCTCGCCGTTCGGATAGAAGTTTTCCGGTCGCGTGGCCGACTCGATGAAGTCCGTCTCCCAGAAGCCCTTGAAGTACAGGGCGTTGGCCAGGATCATCCTCGTGCTCTGCGGGATCTCGCTGGCAATGATGTTCTCGATGTGACCTCCGGTGTGCTTTGCCACCCAGGAGTTAATTTTGAACCTGGCCGTGGCCGGGCTGCCCTCGAAGTCCTGCACCTCCAGCTCGGCTCCGTACAGCTCGGTGAGCACCTGCCTGTAATTGTCACAAAGTAGAAAGCATGAGTAACTGAGAGTAGAGAGTTACCTATTTGGCATGCAAACAATGTTGGATACGAGAAGTGAGGTAGTCTATGGGAAACTTATGTACTTGGGGGCTATCCATGGTATTGAATCCCAAATAGATCGCTGAGCATTATGAGTAAATAGGAGTGCCCCAGAAGTGGCTTAACAATCGATTCTTTCCAAAAGTATGCCGCAAAATTTTAAACTATGGAATATTCTCCTGATATTTCTATTTAATTTCAATAGTATTTAACGTTACTAACAAGCTCAGTTCCTTATTTATTTTATATAAGAACAAGTTTAACGATCGCTTTCGGGTTTTCTGAATTTGAACTCGCAAAACTGATAAGAAAAGCTTTTTATAAACTTTGCGATTTCAGTTTCAGGGTCAATATTTAAATTGTATAATAATTGGATTACCGAGCTTATCTTGTTTCAAATCCGCTTTTCAAATTAATTCCGGTTCCGGTTACAGAACAATGTAAATAAGATTTCTCATAGTCATTTTGAACGATTAATTTAATTAACCCTTTAAACACAAATCATAAGTATTTTAGAATGATTCCTCGATTGGGAAATTCTTTCTGATTCTCAATTAAAGACTAAGTTGGCAAATCTTCTCAAACAGCAAAAATAGTACAAAAAATATTATAGATTTTAAAGCAATAGTATTTTCACACCTACTTTTGATTTAATACTGATGATAACCAGGAATTTAACAACTACCTTGCTTCACCTTGCTCTTAGAAAAATAAATATTAAAAAGAAATCAAGGAATGATAGTTCCTTATTTCTTTAGGTGTAACCCCTCAAGGAGACCAGCAATCGTCTGGCATTTCCCAACGCCCATCTCCAACCTGATCTCTCGCTTTAGATCCAGTTTGCACTCAAATTACCCGCACCTCAGAGAGGAGCAAAGCTTACCTATAGTCAGGGTTGAGCGTAAAGCCGGTGGCGGTGAATAATCCATTGGCCAGGTGCACCTCATGGGCTCCCGGTCGCTGGGACTTGCGGTTCGCGCGCATCGGACTTGTGGCCCGCCAGTTGGTCAGGGGACGACCGGCGGTCACCTGATCCAGGGTGGGCTGCTGCAGGTCGCGCAGCATCAGGCTAAACTGTTGGTGCAACTTGTTGGTGTCCGTGATTCCAAAGACCGAGGACAGCTCAAGGTATGTGTTTCCCTTGGCGCCCAGATAGAGGAGCGCCAGGGAATGGACAATGCTCAGCGGCGAGAAGATCTCGCTTTTCCTCTGACCCATATGCCGTCCCAAGTTGTAAGCGAACTGCAGAACAGACTGCGATATCTGCTCCGAGGTAGCCAGGTCGACGTGTGTAGCTCCAAGTCCAGAACCGATGGGGTAAGGTTGCTTGATGGCGCTGGCTCCGAAGCGGGAATTGACGGGATCGCTCTGGCTGGCAAAGGCGCTTACAAGGCCCGGTGACTCCAGGGGCGCAAGTGTGGGCAGGGGCACGTGATGTGGCTGCTCCGGATGCAGCTCCGATTGCTGTATAGATGGTAGCACCTGCACCTGCGACGGCTGTGCCTCCTGTGGCATCCGCTGTTGCGCCTCGCGCTGCCTCTTCTCCTCGATAAGGCGGTTCACATAGGCCATAGTCTCTGGCGTTCTGATATCATCCCGAAACAGTTCCGACTGGCAGCACACCGCGCTCAGCGACAGGAAGGCCAGAATCAAGCCCCACATTTTGTAACAATTCACTTATAATCTTGAACGCACACGGAACCACTTTTATATAGCTTTAAATCTATATATACATATATATTCTATATGTGTATATATGTTCCTCTTCGATCGGGTTAACCGCAATGTGTCCGTTCGAGTTGCTAAAACCAAACTGAGCTGGAGCTGGGCTGAGCGCGCATCTTTATAAAACTGGAATCGGAAACTCGTTATCAAGCCGCTCTCGCAGCTGATCTTGGAGAGCATTGCGACGACTCACCGGGTTTACCCGACTTTGTTTTTATTGTTTATATTGTGGCAATTGCTGCACTTGTTATTGATCTTTGAAAATCGGTACTTTCTGTAAGTGACTCTCAGCCTTCTGCGAACTCTGTGTGGAGGAAATCCGTTCCGGGGATCTCTCTTTTTCTCTCTATGGAGCTCCGCCTTCTGACCCGTGACGTCCATGGCTCCAAGCTCGTGCTCCCCGTTTGAGTAAATATTTTAAATATTTATAAGCTGTGAGCGGTATCGGAATAAGCTATACTATATGATTTATGTTAGGTGCGTATTCTTGGCTTTGTCATTGGAAAGTTTGCTGAAGGTGGCTGTTTTTTAACTGTGATAAAGCTGGGGATCTCCCTTTCCTAGGATAAGATGATCATCAGCGATGATGATGCTGGCTCTCATCCCACAAGAATCTCTGACGATTCTACCTGACTTGCATTTTTAATTAACTGGGAAATATTATGACAATAAAAGAAAGCTATTGTAAAGATATTTATAAACACGTGTACGAATTTTCTAACCATAAAATTAATAATAATAATATATATATATAATAATTAATTAGGCATTTAATCAAGTCATTTGAATCATGAAATTTAATCATAAAAGTAATTAACAAGTCATTAGAAACTGTTTCAATTATTGCCTGTAGTAAGCTAATATATTAATAAGTAATTAGAAACGGTTTAAATTATTGCCTTTCGTATAGAAATATATGTTTATATATTAAAATAAATCTAGGTGTGGCGTAATCTTTAAGTGATTGCAGCAAAAGTCAAAAACATTTAAAGCCCCTTCCGGAATTTCCAAGGTTTTTTTGACAACATAATAAAAAATCCCAAAACGTGACTACAATTTTGAAATGTGAAGTGAATAAATATAAATATTCAATCCTTCGTTATTCCCTTACAGGGTATTATAATTTCTGTCAGAACCTAATAACGCTGTGAAGGAGTCATTTCCGACCCTATAAATCATATATATTATTGATCAGCATCAGCAGTTGAATCGATCTAGCCATGTTTAAAAGAAAATAATTTGTTTCAATTTTTTCAAAATTTCATAAGGGGTTACATCGTTAAAATTATCAAAAGTTGGCAAAAAATTTTATTTTTTTAAATTCTTTTATTGAGTATGCAGATTTGTTAATCTAATAAAAACTAACATAGGACGGCTTTTCGAATTTAAATTGATGCAGTTTTGGTCTAGTTATAAGTTTTTTAAAATTTGATTTATAGACAAAATTGTCATATAAAATATAGATAAATATTTATTCAAAAAATATAAACATTTTAAGCTTAGCTATGTTCGATTTCCAATTTGATCCTATATTTAATTTTGAACTTGGATTTCATTTGAATCTACAAAATGTACTTTGAAATTTGAACTTTTTTAATAACTCTATCTGGATCTAGATGAATTAAATCCTCTCCAAGAAAGTTCTCTCTAAAGAACTGATTAACTAAAAATAACTAAATTTGTCACGCGATTTTAATTATCAGTCTCTGCCAGCTCATAAATCTACAATTTGATTAACCTTTTGGTGCCTTTGATGACTAAACAAATAATAGTAATAATTTATAATGTATGAGTAAATATTATCTCTAACATTACTGTTTTAATTAATGCAATGGAGTGTCAGTTTATTCTATCTGATTTATTATTAAATTGAATTTTGCATTATAAAATAAAACAAATAGAAATTCAATGTATTTATGCTAAATACTGCATTTTATTAATTCTTTTAGTGCAATTTTAAATGAATAAAATCCTCAATTAGCCCAATAAACTGTTTCTATAGCTTGAAAACCGATCTTCTCAAACATATTCCTCGAAGCTGTGTTTTCGTGCACCACGGGAGCCAGGACCTGATCTCCCAGAGCCGAGACTTTCTTGGACACCGACTTGACCATTAATTGACCCAGACCGAGACGTTTATGCGAGTCCACGACTTGCAGCAGACCCAAAGAACCAATAGGCAATCTGAAGAGATAAAAAATATATAAAAATATATAATAAATCATAAATAATCTCACCTTAAACACCAGGCAACCAACTTGCCACTCTCATCGTAGGCTCCTGTATTAACATTTAGTTGTATTAGATTTTTAACAAAGTCTACGGATCCAGGGGCACGATGCGGCCAGATTTCATTTATAGTTTCGGCATCTTCAACAGAGAGATCAGCTAGAGTAATGCCATATGGAACCCTGTGTAATAATATATGTACTATAATGAAACTGGAAAATATTCAACGAATTTCCACTCACTCAAGAGTGAAACTGTCCACGAGCTCCTTGCTGGCCTTATACCAAATAGTGCCCACAACATGGAATTCTTTGGTGTATAACTTCTTGCCTATATCTTCGACTACTGGCTTAAGACGAGAGTTATAGCCAAAGAATATATATTCATTTTCCACTGGCTTTAGGCATTCGAGGGCTTTGGTTATATTGTCGAAATTGTCACTGAGAGTGTTGAAGTAGATGTGATTAACTCCCACTTCCCTATGCCACTATGTGTGAAAAATAATAAATAGTAATTTATTTTGGCATGTATGTAATTGCACTTGTACTTACAGTTAAAACAAAGGTTCCATCTTTCTGCCAGTCTCCATCAAGCGATAAGAACTTGACCTTTAGACTAGGGTCTTTTTCCACCCACTGAATGAAATTATTAATGCATGGATAGCCCTGGGGATCGGTGTCTTTGTGGATATATAATTCTCGGAGCTTAGCCCAATCCCTGGGGGGAATCTCGACCAGTTCCTTCGACATCACAACAACCTCTCCAAACAAAAGTCAAAGTAGAACTGATCTTGAAGCCAAAGAGAACTACATTTTCAGGCATTTTATGAAAGAGAACATTCATTTCTGGAGAGAGAACAATATCACTTGTTTGCTGAATTTTATTGAGTAGCAATGAGCTCTTGTGTGTAAATGAAACTAATAAAAGATTATATATTTAATCTAAGCAATTACAGCCCAATATATTTTATTAATGGGCTTAAAACCTAATTTCTCAAACATTCTGCGAGAGCTCTGGTTAGCAAAGACTACTGTGGCCAGAACCTCAGATCCTGTGGCTATAATTTCCTTGGCCATAAAACGCACAGCCAAGGATCCAAGTCCTTGACGACGATGGTCAGCTAAAACGTGCAAGTGGCTTAGACTACCGTGGGGAGATCTGAAAACAAATACATTAATAATTATATGATATTTCAATAAGATATTTCTCTGTGTACCTAAGACACCAAGCCAAGGGCTCTCCTTGGCTATCGAAGACCCCAGCACTGACATTGTGCTCCAACAGACCTCTTATCAGAGGCAGGGAATCGGGGGAGCGATAAGCCCAATGCTGATCCACCAAGTCGGCATGCTTAGCACTGAGATAACCCACATTAAGTGAGGTACTCGAGCTGGAATTAACAGATTATGGATAAATAATATATTTAGTTAATATTTGTATTACCTGGCTTTCCACTTTTGTACTTCAGAGCTTGGCAGGTGATAAACTATAGTGCCCTGATGCTCCAATTCGCTTAGATCTCTACCCAAATATTGCCAATACTCCTCGACAAGGGTCTTATATCGTTCTCCATACCCACAAATTATATGGAACCCCTTTAAATTCAAGGAACACAATAAACCCTTGAGATCTTCCAGACATCCCTTGACAGTATCGAAGTAAACAAAGTTTTTGCTGAGTAAAGTGTGCTGAAATCACAATCATATATGTAATTGCTGATTTATCTTGAATAGGAATTGTCTGCCTACAATAAGCATATAGTTGCCATGTGTAATCCAATTCTTATCAGTTGTATATATCTTTATTGACTCGTAACTCGATTCTGGTTGGTAGTTTACAAAATACTCTATTAGGTCGAAGCCCGAAAGATTTTTTCGATCTCCTGCAAACAGATCTCTCAGTGCTGGCCACTGATCGCGAGAGACTTCCATTAACTTGGAACCCATTGAAAAAACTATAGCTGACAATGCTAGAAAATTAAATGAAAGCAGAGATGTTGTTACACAAAAAACAACCACGGAAGAGAATTCTCTTAATTATTTACGTCTCTTAGAAAATGCACTAAAGAAGAGAAAACTTGATTATCGATAACCGACAACCGATCATCTTTGCTCATTCCAGCGTTGGGTTTAGAACATATCGTAATCGTTATCGATGGAAACTTGTTGCCTTTGTTTATGTTCTAAAAAACTGAGCGCCTTTTTTGAATCTATAAATATGAATGTAAACAACTAAAATGTCATTAAGTAAAATAATAATTAAATACAAAAGATGTTATGTTATTATATTTATTATTATATTATTTAGTAATTAAAGAATTTTCTAAAAGAACCATCCTTTATATTTTTGGTGAAGTTATATAAAGAAATTAAAATAAAGGTCGTGAAAATTAAACAAATAATAAATAAATATTGTTGATATTGAACAAAAGGCATATTAATCTTTGTATCGTAAAGATCTTTAAGAAAACATCAATCATCAAAGTGAGGTAATTCAAACCTCTTATCCAGATTGTACATTATAGGTGGTTCTTCGTAAAACTACTGATTTTAGAATATTCACTTTGACAGGTAGCTAAAAAATTGAGTGAAGCTGAAGCTGCCCCAAGTGGCAATCAAAGCCAATAATGATTCACTTTGACTATTTTCCATTAAAACGTATCAATTTCCACACGCATGTCTGGTTTTTGGACACCCGAGGCCAGCCACTAGCCTGACACTGGGGTCAGCTGTGGCGGGGGAACCAGAGGCATCTGGTATGGTTATGTAAAGTGTGATCACTTGGCCGAAGATCCCGCGGTCGCCTCTTGCCCAATCAATCGCAGTATCATTTCAGCATCGGAGCGTTCTAGTTCGCTTCGGTTCACCTCTGTCATCGTCGTCGATGACGTGATTCGCAGCTGCTACAGTTTTAAGCCTCCGCCAATTTGGCATTCCCATTCCCATTCCGTGGGGTTGTTTAACCAAAACATGAGACACCAGTAATTGCGCTGGTTTCCAGTGAAGCAGCCGTAGCAATCCGAAGTTCAAATACCACTCCTACGAATCAACAAACTGCGGCTTATCATTGCCCCGAGAACCGGTTGTGTCCAAATAGATAAAGGCCAGACTAACGCCCTCTCAGTTGGTTAATAATACTTAGCATATTACCTGCAATACACCAGGCTGCAGTGCGTCTCGCGACATGGGCCACAAGCTCTCGTGTTTGAAGCAATGGAATTGCGTGGATTCCGAGTGCTGCCGCCGGAATGGCAGAGACGAGCCCAAGCTGCGTATACGCAATTTCAATGCCAACTATTTGGCGGGTGCTCCAAATCCCGATGAGACGGGTAAGCTAGCTTTTACTGTTGGATGTCCTCCAAATTTTGGGATTAATGCGGGGTCTAAAATTCAGTACATGTTGATTTCTTGGGCATTTTTAAGCAAGTTTTACTTTTAGTTTGAATAGGAACTGAAGATATACTAAAAATTGACTTATTTGCTTATTTCAGGTGTATATAAAAATAAGTTAAAAGTCGCTTTAAGTAAACCAAACGGGTTGTACTAAATATAGGTCAACAAAATACTTGCCTTCAGTCAGAAGCTTAAATGAAGTTGAAGGAGTCATTTCCGACCCTATTAATCATATATATTCTTGATCAGCATCAACAGGCGAATCTTTCTAGCAATATCTGACCGAAAAAAAAATGTTCAGAAATTTCCCATTTTTTGAAAAAAAGGAAAGGGGTCATCATTAAAATTTACAAAAATCGGTCCAAAATTTACATTTTAAATGGAGTATGCAGTTTTATTAAGCTGCTAAAAATTAACACACGAACGCTTTCCAAATTGAAATTGATGCTGTTTTGGCTTAGTTATGAGTTTTTTAAACTGTGATTTGTTAGAAAAATTCTCCTATAAAAATTACTGAAACTGAAAGTTAGTTTTCTTTATTGTTCTTGCCTAAGCTCCATTGCAAATTTATTATATACTGTTTACTTGTATTTCGTTCTATTTATTACGAAGTTCTTTATTACAAAATATCTACATTCTTAGGGCTTATAAAGAAAACAGGTTCAAACACATCATATAATAAGGTTTATAATATAAACTTCATATCCATATATAAGCCATAATTTTGTTAATCTCGGTAACAACAATGATACAATACTCTCCTTGCCTAGCTTTGTAATATGTCCTTGTTGGCGTTGATCTTTTAATGCTCTTAACTTATATTTTTCGAAATTGATTTATTTTATATAGCATCACGGCTATAAAATGTGTTCCGCTCACCGACGTTTCAAATTGATTTACTTTGTACGAACAATTATGCATTCTGTTCTGTAGTTATTGCCTTTTATGAATGCAAATTGCCGGCTGCTTTCGTGGGTGTTTAAACACTCATAGTTGAGACTGCCCACAGCGTGGAATAGCCATCGAATTGCTCATTTAATGCCTGCAATTTTGCGAAATTGAATTAAAATAAACAAAAAGCGTGAAACACCTGCTGTCTCTCCCCGAAAAATGTGATGTTTATACAATAATTAATGATAAACAGCCAAGCGAAATGATTGATAAGAGCGAGTCGAGCCTTATATTACCTATGGAGAGCACTCCACGCTTCGCTTGATGACCATGTTGATGTTGATGGCGATGATGTTGCCAATGAAGAACGATGACGTAGTCACAGCTTCTGGCCACAACGGGTCCAGCTCCGAGCTCGGCTTCTCGGACATAATTAATAACAAAACAAAACCGACCAGACCTGGAGAGAGCAGCGGAAGGTAGACAAATCTTTTGGAGAGCGGCACACGCAGTCTCTGAGAAAGCCAATTTCCGATCAGTTGAGTTCAAAGCGTCGCAGTGTTCGGTCGGGTATAGCTTCGAGCGGATCAAGAAATATATAATCGAGAGCAGTTGCCGTTAGTTCTATTCTTCAGTTGTCGGTTCTGCCTCTTTTGTTAAAACCGTAACGCATAAGCTGTGGCTCGCAACGGTCTTCTCGTTTCCATTTAAACCGAATTGTATTAGCCGGAAGCCAGAGAAGATGAGTTACTGGTATCGGAATTACACTCCAAGTTGGCTGCAGCGATGGTGGCCCAACCCCCACCAGCCACGCAGAGTGAATCCCTTTCGGAGCACTCGGCCCTCGGCCGATCTAGAAGGTACTATATATCAATCCATCCAGAACTGTGAAAGATCACTCAAAAAGTACCCCAAACTTATCAAATAGATTTGTGAATTGTTTTAATACGGTTTTAATTGGTTGCATAATTTATTTATGACTTCACTTTCCGCTGCTTTGTTTTCACTTTAAAATTTTGTGTTGTTTAAACACGTTTCGAGGGCTTACTAAATAAAAACAAAAGTGTTGTGAATGCAAATATTAATTTTTTGACTGTATTTTAAATATTTATTAATCAAAGCTACTTAGACTTTGCTTCAATGAATTGGAATTTTTATTTTAATTTGTGTGTTCTTTAATGGTAGATGACTTCATGAGTTGGAAATACTTTTGTTTTCATTTGGAATCTGGGAAGTTTAAGCTGTCTGGCAGGTTCTCTACGGGATTTATCAGCGATCCACCCTTAATAGTCAAGATTAAATATCACCTATAATGATCTATGAGTACGACACAATATGTTAAGTGCTATAATTACCCAGCAAATCATTAGGAATTTTATATTATTTTATTGTATAGTTTTTGTTTTTGGTCTATGACTTCATTTTGTGTGCTTTTGTTTCTATTTCCGTTGCGGAATTTTCGTTTTGGGTTTTTCTGACACGTTCGTGAGGTCGAATTTGCATTGCTATTTTGCAAAAATTATTAACACACTTTTAACAGGCAAATACATATTTTCCTGTAAGCCGATCCCTTCACACTTTCAGTATTCCAGCAAATATTTCATTTTCCTATTTTCTTATTGCTGAATTTCTGCTATATTTTACTCTGAATTCAAGGCGAAAGTGTCCAGGGAAAAGCCAAGTGAAACACATGGCTGATAATACTAATTTGACTTATTTTTTATCATAGAAAAATAGCTTGTTATTTATGGTCGCTTATGTTTTCTTTTTTCCCCCTCGATAGATGTTTGGGAACAGTCAAACGGAGAAATCTATTTTTGATTCAAAAGTTTCAGTTCCGACCTTAGGTAACCTTAGCAAATTGCTTTCCATCTATAAAGTAATTTATGATTGGAACTACTCAAAATATAGGCTATTGTGTCGTTGCCCTTTTGACTATGTCTTTCAGAAAACAAAGTGATTCTTTGGAATATTTATAGAACCAAATAATACATTAAAAAGCTGATCTCTTAATTCAATTTTAATTTCCTTTCGATTTCCAATTGCTTTTTTAGCCTTAATTCCAAGAAAAATCTATATTACTCATTCTGCAATTAATCTTTTGAGGATATTTTTTTGCTGAATAAACATTTTATACATTTTATTTTTTTATGTTTTATTTAATTTTAGTTTTTTTTAGCGGGGCGTTGGCGTTGCTTTTTATTGTCCACTGCGAGAATTAATTGGCTTGGCATTGATCTTATGGCCATTGTGGCACAAGTTTGTTATGTTTACGGCCAAAGGCTATTAGTAAATATAATGCTGATGCTAATATTGGGGTTTCGGGGAGCACAGCTGACAGAAGATTTGCTTTATGATATCATCTGCTCACCATCATCACACAGCGCAAAGAGATCTCTTGGAAGCCCACACTAACCGTTGACAGATTTTATTTAGACCCTGTCCAAGTACTAAATATTACTCATGAAAAGCGTATTCGAATTGTTTATAAACTTTTGGCATAGTTATAAAAATAAAAGCAAGGCAATACATTACAAAATACATTATTTAAATATGATATTTGCTTCAGTTTCTCATACTCTATTTATTAATGTAGTTAATCACTTAGAAATTTAAGGGAAAATCCCTTAATTAAGGGCTGATCAAAATATTCCTTAAGTCATTTAACAACTTACCTTAATTAATATCAACAGATGCCGCCAGTTCCGCCGTCCTGGGCGTCCACAGAGTGGACCTTTGCCTGGAGGATAACCACGATGAGCACCACACCAGTCACTTTTATGCGGCAGCTGCCAAGGAGGCTCTGATCGTGAGGAGAGGCGAACCCTTCCGGCTGCGTATTCACTTCAATCGAGACTATAGCCCCAGCAAGGATGCGATTAGCTTCATTCTCAGCGTAGCGGATGACACCAAGCCGAGCCCAGGACATGGAACTCTGAATGCCTTGGTGCCGCACGATGGCATCGACTATCTGGGCGACACCCTGGAGTGGGGAGCCGGCATTGAGTCCCACGAGGGACTAACCCTCACAGTACTGATCAAGCCGCCATCCACATGTCCTGTGACTGAGTGGAGACTCGACATTGACACAAAGTTGTTGGGAGATGGCTCGAGGAGCTACCCGCTGCCACTGCCCATCTACATTCTGTTTAATCCCTGGTGTCCGGAGGATCAGGTCTATCTGGAGGATCGGGAGCAGCGCAAGGAGTACGTGATGCATGACACCACGCTCATATGGCGGGGATCCTACAACCGACTTCGTCCCTCGGTCTGGAAGATCGGCCAGTTTGAGCGTCATGTGCTGGAGTGCAGCCTCAAGGTCCTGGGCACCGTGGGCAGGATTCCGCCGGCCTACAGAGGCGATCCTGTGCGAGTGGCCCGTGCTCTGTCAGCTTTGGTTAACTCGGTGGACGACGATGGCGTCTTGCTGGGCAATTGGTCGGAGGATTTCTCCGGTGGCGTTGCACCCACCAAGTGGACCGGATCGGCGGAGATCCTCCAACAGTTCCACAAGACCCAGAAGTCGGTGAAGTTTGCTCAGTGCTGGAACTTTAGCGGAGTGCTGGCCACCATTGCCCGAAGTCTGGGCATCCCGGCGAGAATCATCACCTGCTACTCGTCGGCCCACGACACCCAGGCATCGCTCACAGTCGATGTTTTCATCGATTCGAACAACAAGAAGCTGGAGGCGGAAACCACGGACTCGATATGGAACTACCATGTATGGAACGAGCTGTGGATGCAGCGCCCGGACCTGGGCATTGGTCAGCATGGCTCCTACGACGGCTGGCAGGTGGTGGATGCCACCCCGCAGGAGGCATCGGACAACATGTACCGCGTGGGTCCTGCCTCCGTTCTGGCCGTGAAGCACGGCGAGATCCTGCGGCCCTTCGACGGCGGCTTCGTCTTTGCGGAGGTGAATGCGGACAAGCTCTACTGGCGCTACAACGGACCCAGTCAGCCCCTGAAGCTTCTGCGCAAGGACACCCTGGCCATTGGCCACCTCATTAGCACCAAGGCGGTGCTGAAGTGGGAACGGGAGGACATCACCGATACCTACAAGCATGCTGAGCGCTCCGAGGAGGAAAGGAGCACCATGCTCAAGGCCCTCAAGCAATCCCGCCATGCCTTCAGTCGGTACTACCTGAACGACAACTTCAACGACGTGGAGTTTGACATGGAGCTCAAGGACGACATCAAGATCGGCGAGAACTTCAGTGTGGTGCTCAAGGTCACGAACAAGAGCGAGACAGTGACACACCTGGCCACGGGACAGGTCAACTGCGATGCCGTCCTGTACACCGGCGTGGGTGCCATGGAGGTTAAGGTCCTGGGCTTCGAACTCGAGCTGAAGCCCAAGAGCAGCGAGTACGTGCGCATGGAGGTCATTTTCGAGGAGTACTTTGAGAAGCTCTCCTCGCAGGCTGCCTTCCAGATCTCGGCAGCCGCCAAGGTCAAGGACACGGACTACGATTACTATGCCCAGGATGATTTTCGAGTGCGCAAGCCGGACATTAAGTTCCAGCTGGGCGAGGCAAGCATCGTGGCCCAGAAGGAGCTGGACGTAATCGTGCGCCTGGCCAATCCGCTACCTATTCCTCTCCACAAGGGCATATTCACGGTGGAGGGACCTGGCATTGAGCACCCTCTAAAGTTTAAGGTGAGTTTTTGAAGGCCAAAGAGCATCCTAAATCATTCATAACATTCCTTTACAGATCGCCGAGATTCCAGTGGGTGGCACCGCCGCAGCGACCTTCAAGTACACTCCGCCCTACGCCGGACGCGGCACAATGCTGGCCAAGTTCACCTCCAGGGAGCTAGACGATGTGGACGGCTACAAGCACTACGAGATCGAGCCAAGGCCAGAGGATGTGCTGCAGCCGAATGGAAGCCACCGGAGGAGCAACATCATCCGCAGACGCACTGATGTTATAGCCTGAAATAATCCCCATTTTTTCGTATTTTTAGCCTTAGTGATTTGTTGTAAATAATATTTAATAATACATATAATTTTTTGATATTTAAAGTGATAGTGCTCGAGATGGGTTAGTTACTCCAGATTTCATCGATGCCCAGGGCATAGCTCGGTTTGTTGGCCGTTTTCACAAGGAAAATACCTCGAGCATCCCGCGGAACAGGATCACCCATGAGGATTTTAGTTCCCGTGCAATTCTTGCCTTTGAGTTCATCCAAGCCAGAGCAGGGAACGCCGTAAAAGCCTTTGGGAGAGTTGATGGATTCCGCATAATATTCATAGGAACGTCCGTGACTGCAACCAGCTGAAAGATCGGTGCACGAGGAGCTCAAGATGGGAACCAAAAATTCCCTCTATATGTGAATACTCACTGAAAATCTGTGACAGCTCCTTGCAGCCCGGTTGTGGTGGACCCCCGCCATTGGGATAGAAATCCACCATTCCGATCGGTCGACGGAAACCCAGGTAGCCGGCACAACTGTGTATGACATCCACGAAGTTGGCATCCGTGTCGTCCAGGTGATTCTCTGGCCCAATGCAGTCCTCGAAGGCGGGACGAGCCGGATCAAGGCCAGTGATGCGATTGACCCTGTACTTTGTATAAGAGCCAGCATAGCCCATAATATGGGCGCCAAGACTGTGGCCAATAAGGTGTATCCTCTGGGGATCCGCGTCCTTCTCCTCCACCAGCAGATCGATCAGTTTGGCCACAGCTCTGCCCACTTGGACCGTGTACCGAGCCGGGGTCAAATAGTATATATTATCCGCCTGATCCTTCCAGTTGATGGCAAACACGTTCACCTGGCCCCGTTCGATATAGGCACCACGAATCGATTGGATGGAGTTGCTCATGGTGCTCGACTTCCAACCGTGAACGAGGATCTTGGTGTCCAGATCCGGGTTAAACTTCTCAGCCATCTCTTGCCACGTATCTCGCTTGTGACGCTGCGGGAACTCAAAGTTGTCGTCGTCTATCCAGAAATCGGCACTGGAACTGGACTCGCTGAGGGAAGAGAATTATTAGAGTTATTATTAAGAACATGTCGATTATTCCAAATTAATCCCCTGGTCACCTTCCATAGAGTTCAAACTTAATGAGCTGCGGCAGATTGATGCGATTCTCCGGCGGCGGTTCCACCAGGTAGGCCACCTCCGGCTTACCCTCTCCATTAGGCATATAGAGCCAGGTCTTGTTGTAATCCTCCTGATTCAGAGCCACTTCTCCGCGAATGCCAACTAAGTAAGAAATTAAAAGAATCGATGAGTAATAAAAAATGATTGACTAATAACTACTTTACAGAGCAGGAGCACGGGTCGGACCACCTGGGCGAGGGCTGCGAAACCAGTGATGAGCCACTGCAGCACCACAAAGGTGGTGGACACCTCGTTTCGACACGGATTAATCACATTGCAGATACAGGCCAGCGCGTTCGAGGACATCTTGACCAGCTAACCGTCGATTGCCAACTGATCAGCGATCATGGCCCAAGGCCCCAACAGTCCCAGTTCCAGGTGCGAGCTACAGCTCCAGATCCAAGCCCGAAGCTCATTAAGGCGGCTGACGCATTTGTAATCCTCGAAACCGGTTACGACCCAGCAATTAATTATTGGCCTGGAGCGCTTTAATTACTCATCAAACTCCAAGCGATGTGTGTGCGCTCAAATCTCGGTCAGCCGAGAAGTCGACGGAGACAAAGCCAATCCACCTCCGGTTCCCCGTGTAACTCACCCACCAGCCAACCAAGGGCCATTCCCCAGCAAAGCCAGCTAAGCACCAACATCTTTACACGGAACACAACTTAACTGTGGCCAGGAACTCACAACTGAGGATTTTATAGACTGGGTGTGGGCTTGGGAAGCCGCCAGCGATAAGCTAGACCAGGGCCAGGTGTCAATCAAGACTGGCGTCTAGGGCGGTTCGCTGCCCAGGTTGAAGCCTCTATGCGTGGTTCCTTATCAAAGAAGCTCGGCTGGATGTCGAAGGCATGGCGCTGATAAATTGGGTTAAGTCCAGTGCTGTGGCGCATACTAAGCAAAGGTGGTGCATTGCCCCTATTTATAGTAAATGGAGCATTAAAAAAAAACTATTTCCACTTGAAAACTTTAAAGTCAAAATTACTATTAATTATCATATTAATTAATTATCAATTATTATATCTGAATTAGTATTTAGTAAGCATAAAACTAACTACATTTTTCAGAAACATAAAATAAGTTCTCTACATAATAAAATATCAATTTGGAGAAGTCCAGAAATAAAGTTAAATGTGTCAGCATGTTGTTGTTTTTCCATTTTAAAAAATGTAATTTTTAAATCCATTATTTTTAGGCAAAAACACCAATATTTTTTAAATATGCAAACTAGAGAGAAATAGTTTTATTTACATATTTCCTGAAATAAATATTATAATGAACAAGAAAGAAAAAAAAACTACGGGAAACCGAAATTTTTATACCCTTGCAGGCTGCATAGAATTATAGGATCGAATCGCAATTGAAACTTTAAAAAACTCATAACTAATCCCACGATGTTTAACGATGTTACCCATTATAAAAATTTGAAAAAATTAAAAAAAAAATTGTTTCTTTCAAGCACGGCTTGATTGATGCAGCAGTTGATTCTGATCAAGAATATATATACTTTATAGGGTCGGAAATGACTCCTTCGTCCAGAAAAGACAGAAATATGTCCATTATAGGGACTTTTGATAAACAATTATTATGAACTACTTTTTGGAAGAAACTTACTTTTATTAAATATCACCCCTTATAAATTTAAAAAATATACATATTCTTTCAAACACGGTTATATTGACTCTGCTGTCCGATTCGCCATTATTAAAATATTGGGGCCATGTTTATTGCCTAATTCAAAATCATTGTCAAGAATTTACCAGATGAACACCTACATTTTTATATTAATTTATATTTTTTAAATAAATTATTTTTCAATCGAATAAACATCGATATCTGTGGTTTGTGGCAGTTATGCGATAGTTTTGTATAGTCAAAATAATATGACCAATGAATCAGTATTTTGGCCGGAGCAACCAGCGGGCACACTTTCGTATGCGTCACTATTTAGAAACGCCGCGAATAATTGTAATTTAACTAAATTCGCTGCACGCAGCCAAGAAGGAAGAAGCAAGATGTCCGGTACTTCTCAGAAACACAGAAACTTCGTGCAAGAGCCCATGGGCGAAAAGGCGGTGAACGAATTGGCCGGCATCGGCGAAACCCTGGGAGGACGCCTTACTGAAGCGGGCTTCGACAAGGTGAGTGTGTAAATATGAAATGACGCCATGTGCACAAATAAACAATGCTGAATGTTCACCTGATGAATATTATATTTTTATATGCAGGCCTACACTGTCTTGGGGCAGTTTCTCGTGTTGAAGAAGGACGAAGAGCTGTTTAAGGATTGGATGAAGGAGGTGTGCCATGCCAGCTCCAAGCAGGCCTCCGATTGTTACAACTGCCTGAACGACTGGTGCGAGGAGTTCTTGTAAGCAGCGCGCGACCAGTGCGAGGCATTCCGATCAAAAAATAAGCTTGGTGGACGTGACAGCATTAAAAACAAAAACATTTTCAAATCTCAATGTCGGTCGGTACATGTTCACATGATAGTTCGTAGGTAATTTGTAACCTTTAAAATAAATGTACAGTCATGTAAGCGGTCCTGCGTTAATTCGTTCCTGTGTTGGCTGAGATGTTTGTAAGATCTACCTGGGACCATTGGAATGTTTGGGTGTGAGGGGGTATTTGTGTGTTTCCCTATGTGTACTTTCCGCTTTTTATAAAAGTGTTTAGTGACTATGTTTTTCGTAGTAGGGCGGTAGTAAGAGTTTGTTTGTTGTTAACGCTTGTGATTAACTTTGTGGAGGATAGGAAATCCGATCTTATTTGCTTATTTTCCTTTTTTTTTTACAGAGACAGAGTAGAACTGGTATATGAGTCCAGAATTGAACAAATGTGTGTCGATCGAAAAAAGAATAAAAATGTAGCTCATTTACATATTTTGCTTAAAATAAAATTATTAAAACACACACTAAGACAGCTCACTTGTGATCTTAAAGATGGACAAAAATGGTAACGGATCGGTATTGAGACTTTAAATCAAATTAAATAAACTATTGCAATGAAATACTTTTAAATAAACACTAAGACAGTTCACTTGTGGTCTAAAATATGGGTAAAAAATTGTAACGCATCGGTATTCAGAAATTAAATAAATAATTATAAGTATGGGAAAAGCCATGGGAGGAATAAACCATGCGAATTATTGCAATGACCTTAAATATATATATATCATTATATTCAGGCCTACACCATCCTGCGGCAGTTCCATTACAACAACAAATATATCACCAAATAAAAAATTACAAGTATTAAAATAAAATAAAAAAGATTTATAAACGAACACTAAGACAGTTCACTTGTGATTTAAATTACAGCAACAAATATACCACCAAATACAACTTACATCTCATGGTAACGCATCGCTATTCGGACTATAAATCAAGTCAAATAAACAATTACAAGTAATCAAAACAAAATAGCAAAGTATTTAAATATGTAATATAAGTTAAATAAATGATACCAAAAAGTAATAAATAACGACCAGGCTATTGCTCGGTGAAATCTACCAGCAAACTGGCAAATTCAGCTGGAAACGGTTTTCTTTTATACGATTTCGTTTGACATTAAATCAATACATCGCCGATAATTTCAGTAATTTATTCGTATAGGGAATCCCCTGATTGTTTGATTTAGTTGCCCATTCCCAATTTCTCTACCTTCTTAAAGCTATCGATGTTTAGAAATACAACTCGATGTATCGCATTTTTTGAAATCATCGATAGTAACATCGCTGTTTTTGCAGCTCTAAGTCTCTGTATTATACCAATGAAAATCAAGAGAAAAATTGCAAAATACAGCCAAGCGGTGCATTAAAACGCAAAGTAAGCGAAGCACATCGGCCCTAAGTCCACGCGTGGCTAAAACCCAGAAACCGCACATGCGGAATTCAGCAAAGTGAAAATACTTCGGCTCTGGCGTATGCGTACGTTCGCGAGTGTGTGCGTGTTTTTCTTTGTATATAGACTCGACGAGCGAGATGGCTATACGAGGCGAACGGGCGGCAGGTGCATGAGAGCGAGCGAGAGAAATGCTGTGCCGCTGCAACTCTGTGTTATTTCAGAGTTCCAGGCCAAACATTCTGATGTGCGGCCGAATCGAATCAAATCGACTTTTTGTATGCAGCAGCACCTAGCTTGCCCCTCGCCCTAATTAATTAGTAATTGCAAACGGGCGCAACAATGGACCAAATCATCAAACGCGCTGCACTCTAATCGCCGTCTGCGTCTCGTCATCCATTCGGGGTTTGCGCCTTCCTCCCCACCGCGTCATTTGTTCGCTCACAAAACGGTGAATCGTGAAAGGTAGCAACAACGTTTCCTTGGAAAAAGCTGTAAATAGTAAACAAAATTGTCAAGTAAACCAGCAAAAGCTATTGAAAGGTTCCGAAGCGTATTGCCCGGGAATCGAGTAGCAGGTCCCAGGAATTCATTGAAGTTTTATAGAAAAGAGAATAACGCCCGTGCCCGTGTCCAAAATCCGTGCCGTGAGTGTCTGTGTGCCATTCAAATTTCCCTGCGATAGTGTGAGCGTGTGTGTGTGTGTGTCTCATTTGAGTTTTCCGACAAATCCAGCGTGAAAAGTGTGGCAAATGGCCGTGTAACACCTACAGTAACCTCTCCTCGCGGAGAAGTTTAAACTCCGACATTACATCAGCTGTTTCACGGCTTTTGTACGCTATAATTTAGCCTTTTTCCAACCGCTGCTGACAACACTGAAGAGAGAGTGTGCGGGTCGCGTGTGACGTTGTACGTACCGTGTGTGCCGTAAAGAGAGTCCGAGCGAGAGGGCTCGATAGTAGTAGCACATAACATAGGGCGATTGCGGGAGTGCGAGCGAGCGAGAGGGAGCCGGAGCCAGAGCCAGAGCCAGAGAAGAGAGTGTCCTGCTGCTCCCTCCTGCGCTCTCCCCCGCATTCGGAAAATTCAATGACCTCATTTGTCTCATGTACGGAACTTTGCTCTTTTCCCCCTCCAAAAACCAACGAAAAACACACGAAACAGGACCAAGAGTAACAGCAGCGACAAAGGACGAGCAGCAGCAGCAGCAGGAACTCAATTCGAGGGCCATAAACAAAGGACACTGCATTTATAGCACTGGGCAACACAAGACGGACAGCTGGCAAGCGAAGTAGCAGAAGCAGCAGCAGTTGCAGGACCAGACGGAGCAGCACCGGGAGCAGGAGCAGTAGCTAGAACTACCCGGCAGCCAGCCAGCCAGAACAGCCCCAGAGAGCGCGACGTAAACCAATGGGCACCAACTCGGGAGCCACCGCTGGCATTAACAACAAGCCGGTTGGCGGTGCGGGAGCCGGCGTCCTCGGCGGCAGCGGCGTTGGTGTCGGCGTTGGCGGTGCCAACTCTTCGATCGGCGGTGTGCTATCCAACAGCTTGGGCGGCGGCAGTGGCGGTCTGAGTATCAGCGGCTTGAACGCTGGTGGACAGAACGCCAATGTTGGCGGTCTAGTCGGCGGCATGAGCAACGTGGGCGACGACGGCAGCAACGGGATGGCAGGCGGCGGTCCGAACAACCAGCAGGCCACCACGCCCCAGTACACAATACCGGGCATATTGCACTTTATCCAGCATGAGTGGTCGCGCTTTGAGCTGGAGCGCTCACAATGGGATGTAGACAGGGCCGAATTGCAGGTGAGTCACTACTGTCCCGTAACACTAGGAATATTTCCTTGGAAGGTATTGATAAGTGGCATGTAAATCAAGAGTTTTTGGGGTAAAATGTCGGGAGTTTGTGAATAACAACGCATGTAGACTTAAGATGCATTTTATCGTGCATTATTGATAAAATAGAAGAGCACAAGTTTCTTTTTCAATAGCTAAAATATAAATATAAATGTGCGTGTAGGAAATATTATATTCTTTTCTATATTATGTCCCAGCAAACCAAGTACAAATGGCATGACAACTACTCGTTTTTGTACCCTTGCAGGTTACTATAATTTCAGTCAGAAGCTTGTAACACAGTGAAGGAGTCATTTGCGACCCTAAATATCATATATATTCTTGATCAGCATCGACAGGCGAATCGATCTAGCCATGTCCGGTATAAATTTATTTTTTTCAAAATTTTGAAAATTTTATAAGGGGTGTTTTATTATACCTAGAATATATATACTTTAGGTTTTCTGGAGGTCCAAGGAAGCCAATGATTGCTCAAGGTTATATACATATATTTCTATTTACATTAAAAATCGAATGGCATTTTCGTCTTAGTTATGATCTATTGCAAATTCAAACCCATGATCCTAACGCTAACTGCAAGGGTATACATACTTCGGTTTCTCGAAGCTTTCTTTCCCTTGTTTCTATTCTTTTAAGTACGCTGAGGGTTAAAGGTCCTTGTTTATCGTCAGCGGGAGCTCACTTTCCATTTCAATGATTTTTTCGAGGCGCTAATGCATGAACATGCAAGGCACACAGCAATGTGGAGAGTGTGGAATATGGAGAGGAGAAGGCCAGCCGAAATGGCAATGGCTAGGAGGAGGAGAAGGAGCAGGGTAGACCAGGAGGAGGCAATGGCTGTCTGCATGCAAGCGAATCGAGCCAAGCAAACGCCGTAATCGAATTTATGCTCTGTTTGCCGCAGATGGCAAACGATACCAAAGAAGGAGCCTTTAACCCCCGAAATATGGTAGTCGCTTTGCAGAATGATTTCAATCCATCAGCGGGGTGTCAATGTCAACCCACTCGCCTTATCGCTTTCACCTGTCGGGAGGGGGCTGCAGCGGGAGTCTTGTTATCGGCGGTATCAATAACGAGCCACACTCCACCAGCCCCCCAATCCGTTACGCTCTAAATGCAACGTGACATTCAAATCTCTCGCTCTCTCCCGACTTTACATCAAGCGGGGAAAACAAGTTAACAACGCACATTTGTCGCCACGATTTATGAACCTGTTCGCCAAGTTCGCCAAGTTGCCGTTTTTGCCCAAACCCAACCAAAGCAAACCAAGTTCGAGTGGGCAGATGCGGCGACACTTTCAACCCACCGCTGCTCCATGGGACGCCATCTTAGATGGGTCCACCGCTGCCATTCCTGCTCGGCATCATCATCATCATCATCTACCATTAGTGGTTGCTGATGATTCCCTGCTTTTGCGTCTATTTATACATATCCGCAGCTCACATCTTTGTGTGTCAGTGTCGTCGAATGCCGCAAATGCAACGTCCTTGCCTCTTTTTTGATTATGTGTGCTGTGCGTTCTCCTCGTTCTTGAATGCATCCACTTCCACTTCCTACTCTGCTGTCGCGTCTGTCTAGGCAATTAACTTGCACAGTGGTTGGGTTCTTTTCCAATAATTCGGTTTGATCTGATCTCACTTGGAATAGTTGTTCCAGGCAGAAGCATTCCCTCTTCTTTAATCATTCAATGGTTTAGCGGAAGGCCCTTTGATTAAGGCAAGAAACTTATTACGAATATTCAAGAAATTTTGTTTTATTTAAAGCTTAAAATTTAGTCTTTTAAGCCATGTATATTCCAGAGTCCAAAAGCACTTTGAACCACTGTTCGTCACCATTATAAAAAGTCGACTCAATTAACACTTATAGCCAAGAATAAAGCGGCAGCTGCCAATACATTTTCAATCATTTCACAATTTGTTCTCTGTGTGCAATTGCATTTATAGATTAGAAAAGCCAGCGCCTCTGCTGGCACTTGTCATAAAAATAATTCTATTTATACAAATATGAATTGGTATATATGTATATATATCTGTATTTTGAATTACATTATACAATTAGTTAGAATGAGAGCCGTGCTCTTTTTCGTTTAACACTCGTTTCAAAACAATGTAAATCAAACTATTCTGGCTTCTCCTTCGCGGGGCAATTAAGTTACAAATGTTACAAATGTGCATTTGTCATGGCATTTGTAATTTCTAATTGGGGAGGCTAAAAACCAAACTAGTTGCATGCCGCAGAGCGATTTGTGAGGTGGAGCTCAGGAGGCGTTGGCGTGTGGCGCGTTGCAGCAGCAACTTGTGGCCCTTGGATGCTCACGGGCTTTCCAAATATCTGTAACATCAGCGCTGGATTTAATTAGCCAGCTTAAGGAGCCAAACGAAATGCCATTGAGCGTTAATTTAAATGCACAACATGTTTCCATTAACAGAGGCCGTAGCACCACAGAGAGCGGAACGGAGCGTTGCTTCTGCTCGGACTCGCATTTTCTCGGTTACTATTAGCACGGCAATTGTTATTGTTGTTAGTTCTGGGTTCTACGCTCGCTCCTCTCATTCCGCAAACATGCGTTGTTAGACAATTGTTGCCAAAACAATAGTGCTGATGTAGGAAAATATAGCTCAAGGCATTTGAAATAGTAATCTGTATGATTTTGAATATGCAAATGAATTTTTTAAGTAATATTAGGTATTCCCAACACGATCAATATGCTAAATATGATACTGACATCATAGTCTAAAGTATTTATAAAAGATACATATTTATTGTTGTTAAAACATTAATTAGTACTTATTCTCGTTATGCTGCCTCTTAATGGGTGAAGAATTTGCTTACTGAGATTAAATTAGAATAATACTTTAATGACTTCATGATTTTCTCCATGGTTTGAGTCACTTTTAATATATCAATACTTATTTTGCTGACCTCGTATGTGTTTAGTGTGGGTGCCGCCCACTTCCCCCATTTGAATTTAGTATTTGTTTTTTTTTAGGGGCGTCGTCATGGCATGGAATCGGATAGAAAGGGTGGTGAGGTGGGGTTTAAAAAGCAAAAGTTGTGTTCCTTGGCGCAGCCTGCTGCTCTGCTCCCTGCGGCAATTGTGTCAGGTGCAATACCACCGTCGACGTCCACCCTTTGGCATCCATCCGGCATTCGCCATTCGCCGCTTTCGTTTTGGGGGAACTGCGCAGCCATAACTGCGAAAACTGAACACTGTTGCTACACAAAATGGGCGGAACGAGGGGAGGAATTGATTCTCTGGGGGATGCGGTTGTTGGGTACATTGCAGTTTTTACGCACTAGCTTTAATGGCAGCAGCGACGACAGCGGACCGGGCTTAGATCTCTCCCCCAGCTCTTACCCCATCGGCTTATTGGGCCAGTTGAAGTTGTTTGTTTGTTTTTATTTTTATTGTATTTTTCTCTGTATCACAATTAATTGAATTTAATTGTTTTTCGTTGGCCCCAACGCAGCGGAGCGTCAATTATGCCAGCAACCCGCCACAACACACACACACACACACACACATCACTTGAGGCACAAAAGCAAACGCAATTGGATTGCAACGGTTGTAAAGAAAAAAGGGGGACAAAGCCATTGGGGAAAAGCTTTAAATAGCTGTATTAATTATTTTTCCATAACTCGTAGTTTTAATGTGTTTCTCCCCCTAGTATTTATTGCATTAGGTAAACCCTTAATAACTTTCACTTTTTTAGGGAAATTACATGCCTATTGTAACAAGATGTAACTTTTTCTATTTCCCGATAAACCATTTACTTTGAACTAAATTTCAATAAAAACTAATCACTTTTCTTTCTCTTTGGTTAAGGCTCGCATCGCAATGCTCCTCGGGGAACGCAAGTGCTTGGAAAGCCTCAAATCCGATCTGACGCGTCGCATCAAGATGTTGGAGTATGCCCTGCGTCAGGAGCGTGCCAAGTTCTATCGGCTAAAGTATGGGACAGATCCGCCGCAGCTGAACGAGTTCAAGCCGTCGAACGAGGACGCTGGCCTGGCCGGCGAAGTGGCCACCGACTCGGAGGTGCCCTACAGCAGTGTCTCGAACACAACGTGGCGACAGGGCCGGCAAATGCTGCGCCAATATCTGGCTGAAATCGGCTACACAGACAACATCATCGATGTGCGCTCGAACCGAGTGCGCTCGATCCTTGGTCTGAACAATAATGCGGAGCACGACGGCAGCGGCGGCGGCCTGGGCGGAGGACTCGGCGCCGGCACTGGGGGCGAGAACCTCAGTCCGAACATTAATGGAAACGAGAGCAACAAGCGCGCCTCGGAGACGGAAGGTAGGTGTTATTGTGTTACGACCCCCTGTTGGGAGATTTGAATAATTTGCTCACATCAGGCCGTCATACTCCCGCTAAAAAAGTGCAACAATCGATCGACGAGATCATCGTGGACACCGAGGCGGCCGTAATGGCGAACTTTGAGTTCCTGGGCGCCACCGAGATGTCTGATGACGATGAGATATCCGACGATCTGGAGATGGTGGCCACCGACAATGACGACACGGACGTGAAGCTGGCCAAGCGGGCCAAATCCGGCAAGGATATGCTGACTGAAGGTATGCCGTGACCCAGATAGCTTGTCCTCCTTGTTATCCGCAGACTAAAAGAAAAGCCTGTAACCTATACCTGCAACCTGCAACCTGCAGCCCTAATCCCGCATGGGCCCACCTCGCATTAAAGCATTTTTGGTTTGCCAAATCGTAGCATATCACGATATTAATTCGGTGTTTGCTCCCAAACAACTCCCGATTATAACCCACGTAGAAATCCATCCTAGCTTTATGGCTGGCTTGCCGTTGTCTTACGCTTTTTGTTCTACTTCTGTTTCTTTGGCGACTCTGTCTTCTACGCTCTACGTAGATCTTGAGACCGAGGTGGGAGAGCAGCTCTTGAACGATATGAATCTCATGAACGAAGGTGCTTTTTCAACACACACAAACCTCTAACAACATGCTTTTGCTAGCCTAAGACAACCCTCAATGGAGTCCCTAGTTGTAAATTCGTTAAGGAAACGCAATTGGCATTGAGCGATTAGTAAGAGTATGTAGCATTAGGGGACTCCTTGAGCGGTGGTGCGCATCTAGAATACCGTATCTAATAATTGTAGTATTTCCTAATCTCCCCACAGAGGTTGACGGCTCACTGGGACTGGGTGAGCTGGCCCAACTGACAGTGAATAACGAATCTGACGGAGCTTACGACGCCAACTCGAAGGATGGAACTGGCGGCAGTGCCGGCGGTGCTGGTTACCGCAAGACCTGGAACGCCAAGTATACACTGCGCTCTCACTTCGACGGCGTTCGCTCGTTGATTTTCCACCCGGAGGAGCCGGTGCTGATTACCGCCTCCGAGGATCACACGCTGAAGCTATGGAATCTGCAGAAGACGGTGCAGGCCAAGAAGTCGGCCAGTCTGGATGTGGAGCCACTGTATACGTTCCGGGCTCACACAGGTCCAGTTCTGTGCCTGGGTATGTCCTCCACCGGCGAGACATGCTACTCGGGCGGCCTGGATGGCAACATCGAGTGCTGGCAGCTGCCTTCCCCGAACATTGATCCGTATGATTGCTACGACCCGAACGTTCACTCCGGCACCCTGGAGGGACACACAGACGCCGTTTGGGGCCTGACCACTATGCAGAGTAATATCGTGTCATGCTCGGCGGATGGAACCGTGAAACTCTGGTCGCCCTACAACAAGGAACCGCTGCTGCGCACCTACACGGCCTCGGAGGCGGAGGGTGTGCCCTCGTCAGTGGACTTTGTCCGCAACGAGGTCGACCACATTGTGGTGGCGTATAATAGTGCACACTGCATCGTTTACGACACGGAGACGGGTAAGCAGGTGGTGCGACTGGAAGCGGCACAGGAGATGTCCGGCAACACGGGGAAATTCATTAACAAGGTTGTGTCGCATCCGACACTACCCATCACGATTACGGCGCACGAGGATCGGCATATTCGATTCTGGGACAACACATCCGGCACGCTTGTCCACTCCATGGTGGCGCATTTGGAGCCGGTCACCTCGTTGGCCGTTGATGCGCACGGGCTGTACTTGCTGTCCGGCTCGCACGACTGCTCGATACGGCTGTGGAATCTGGACAATAAGACGTGCGTGCAGGAGATCACCGCGCACCGTAAAAAGTTTGATGAGAGCATATTCGATGTGGCCTTCCATGCCACCAAGCCGTACATCGCCAGTGCAGGGGCCGATGGCCTCGCCAAGGTGTTTGTCTAAAACGAAGACCACAAGCGCGAGACTGGCCCAGCCGGATCGATAGAATTCAGAATTCAGAATCCAGAATCCAGAGTGCAGATTGCAGACGCAAACGCAGATGCCAGCAGCTCACAGCTAAGCGATTACGAGTTCGAGTTAAATAATTATACATACATTATATATATACTATACATTTAAATCTAATTATACTTCAACCGAGAACAACAAATTATGCATACAACAATAAGGAAATGATGAAAGAGGAGAAAAGCTCCAATTGCTGCTATAACGTAACGTAACTTAAACAAAAACCATAATAAATTCAAAATGAGAAAAGGCATTTCAAAGCGAGCAACAAACAGAGTCAAGTAGCAAGAGGACTAAAGAGTCAAACGAGAGTCGTGTGTGTAATCTAGGAAAGTAATGTAACACTCTAAAAGCAATGCATAATACACGGCATATAACCACAAAACGATACAAGTGCAACATACACACACACACACACATGAACCTTATGTATTTCAACACCGTGTAGCAGCAAAAGAGTTTGATCTTGCTGCAGATCTCGCCCCGAATGACAATATGGGGACGATCTACTCAAGATCGATCATCTTTTCGGTTTTAGTTTTAGTGGCACTTGCACAGCGATTGATCGATCAGAATCGAACGATTGCCCATACAATACACAGCCCGACATCCTGTACATTTTATATACATAATACACCCACAATATACATACATATATATACTTATTTTGTGCCCACGGACTGCCGGGCAACGACAACTGTATAGGCAAACTCGCTGTGTAAGTGCCGGGACACGTTGATTCCCTCCCTGCAGGCCGGCTCAAGCAAGTGCTTCCTGCAGCCTGGAGCGGATGGATACGTAAAGATGTAGACGATCAAATTCTATAGGATAAGCAAGGCATATGCATATAACCAACCACATAACCCCGACTCCATATTAGCGAAGGAGAGCGCGATGAATTGTAAATTAACATTAATTAGAGGGCGAGAGCGAGGACGACTGTTGTCGGCGGGCGGCTTATTTATGTCAAGTAGCGACCACACAAACGGAAACTTTACTAATTAGTAAGTGCAGAATGCGCGTTGCTTTAAATCTATTATTTGTATTGTCGTTAAAAAAGAGTAATAGTAGGGGGTGTACGCAATTCTTGAGGGACAATCGATCGATTGTCCGCGACGACCATGATCAGATGAGGTATAAATAATAATGATGATTGCAGGCAAGCTATAAACACTATGCTAAGCTATTTATTTAATTTATGCCTAGTATTAAACCGAAGGATAAACAAACAAACAAATGTTGGCGCCAATCGCTGATCCAATGGATTTCGTAGTTGAATATAAATTAGATCCGCTTATCGATGGATGCTGCGTACTCGTATTTTTAATCAATGATCACATATAAATAGAATTGTGAATTGAACGTGAAAGCCGAGCAACTCAATATTAGTTTTTAGTATTACCAATTATTATTATTTTACGTGACACACACTTTACCCACACCCCGAAAAGTTGATATTTGAAAACGATGAATCCGGAACCCGAATCAAAACTAAAACAAAATCGTAAACGATAGCGTAGCGAGATCTGTGTACACACCAATCAAATCCTCTATTATTTTAATTACGTATTTTAATTTACGCCTTAGTTTGTAAAAGTAAAAAAAACCCGAAGAATCGCCTTGGATCGATCGGTTCCCCCACTGAGATCCAAAACGATGACGACGATTGCGCGATGGTAATACAAGTTAATGTGGATATCCACACACAGTTATATAGCAGATATATACATTTACATATACATAAATCTATTGATTTATAATTTTAACTGTACATTTTTGATTTTTATTACCATGTATTTTTATTTGAAATAAAGTTTTACAAAATACGAAGCCGTGTGACTTGTGCCCGCGCTGCCTTTTCTTTTCCAAATCCAATCCTCCAGCAGAACCAGAACAGACATTCCAAGTGATGAGAACGTTGTAGACCAGCTGGCTCTCGTTTGCAACGGTGGCAATATAATCAGAGACTTAAACACAGAAACACCAACAAAAAAACACCATTATTAACATATGCACACCGAACATAATCTGTTGCCTTGTTTTTATTTTTAATAAAAAGATTTCGCTGCTGGCAGCATTTTAGTTTGGTTTCCTTAATACGCTTTCTTTTCAAACCGTTACAAATCCACTGCCGTAAAAGAAAAGAAAATATAAAACACCAGCAACACCCAGCATACTTTCGGTCTCAGGAGAATCCTGCAAGAATTCTTCTAAATGTTGAAAACACATCACAAAAATATTGTAATTCTTCAGCATGAAAGACGCAAGCGATTTAGAAAGATGTAACAAAACATAAAATTGAGAGATTTATAAAGTAAGAAGAAGCCCAAAAGAAAAAACGATAAGCATTAATTAACTAAGTCGTAATAAAAGTTCATTGTAGATTTGAGCATATATAGGAAGGTCCCAGGTCCTACAAAACAAACAAAAACACCCAGCACATAAGTTTATACATACATATAAAAATAAAATATAAATAAAAAAGCATATTAACTGAAAAATAACGATACTTTTATAATAAATCGAAAAAGGAAGTACATAATACTCGAGGAAATACCATTCACACATTTCATGTTAAGATATAATAAAGTGAATAAATAAAATATTTAAAACCAACTGAACGTAATGTTTAAGATCTTTAGGTGGACTTATAAAAAGTTACAATTTCATTCACCAAAGAGTTATCCTGAAATCCCTTAAAGTTAAGAATGAAATATTGTTTATTTACTTTAATAATTTCAAATTTAACATTTAAATCCCAAGTGTATCTTGGGCACATTGAAACAGTGTGACCAGAAACATTCAATTATTATACTACTGGTATCGAGTAATCGATTACTCCCTTTACTTGCGAATTTAGTTTTTATATTTCAGCGATATAATGGAAAACTCTTCAATTATAGGCGTTGACAAAACGCAGGTAATTGATTTGCAGCTAAGGACGAGGAACGTATCCAATGCTGTACTTCTTGCAGGTACCACCGCTCAACCAGAAGCGCATCCTGGCATTTGTGAACCACTTCTTGGTCAACACCTGCAACTTCCTCAATGAATTTGCACTGGGCTGCGAGACAAAGTTCGTGGAAATGGAGAGGCAGCTACAAAAAACGGAGGCTTCCCTGATAATCCTCGAGGCGAAGCTCGCCTCCATCCCCACCGATCACCTAGTACCGAGCGAAGGTGCGAATGTACCAGCACAGTCTGAAAAGCCCATCGAAGCCCCAACGCCGGATTCGGAAATCACGTCCATGTCCGAAAAACCCGTAGATGAAGCCCCAGCGGAGCCAGCCGGTGTGCGTGCTTGCGAGGATGTGCGCTACAGAAAGTTCTTCAAGATGCTGCATGTAGGAGTTCCCGCGGCGGCAGTCAAGCAGAAGATGCAATCCGAGGGCCTGAATCCGCGCTTATTGGAGTAAGTGGAGCTGTTCTTAGAGGCATTCCAAGCTAATCCTGTTCGCTTTCCAGCACACCGGATATGGTCCTGGCAGACGGTGTCCGTGAGTGACCAATTGAGAGGAAGAGCCCGCCTTGTGATATAGCAGTTTTTGCTAGCGTTTTCAATTAAACATTTTTAAAGCTTACGTCTACACTTTCATTTGTTTTATTTCCCGTCGTACGACGACGGTCTGCAAAACAACTTAAAACACTTCGTTAGGTAAAAAGAGTGGCGGGTGGAAACGGATGACGGAGCCTAGAACTGGATCATCTGTCCCTTGCGCTTCTTGTCACCGCCCAGCTCGAAGTGCTTGCAACGCTTCAGAGGAGTCTGCTTGCGGTACTTGCACTCGGTGCACTCCATACGCAGCACAATTTTCTTGGTGGTCTTGGCCTGAAATTGGTAAAAGAAAACTCGTATTAGCACTGTGATTTCAACATTACAATATACAGTGTAAATAAGATCTTATTGGGTTGTCTGAAGCTGCAGGTGGGGCGCTATGACCGAGGATGGCCGTAACGCTGCCTTCGCGGCCGCACCGGTGCAACAACAATTTTGATCTGGCACAGTTTTTTCCCACCAAAAAGCCGAATGCTCGTAAGCGCAGCGATTTAGTTCTACGAAGCGCCATTTTAATAATTAATTGCGACAATGTTGTTGCAAGTGAAGAGCATATGAGACACTGTTCGAAACACTCACCTTCTTCCTGAAGATGGGCTTAGTCTGACCTCCGAAACCCTGCTGTTTCCTGTCGTAACGCCTCCTGCCCTGAGCACCCTTGCGCTCCTTGGACTTCTTGTACTGCGTCACCTTGTGCAGCTTGTGGACCTTGCATTTCTTGCAGAAAGTGCGACGTTGCTTAGGTACGTTCACCTGTAGGAAAATACACAGTTAGTACGAAAATTTATTCCCCTTCTAGCGCCATGTTGCCCGTGGTGGGCCTGTGGCCGGACGTTGACGTTGTTATAGGTTCTGCGCTGGCATTACAATCCACAAAATGAATGCTTACCATCTTGAAATCTTCACGGGGAACTTCTACCTTCTACCTCGCTGCAAATAGACATATTTTAAGATATTTTTATTACACATTTTAGCAAAATAAACGCGGAGCACACGCACTCACCGGAAACGAAGAAAAAGAAAGGGATGGAAAATCTGACAGATAGAGATGTCAAAACACTGATGACAATATCGATAACACGCAATATATCGATGGTGTTACTAACTGTCATAAAAACAGTGGCAGCGCCATATGTCTTGCGGATTATCAAACCTTTATCCAGGATTCAAGAGGGGTTTTCCAGGGTTTTTCGGTATTGAATAAATTATCCCTATTCCCCCTAGGACCACTACATCCACATTAAGAATTTTTGATCGATTTAAGGGACAGGGAGAGAGAAACGTTATAATTTCCTGCAGTCTGGTAGCATCAATGTCAGGTGTGACCAGCTGCCGAGGAATGAAAAACTCTATATTTTCTCTTTCAACTTTTAGCATTCTAAACAAAAAGCTGGGCGAGCACACTGTACTTTAATATATGTTTTTTATTTGTAGTTAAAACACGGCAAATAGCAAATAGAAAACGTTTATTGGCCCGGGCCCTGCGCCTAGTTGTGTGCAATGGAAGACGCCAGCGGGCGTTGGCTGGAGCGCTATTAACGGCCGAAATGGCCCAGTGAAAGACGTGAGAAAAATTTGCATAAAAGTGAGCCAGTAATTAAAATGCGAAAAATGTACGCGTTGCTGGCCTTGACATTCTGGACGCTCGTGCTGGCGCTACCGCTGAGTACCGATCAGGTGCACACTCCACAGCCGCCGCCAGTGCCCTGCGATCGCAGTCGCAAGGTCTTTACAGAGCCGTACGGTGAGATTTCGGACGGACCCTCCGGCCACAATTATACGCAGGACTCCCATTGCGAGTGGCTGATCAAGGCGAAAAACGACAGCCAGTTCATCACACTGACGTTCCATAGCATGGGCACGGAGTGCTCCTACGACTACATATACGTCTATGATGGAGACTCCTTTAACTCAACGCTCCTAGGCAGCTTTAGCGGGCGAACGCAGCCGCAGCGGCTGGTGGCCCGCAGTGGAAGTGTAAGTTGTCTCCATCCTTTATCCAAGCTGGATTTGTCCTAATTGCCTTTCTCGCCCAGATGCTCATTCTCATGTACAGCGATACGAACTACGTACTGGATGGCTTCCGGGCCTCCTACTACATATCAAACTGCTTGAACAACTGCCACAACCATGGCAAATGTGTGGGCCACCAGTGCGTCTGTCACGGCGAGTGGGTGGGCCCCGACTGCGAGGACGAGGCCTGCCCCCAGCGTTGTGGGGAGGGCCAGGGACGCGGAAGGTGTCAGAAGAGCATCTGCCACTGCTCGCGGGGATATAGCGGTCGGCTATGCGATCTAAGCGACCATCCTCCGGGCAGCAGCTGGCGGTGGCTGGCCACCGATGCGGAGGGCATGACACCACGCGCCGCTCACACAGCCGTCTACATGGAGGACGAGGATGCCCTTTACGTGTTCGGCGGCTACGATTTAAACAACGTGATCAGCACACTTCAGGTGAAGGTTTCGAAATTTTTGGTATTTATAATATCTTCTAATTGATTTTCTCTTTAGATTTATCGCTTCAGCACTAGTCAGTGGGAGGATGAGTGGGGCATAGCACTGCAGAGTCGCCGTCACTTTTATCATCCGCAAAAGATTGATCATACGCTACTTAAGGCCGTGCTCCAACACAAGAACGAGGACGAGGCGAAGCTCTGGGGCCTGAACAGTGACGTTAGCTTTTTTCGGAATATTCTGTACACGCTGGCGGAATCCAATCTGCATCAGCGCCGGACACGCTCATCTCTGCCACTGACTATTGTGAATGCCAATTCAACGGATGAAGAACTGAACGAGTACCTCGAGGACATATTAGAAGAGGTGACGGATCACAAACCCCATGGACGCTACGGACATGCTGCGGATCGGGTGCCGGGCGGATTCGTAATCTTCGGCGGCAAGCATGCCAACGGGAGCTTCTACAGTGATCTCTGGCAGTACAACAACACGGAGAGTGGCGGAAAATGGAAGCAGATGGCCATCAGGTCGGAAGTGAAGCATCCGGCAGTGGCTAGGCACACGTTGAACGCCGCTGGTGACTACCTCTACACATTCGGCGGAAGTCTGGAGTCGGGTGAGTTCTCTTCCAGCGTTTATCGCATTCGTTTGCCTTTGTCCGAGGACTCACAGTGGGAACTGGTGCAACCAAGAGGCGGCAAGACACTGGATGTGCGACTGGCCGCCCACTCCACGGTCTACTACAAGGCCACAAATTCGATGATTGTGTTTGGCGGGATTATGACCAGCTTGGCCCGCTTCTCCAAGCTCTCGGATCGGATATTCGCCTTTCAGTTGGACCAGCAACACTGGACGGAGATCCTGTACCCACGGACGGCACTTCGGGACACCAATATACCCAGGGAGCGCGCCTTCCACACGGCCACCATTTCGGGCAACTACATGATCGTTTTTGGAGGCTACACGCACCGGCACAACAAAGATGAAATTTGCTACGACAACCAAATGTACTGGTACCACCTCAGCTGCCACATCTGGATCAATCAGGTGGTCGCCGCCGAGGATAGCCTGTACCCGAAGCCCCAGGGAGTGTTTGCTCAGGCAGCGGCTCTGCGCAGGAACCACACGCTCCTCATTGTTGGTGGTTACCACGGGAATGTGAATGCGGATCTGTTTGCCTACGAACTGCCCCAGGTGCTGCGCGTGGAAAACACGCTATACAATCCCGAAATCTCCTGCAGGCTGCACTCCTCGCACACCGCCTGCCTCTCGAATCCCGAATGCGGCTGGTGCTCGGCGGACAGTAGCTGCTACGGTCGCACCATTGGCGCCAATTGTACCACCAATCTGCAGACAACACGATGTCCCGGAATCTGTCCCTCGCTTGGCGACTGCCACTCCTGCCTGGTGCACGGATCGCAGTGGGGGGCAAAGTCCAGGAACAAGGCCGCCTTCTCTGTGGCCAGCAAGCTTGGCTTGAACGAGTGCACCTGGTGTGTACAGAACGCCAGATGCCACCACCGAGACGATAACTATGGAATATGCGGAGACAGTGCTGGCTGGTGGGGTGACCAGGGCACCGAGATCCGTCGCCCCTCCCTCTGTACCAGCAACGACCGACGTCCGGGATTAACGTACGTAAAGTACCATTATCCGATCAACTACACCATGCCGGATTACGTGGGTATAGTAAATGCCACCATGGTAGACTTTGCCTCGCCACCATTCACCACCTACTTCGAGCACAAACTGGAGGGAGAGATGCTGGCCAGGCTATTGGGCTTCGTCAGGCCGCAGCATCAGTGGAACAACTCGGCCATCCAGGTCTGTACCAGCTACTCCTCGGCGGTGCTTCGCGCTGGCCTGGGTCTCAATCTCGATGAGCTGATCAATGTCACCACACAGAGCTCAAACCAGAGCTACTGCAGCAACGTCCAGCTGCCAACCACAGAGCAGCCGTTCCTTATCGACTTTCAGGCCCGGCGACGCATTGGTGGCAACGGGATCTACAACGCCTACCAGAAGACTAAGATGGAGCTGCAGCACCTCCACAACGGTCAGCTGAACGCCTTCACTTTCGAGTATCTGGAGCCATACTACTCTGGAGATTGCACCCAGTATGGAAACTGCTTGCATTGCCTCACGGATGCCTCCTGCGCCTGGTGTCCCTCACCAGTCGGTGTCACCTGCGGTCCGTGAATGAGACCGAGGTCTGCAGGGAGCCCAGTGAGCTAAACACCTTCCACTGGTCCTATCTGATCAGCCAGCCGAGTCAATGCTCCAACTGCACGAACTACGTGAGCTGCGAGGCCTGCGCCAAGAGTGGCGAATGCGAGTGGTGGACAGAGGACGCCCGTTGCGGCCGGATAGGCAAGACCAACAATAGCGTGCGAGCAGTGGAGCAGTGTCCCAGGTCATGCAGAGAGCGGCAGGGATGTCAAGAATGTCTGGGCGAACGCGGACGATGCGTGTGGTGTGAAGCGAGCTCGCAGTGCTTCAGCTTCTCGGTGTATACAAGTGAATATCAATTCGGAATGTGTCGTGAGTGGATGGACCAGGTGGTCAGTCGGCAGACGCAGGAGCATCTAGGCGATCAGAAGCAGCTCCAGCAACCCCTGCAGCTGCACCAGCAGCAGTGCAAATCCTGCGAGCAGCACCGCAACTGTTCCTCCTGCCTCCGCACCTTGAGCTGTGGCTGGTGCTTCGACCGCGACAATCCCATCGAGGGCATCTGCATGCAGGGCGACTTCAGCTACAGCGCCGGAAATTGCTCCCTCGCCCTGAATAGTTCTTCGCACCATGATGCAGAGTGGGCGTACGCCCAGTGTCCGGATGTAGACGAGTGCGGACTAGGCCTTCACGATTGCCATAAGGAGGCCAAGTGCACCAACACACAGGGAAGCTACAACTGTCACTGTCGCCGGGGCTACACGGGAGACGGCAAGTTCAGCTGCGTGCGGACCTGCTACGAGATGTGTCAGAACGGAAACTGCTCGGGACCGCCGGATTATACGTGCAACTGTGCCCTCGGATGGACCGGAGCGGATTGTGGACTCAGTTGTGGCTGCAACAATCACTCGACTTGTCTGGAGCGGTTGGGAAAGTGCGACCAGTGTCAATCGTGGACGGAGGGCGAAAAGTGTGAGCAATGCCGCCAGGGAAGCTACGGGAATGCCACAGCGCCCCATGGCTGTCATCCGTGCGAGTGCAATGGCCATGGCAACCAGGATCTGGGCATTTGCAATGTGAGTAACGGCGAGTGCTACTGTAAGGACAACACGCAAGGGCTCAAGTGCGATCTGTGTGCCGCCGGCTACTACGGTGATCCCAAAGACGGAGGGCAATGCTACTACCAATGCGAATCGAGGGGCATACTCACCAATATCGGCAAGAGTGCGATTGGCTCGTACCAGTCGTACCGCTCGCCCTGGGGTGCCAGTCTGGAGGTGAAGGAGTGCCTGTGGATACTGCAACCGAAAACCCTACAGGCGGAAAAGTCGCTTCTTCAGCTAGAGTTCCAGTGGCAGAGCCTGGCCATGGACTGTGACGAGAATGCCGTCTACATATACGACAGTCTGCCGAATTTAACTGGTGCCACGCAGCAGAATCAACTCCTGGCGGTAGTCTGCGCTCCCTACAGCTCGGCCAGGATCATTGAGGCCCGCTCCAGCCATGTCACGGTTCACTACAAGCAAGGCAGTGAACGGCGGCACTTTGGATTCAACGCTCTATACTCCGTGAAGAATTGTGTGGCCGGTAGTTGTCTGCCGCCGCACATCTGTGACGATCAGCTGCGGTGCGTCTGTCCCGCCGGATATGTGGGCGCCCGCTGCGAGATCGAGATTTGTCCGAGCAACTGTAATGCAAAGCGAATGCAGGGATATTGCGACACGGAATACGGACGCTGCATCTGCAGCAATGCCAATTATGCTGGCGCGGATTGTGGGACACTGGTGCAGCGAAGCCACCTGGTGCTAACGGAGCTTTTCAACACGCAGCTGCTAAGCGAGAGTCTGGATCATTTGAAGAAAACAATACCGCGCTTTGGACACTCGGTGAATGCGGATCGCAGGGGATCGCTGTGGATGTTTGGTGGATATTCACCAAATCATGGACCGCTTAACGATTTCCGACAGTTCGACACCAAGAACGGCACCTGGCTGCAGGTAACTGTTGAATCATCTACTCCGGAGGATCGAATGCCACTCGGACGGTACTTTCATGCCGCTGAGATTTACGTGAAGAAGCAGATTATCTACATCTTTGGAGGAATCACTGCGAACTCGCAGCTTCTCAATGACTTCTGGATGTTCTCGATACAGAATCAGCGCTGGAGCCAGATCAAGGTGGAGGTGGAACCAAGTGGCGGGGATAATGAAGGGGAAGTGCTGCCTCCTCTGGCCGGCCATACGCTTACCCATCTGCGTTACCAGGAGCACGAGTCATTGTTCCTGATCGGCGGTTTGACTCTGAATAAGTCACGACCCTTGGAGCTGTGGGAGTTCAACCTGGACACAGGGCGGTGGCATCAGCTGGCGGCTGTGGGTGCCACAATGCCCGTACTCTATGGCCACAGTACTGTCTACCATCCGGAGTCGAACAGTGTCTATCTGTTTGGTGGCTACTCAACGGAACCGCAGAGCAATCTTTACGCGTTGGACCTGCAGAAGCTGAGCTGGAGCGAGCTACCCAGCTTCAATGAGATCAACTCGCCTGCCTCGCTTCTGCCGCGTGCTCGCTACTTCCACTCGGCCGTTAGCACGGAGCACTACATGATCCTCTATGGAGGCAGGACACAACCCTACAATGGATCCGATCTCCTTATAGCTTATGTGTATGCCTGTAACCAGTGGGTGCGGTTAACGGACGACGTGGAACTCATAGGTCGCCTGCCCGCCTCGAGCTACGCCGAGGACATGGCAATCGATCCAGATACGGGTGTAATCTTTGTCATCGGCGGATGGGACGGAAGTTCCACGCACAGTCATGTGACCAGGATAGCGTTGCCCGACGACATATGTCAGCTATGGAGCAGCAGCAAGTACCAGTGCCGGCACTACATGGGCTGCAGCTACTGCACCATTCAGAATACGTACAGCTACAGCAGCCACTGCTTCAGCCATGGGCGCACACCGTGTGCCAATCACAATGGGACGCTGGTGGTCAACAATGGAGCCGCCTGCACAGACGAGTGGATGGCGCGCAGGAGCTGTTCGAGCTTCACCACCTGTGGCGCCTGTTTGGCCGCCTGGCCGACGTATCATGAGCTGGCGCCCGTCTGCCAATGGTGCGAAGAGTGCGGATTAGGTGGCCGATGCATTGCCTCTAAAAAAGACTGCTCCTGGTTTATTGCCTGGTGCGGTGATAAACTTAGCACGGGAGTCCTGGGCCTCTGCCCCCTGCCGAAATGTCACCGTCTGAGCTGTGAAAGCTGTATGCTTCGGCCTCAATGCAACTGGGCCAGGAACGAGCTAGGCACTGTGGAGTGCATATTCCGGGAGCTGGTGGAGAGAAATGAGTACAAGCTGGTGGAGAGCTGTCCCCTACCCTGTCACAGTTATACGAACTGCAGTAGTTGCCTGAGCCAAACGCCGACGCTGGATCGCCAGGATTGCAAGTGGTCTACCATGCTCAACTCGTGTCTGACGCCCAGTTCCCAGCCCCTGTTCTGCGCCGGTGGAGTCTGTGGGCTTGTGTTGGAGGCCAGCGAGCTGGAACGTTGTCCGGAACCGTGTCACGTTTACACCCGATGTTCCAGCTGTCTGGAGCATGCTCATTGCGGATGGTGCGCCCGCGAGGGCCACAATGGCGACGGAATTTGCACAGAGGGTGCCCTTGAGCACAAACAGGAGCATCCATCGGGATCTACCTGCGATATTATATATTCCAGTTGGCGAAATGATTCGCAGCTGACCCATGCTGATGTCGTGTCCTGGCACTACGTGTCGTGTCCGCTGGAGAACGAGTGCATCAATGGACATCACAACTGCGATGCTGTGTCGGAGCAGTGCATCGACCTAGACACGGCGGTGGGCTACGAGTGCGTCTGCGCCGACGGCTATCGCTCGGAGCGCGGCACCTGCTTGCCGGTGTGCAGTCAGGGTTGCGTCCGCGGCAATTGTGTGAGTCCGGACCAGTGCCAGTGCGACTTTGGCTACGTAGGTGCCAACTGCAGCATCCAGTGTCTGTGCAACGGGCACTCCAACTGCGAGTCCAGCAGCCGACTGGACATATGCCTGAAGTGCCACAACAACACAATGGGCGAGCAGTGCGAGAAGTGTCAGCCGCTCTTCGTGGGCAATCCGCGCGAGGGGCATGCCTGCCAGCCATGCCTGGACTATTGCCACGGGCACAGCGACGTTTGTGTGGCCTACGACGCAGATCCGGCGGTATTTAATATGACGCGCTCAGAGCTTGAGAGGATTCTACCGGAGGGTCCGGCGCATAATGCCACGTGTCTGAGATGCGGCAATCACACGGACGGTGATCGTTGCGACAGCTGCCTGAGGGGGTACTTCCGCGGCAGTGACGATCTGCAGAAGGAGTGCCGGCCCTGCCAGTGCCATGGCCATGGAAACGTCTGCGATCCCGTCACCGGAGAGAAGTGTAACTGCGCCAATAACACAGAAAGCGATGCCACCTGCACGGCCGGTGGCGGTAAGAACTCGGCGCAGCTATGCTGGATGGTTCAGTGCTCCAAGTGCCGTGACTCCTATGCCGGTAACCCTACCGATGGTCATCAGTGTTACAAGCAGATCACCGTCGAATCGAGGATGTGCTTCGATGCCAAGCCCATAGGTGAGTAGTAGGTGTAGTTTTCCTTTTAATAACATCTCTGTAATACCAAGCTGCCAAAGAGCATGGATGATGAGACTTGCTCCACATTGAAGACATCTAGGGAGACGAGAAGTACCCTGCTTTATGTTTCTTTTACAATATACTAATTTTTTAACCATCTTTTTATGCCACAGAGGAATGTAAATCGAAGCCAGCTGCCCTGAAGCCTGGCCAGACCGTGTTCTTTGTGATCCAGCCGCGGTTCATGAACGTGGATATACGCATTATCATAGACGTGACGCAGGGCGAGTTGGATGTTTTTATGTCGCCGCAGGATGACTCCTTTATAGTGGAAACGAACGAGACGACGGGCTACCACGAGATCTTCCTGGACTATCGTTACAATTGGGGTCCGAAGATCAAGCGAGAGAATCCACTAAATATTGCCTTGCCACGACACGACAATGCCATGATCCAGAAAATGTTTGCACCAGAACGTCGCATTGGTGGCGGCCTTGGAGGAGGCGGAGGTGAGAGAATCGGAGCCAATACGTACTACGTGCCGCAGTTGCAGGACTGTAAGAGTCATGGGGGTCACCAATTTATAGTGAAGGATCAGTACGCCAAGGATCTGAGTACACATGTGACCCTCAACCACTGCAACACCCTGCTGCGCCTGTTCGGGCTAAAGAATCGCCTAGTGGTCACTCTGCCCCAGCATGAGCATAACCTGAGCGCCACCCGCTTCTTTATCGCGTTGCGAGCTAGCTCGGGCCCAGAGCCCAGCTACGGCTCGGTTGTGTTCCGTCAGGATCAGCTGCACATCGATTTGTTTGTGTTCTTCTCGGTGTTCTTCTCCTGCTTTTTCCTCTTCCTCGCCGTCTGTGTGATCGTGTGGAAGGTGAAGCAGGCGGCGGACCTGAGAAGAGCTCGGCGGCAGCATGTCGTGGAGATGCTGCATTTGGCCAAGCGCCCGTTCGCCCAGATCTTCCTGGCGTCGGGCAGCCTGGATGCAGACAGTCCACATCCGACCTCTTCCTCCTCCTCCTCTACGTCGTCAGCCCGTGCCATGCGGCAGCGTGCCCGTCAAGCGCTCCTGCTGCAGGAGCAAGGTGCCGGAGACTCCCACCCCATTATAATGCATCATCACTCAAATCGACGCCAGAGCTCGCACATCATGCTGGTGGCCATCGAACCAACTTGCGACAACCTGGCGGCTGTCGGCACGGTGTTCATCAGCCTCCCCGGTCGCTCCAGAGCTCCCTTGAGCATTGCCCTGGGATCTACCCTCATTTCCTACTCCCGACAATATCCCCTGAACGCCCGGCACTTTATGCGCGTCCAAAGGGCCCAAAACGTGGCCAACAACCCGGCATAAATTTGAAATCTCTATGCAACCGCACGAACAAACTAAGTATGTGTTAGCCAATGTCTAGGAAACCGAGCCTAGTGAGCAAAATATCTTTCAGTGCATGCATTTATGTATCGCGTACATAAAGACATTAGCCTAGATAACGGATATATGTATAGTTTAGGTAATTGTTGTATATAAACGTTTAGGTATCGCAAGTGACTCTACCACATGCACACAACTATATATGTCGGCAGGTTACACCTATCAGAAGTGGATAAATATACAGGAAAAGGATAAATATTAGAATTTAAGCGGAATAATGGGTCTCGAATGAGAAAGGAAAAATATTCACATAACTCACATACATATATATAGAACAACCTTTCGGACTGATTTTTATGAAATTTCATCTCTGGCTAATGATATATATGTGTAAATTAATATCGATTTGATCTAGATAAGACAGGAAATAACAAAGTGAAAAGAGAAGCTCAAGATATATAGCAAAGAGGAATTCAAACGCGCAGTGAAATATTTTTAAGAAAGTCAATTTAAACGCGAGAACAATAGCCATAAACGAACAAATGACAAAGAAATCGAGAAATACGTATTATTATAAACTACATACTAAATGTGTCATAGCAACTACTTGTACTACATGCATAGTTGTTGGTTATGGTTATCTATCCCTCTGTCGCTCGACTAGGTTTCCTTTAAGATATATGTATACTATATGTCCATTTTGTACGATATACGATACGATACTTGATTTGAATTCTCGCGTACCTTTTGTATATTCTTGTATTGTATAAAGTATTATTGATATTACTTCCCTGTTGGTGGTTAGCATCTGCTCAATTAGTTAGTTAGTTGCTGTCAACTGCTGCGCACTCTTACGCACACCCATGTACCTACACACTCTATTTTAAGAACAAACAAACTATGTATCTGTATCTTTACGTACTGCTATCCAATTTTTCACACACTTGTTATGTTTACACACAAAGGCTCACTGCAGACACAACAAAAGCAGTCGCAGGATGCTTAAAAACACGAAACAAACGAACAAAACACTACAATACTACATACTCTTTCCTATAACAACACTCAACAAACACACTAATCTCAGTAACCAAAAGGTTGTAACAAATTCTCACTACGTCGATTTAGTTTAGAACTCCACTCGCCCTCCTTTTACATGTGGTACTACTTACTCTCTTTGTGTATATTTTGAGTTAACGAGATTAGCTAAATTTTTAGAACTGATGTACATTTAGAAATTATACAAAAATCGTCCCATTTTGCAATATAAATTTATGATTATTATTATTTTCTATTATATATATTTTTGTTTTGCAATAAAGATGAAATAATGATATTTAAATAAACTCGGCGTTTCCTTATGATCATTTAAATTATCATTAAATTGGGACAGTCCAGCGAGCTCTGCACTAAATACAATACCACGCCGCAAATATTTCAATTCATTGTGCAAACGAATAATTTTTATTGATTAAATAGTTTTATGTGATAAATATATATATATATTAGATATTAAGCAAGGGTTTAGTCGGTTAGGATTAACGACTGCATATTTTAACTAGAGCTCGTGGTTGAAGGCAGGGTTGCGAGGACCCCCTCAATGAAGGTGTCGGGCTGCTCAATGAGATGTAGAAGGCCTGAAGACAAATATACATGGTAAATACACCCAATATAGGAAATACAACTTTGAGAAACTCACCTGCCACATCGCAGAATTCCCCAAAGGAGGTGCAGGTCAGGAAGTCATCGGTCAGGGTCTTCAGGATGTTGTCCGTGGACTTCAGCATAGCCTCATCGTTCTTGCGCAGATAGTCGAACAGCGAAATCGGCCAATCCTCCTCCTTGGTCGTGCTCACCGTATTGAAAAGGTCATTGTAGATCAAGTCCACCAGTGCCCACATCATAAGGAACGGCTTGTATACACTGTAATCCTTGACTTGACGATCCGCCGGCGACAACAGGGCCTTGCATAGAACCGAGGGTGAGATGTTACGGGCTTGTGCCACCGCCAAAAGGCGCTTGAGATGTGCCAGCTTGTGCTTGTTCCACAGCTCACGACTGTGCAGCGACAGGGAAACGGTAGCCATGTACAGGGGGCCGTCTACTTCGTATCCACACTCTAGCCACTTTTCGCTTGGCTCCGCCTGCAAATATGTCAGCAACGTCTTGCTATCCCTGGACGCTGAGCGGGAGGAGAGCAGCAGGTAGACGGCGTAGAAGAGCAGGTAGGGCACAAAGTGCATGTTTGACTGGGGACCTCCGCCGCCAGCATCGTCGTGGAAGCTTCGCTCCCAGGCGAACCGCACCAGCAGCAGCTTCAGGTCATGCACGCTGCTCGTGTAGCAGATGTCGCAGCGCTGGGTGCTCTCCTGCATGTAGCTGCTGTGCCGGGTCATGCAGCCAGAAAAGGCTGCCTCCCCTACGGCGGGACCCCAAAGGGGCAGAAGGCCATTACACCTGGTGTTGGCATTCTGTAGACTAGCTCGTTCCCACTCGTCTCTCCCGCGAGTCAGGCGTATGGCAGATGTATGACAGTCAACGTGGACCACATTGAAGTGGGTGACGGTGGTGTAGCCGATGGTCTTCCTCGACTTGAGCTCGAACTCCTCAACATTGCATCGCTTGGTGAACGTGTAGATGCCCAGAACCTTTTCTGGCTGGCAGGCGTATCCTTCGCGGCAAATGAAGCACGTTAGGCCCGTCTCATCGCGCAGCTTTTCGATCTTCTGCAGGATAGAGCCCTTTGCCGTTACCTGACCCTTTTCATTCGTACGCATTCCCAAGGCATCCAGTTGCTTCTCTCGCGTAGCCATGGCCAGTCGCTTTTTCTCCGCCCTGGTGAAGTCCCGCACTTGTTGCACCCTTGCTGCCGTTGCCGCGTCCGTGGAGAGCGCCTCCAAAAGGTTCTCAGCCAGGCTGCCAACGTGCTCGTCACTGGAGACTTGCTCTAGGCGGTGGATAATGGGTATAATGTCCTTGCTGATGGCCACCTGGGTGGCCTCGTGATGATTCGAGAGGCCGGTAAGGAAGCGGAGGATGTACTTTAAGCTCGGACGTGAAATGAACTCCTTCAGCTCATCGGAGTCGGTGCGCAGGAGTGTGGGCTTAACGCAGGGAGCATGCTCGGTGATGTAGGCCAGGGATCGTTCCACGATGCCAAGGCTTACAATGTAGTCCTTGAGTGTGCCGCCGATGCAGTTATGCTCGATTTGGTTGGTCAGCACGCAAAAGAGCTCCATTTTGAACTCCTCTTCTGGCGTGCGGTCCTTGTCGAAGCGTTTAAAGCTCAAGGTGTTCTGAAAGGAAGACTGCCTTTATTAAGAGTTCCTTAAACATTTTCTGAAGTTAACTCACCCTAAAGTGCTCGCAGAGCAGGGCCATCTTCACCTCGTTCCCGTAGACCAAGGCGGCTAGAACCCGGATGAGATGGCGCAGCACCGAGGGATTATTCCTTACGTTCGGACAATCTGTGCAGGAGATAAGAGCAGTCACGTACTCGGGTCCACCGAAGGTCAGCGAGAACTGCAGGAAGGAGTCCAGTGTATCGCTAGCCGCCTTCGAGAGAATAGTCTCCATGATCTCTAGCAACTGCTCGGTGACCGCCGACTGAATGGAATCGTTCTCCGACTGCAGACACATCTGTAGCACCTTGAGCAAAGTGTTGATGGCTCCAATTTCGGGCTGGCACAGCACTTCCTGGCAGCGACGCACCTTTACGCAGATGAGGAAGAGCTTTAGCAAAACCTGGATGAGTTCGCGGTTGCGCGAGATGCGCTGCAGGCTGCCGATACGGTCCAGCATCACACGGAGGCCGTTGCAGTCGGCCAGGACATTGGCCATTCGGTACAGCTGCTCGGTGTCCACCTGCTCCTGGCTCTTGTTGTTCAGCGTCTCCACAAACTCCTCGGTAGCGTCGCCCAGGAGACCACGCATGCGATAGACTATCCTCATGGCATCCCTATCGCCGCCCTCTGCTAACCACACCTTCTTGTACACATCCTTGACGGGCAGATCCAGGCTGATGATCTTGTTGTTTACCAGCAGCTCCATACCGTTGTCGTCCTCCAGCAAGGCGATCAGTTCACAGTCCGTGCAGATCTTGTTTTTGACGTCGCGCATCAGCGGCCCCAGGCCCATTTCGCTCGAGGGATACGGGTTACCCAGCATACGGCCCTGCAGGAAGTCCTCCTGCTGCGGATCCTTCTCCAACGTCATGTAAAACTCGCTTTCGTCGTGCTCCTCGGGATGAATGATGGAATACAACCGCTCGAAGATGAACACAGGTGTCTTGATGTCATTCATTCGCGTCTTTTCCACGGTATCGATGAGAATTTCCATAAATGCACGCGTCTCCTCCTCTGTGCCGGTGGTCATATCCTCTAGCATCTCGAGCAGCTTTTCCTGGGCGTCATCAATCAGTCGCGTGCGCTGCACCACCAGACTCCTTAAGGCGAGATAGCTCTCGAGAACGGGGCCCAGCATGCGGGTCTTGTAGGTTCTTCGAATGTTGGGGCATTCAAGGAGCAGCCACAACAGCTCCACATATTGGCGCAACGCGTAGCCTAGGGACAGATCCGAGGAGAGGGAGTGCTCTTCCATCCGATGAACCTTGCTTATCTCAATCGCAAGCAGCTGGGATATCTGGCCCAGGACACCCTTCAGCACGAGATACTGCAGCCATGGCTGCTCCGTGGACATGCTCTTGAAGAGCATCAAGTATTCGGCACTGGCCTCGCCGGCTTCGCCCACGTGCTTCAGGAACGAGGTGAGCATATTCAAGGCCTGTTGCTTCCTCTCGTTGGTTCTGCTCAGACTGCTCAGCAGGGAGCAGGCCAACTGGCGTCCAAACCGGGAGTTGGCATTAAACAGCAAGGGCTGAATCCATTTGGCATTAAATACGAGGGGCTTTGTTACTCGCTGCTTGTCCAGCACACGCTCCCGCCATCGTTTTCCGAATTTCTCCATCAGGAAGGTTGCCCGCACCTCTCGCCTGCTCTTCTGCGGTACCTCTGTGGCTGCTGAAGCCGCCTGCTCCTTGGCGTTCTTTTGCTTGCCCTGACTACTGTTCTTCGGCATTCGGCTGCACCATGCGGCGTACTCGTGGTTCCGATCCGAGTTGAGCCAGGCCCGGTAGTCAACGGTGTTGCCTTCGAGCAGCTTTATGCTGCAGAGATCAGCGGTGGCCACCTTCTGCTGGTTGGGCTTGCTGCTGGGCAGCACCGGGCAGATGAGATTCTGCATTATCCGAAGGCAGGGATGGAGCACCGATGTCACGGGGCCACGGGACAGCCGGCAGTTACTAATGAACAGCTCAAAGATGACTTTTAGCTTGTATTCCCAGCACACATCGTCCTGGCCGAGCAACACCTCCAGTAGGGTCATCTCCTGATGAACGGCAGCCTCCAGGCTGATCAACGGAATCGATCCCATTAGGGCATTCTTCACCCTAGCTGTTACCAGCTGCAGCAGGTGCATGCAGGCCTCGGCATTGTCCTTGGTCAGCACAACCAATAGGTTTCGAACCTCCTCCTGAATCTGCGGAGTGCCCCGTCGCAGATTGTGCTCGGCTAGTTCGCTAACGAGTCCTTGACTATACAAACCGACGCGACAATCGTAGTTGTAGGCCATAGCCCGCAAGAGGGTCAGACACTGCTCAGTGGAGGCCAATGCACAACCATAGCAGCGATTTGTGGTGGGAATTTCGGCGCCGGAAGACGATCCCGGATTAATCGGCGGCTGATCCTGTTGTTGTCGATCGTAGGCCACCAATTCACTGGAAAGTTAAAGGATATTAGTTGTGGAGGTCTGCATGAACCACATCCCAATAACTCACCTACGACACGCCTTCACCTTCTGGACAATCTTGCTCAGTTCCTCGAAGCTGGTGCGAGACTCCACGCAATACTTTTGGGCCAAGAGCTGGATAATCTTGTTGACCTGTGAGGTGCTGTGAACGCTGGCCATGTTGTCCTCAACGAGGCGATCGCTGCTTCTGTGCTCGGCCACCTTCTGTATGAGCAACTCCAGCATCTGCTTGTTGGTCAGCAGCTGGCGGTATATCCTGTCCGCTCTCTCCAATGAGCTATGTATCAGCGATACAGTCTTCACCCTATCCTCGGCCGACTCAATGGGATCCACCGCACAGCAGACTCGAGCATACATGCTGAAATCGAACTTGGCGTATTTGCAGAAGCCACATGAATGGCAGAGGAAGGGATCCTTCTCGTCGTAGTTAATGGCTCGACACTTGTGGCACTGGAACACGTTTTCACCGCAATTGCCACAGACTCCCGGATATGCGGGCACTGCTGCACTGCATCTGGGACACTGTAGATTCTCGCTGGAACCGCTAACGGTCTCAAAAAAGTCCGCAAACTCGATCATCAAATTGCAGGCGGTGATCGGTAGTGGGAAGTCGATCTTTAGTTCAGTCTGGGCCGATTGCAGAGAGACAGAGCGCGCTTTATGCCACAGCGCTGGTCGATTCTTCAGCTCCACCACCGCCTGGACACTGCGATTGTTGTAGTAAACATTAATAGTCCTCACCATCTTGGTGCGTTTTAGGTCGGCTATCCGTACAATCAGCTTAGAGATAGTGTGGCACTGCACCAGCTTGTAAATCATTGTGGTCGTGGTGTATTTTGAGTCCGACTTGACCGACGGCAGCTTGATGTTTGCCATCGGCACTTCTGGATTGTTGCACACCAGACACGGCTCTGACTCCAGATAGTAGCCATTCACCTGCAGTATAGACTCCAAGGTGGTGTATATGGGCGCATTGGGATGCTTGCAGAGCAGTTCGTTCTGCTGCCGGAGCACATCCACGGCACGCGACACGAATTCCGGCAGGCGGTCTGTGATGCTTTTGGTGCTTAGTGTTAGATAGCCCAGCAGATCCACAAACTGCGCCGTCCTCCGACCGTAAGTGGGCACCAGTGGCCAAAGATTCCAGAAGATATTCAACAACTTCTCACGCTGCCTCTCGTTGGCATGCTCGAAGAGCCCGTTTATAAAGGAATGGGCCTGCCACCTCAGTTGGGTGATGTTGTTCTCGAGCAGGAAGATCCTTACAAAACGGATGATTAAGGCGTCGCAAGCATACCTGAAGATTTGGTGCACGAATGTGCCACACTGAGCTGGATCGAACTTGGAGTAGTAGGCGTCTGTATCCTCACTCTTCTCCCGGTCACTTCGCGCCTTGCTCGATGTCGAGGAGGAGGTCGAAGGCAGGGGCTGCGGCAACTTTGACCCATTGGAACCAGTGGGCAGGTTGCAAACAGCTGCCTGCAGCAACTGGATAATGATGGGGGAAACGCCGTCATCCAACTGGTAGCAAGCTATCTCCATCAGCATGGCCAGAGCGTCTTCATGAACGACGCAAAACTTCTGCCAGTTCCCAGTGCGCATTTGGCTAATTTCCTGGCATGTGCGCAGATGTTCCGTGAGCTCCACCAGCGAATCGTAGGTAAGCAAGGGCGGATTGGCGTTGTATGGGGCACCAGTCTGAAAGAAATCAAAAAGGTTTTACATAAACAAGTCATGTTTATGAAGTACCAAGCGTAAGACTCACCTTGCTGCTCACAATGTTGCATACACGCTTCACCACACGGAAGTGGGCGTCCAATGAGTGTCCATCACGGTACATGCGGAATTTCTCCTTGCTGCCGCAGATGTACATGAGCAGCTTCCTCACTTGTCGGCGCAGCAAGGTGTTCAGGTTAAGCATCATGTACTCGCACAGGGTGAAAGTCATGGACTCGCAGAAGCTACTGTCGTAGGTGTCCGGATGAGCGCTGCTTAGACGTAAAATCTGATAAGGCAAGCGGACAATGATCTCGGTCAGCAGTCCGTCGTAGGACTCGAAGATGTCCGGATAGTTCTTCAGGTAGTTGTGCGGGATCAGTATAGATATGTCGGGTTTAGGACCATGTTTAATGGGCTTCAGTAGCTGTACTCCCGAGCCAGAAGCTCCGCCGCCACTGCCGCTATTTTGAGCAGCTTGTGCGGCGCTCACGCCGCCACCCGCGGCATAGGGGTCGCCCAACACTTTCTTCCAGTGAAGCAGCAGAGTGTTAAGGGCCTCCAGGGCGAATACAAAGGCACCACTTTTGCTTAAAACATTAGCTGTGGTGCTGGCCACAAAGGATGTGTTGTCCTTGAACTGATGCGGCGGTGAGGTTGTGCCAGTCTGCTTTGACTTAGTCTTGCCCATCATCACACCAAAGAGGGACAGCAATGCGAGACGTACCTCGTTGCCAGGGCACTTGGTTTCCATCTAATAAACAATTTTCTCAATGCTTTATCTTTCTTTAAGAGGATATAAGTCGAAACTTACCCTTGACGCCGCACCACGCTTGCCAATTTCGACATAGTCAACTAGGGCGCTAAGCAGATCTTGGAGTACTTGCTGGTCTCGATCATTGTTCCCATTAAGATCGGTGGTTAGCATGAGTATGACCTGGATAAGTGGAATGGCCTGCAGGCCGTTGCACAAATCAAAGGTGCTTAGGTGTTGTATAATGCTCTCCAGAACGGCAATTCTAAAGACGAAGAAGGGTAGTATTATCAACCAGAAGATTAACCCTTTAGTTTGTGAACTTACCTCAGATCATGTAGCTTGCTGAGCTTATCATCCTCGTTGATTTCGTTATCCTCACTGCTGCTCATTGCACTCAGGCCAGAGGCCCCGCCGGAACAAGCAGCCCCGCTGGGACCTGGCTGCTCCTGGTCATCCTTGGTTGAGCCCTGTCGAGGAGGTGAAGCGTTCGCATGATCACCAAAGTTGCTGCTTCTCGCAGATGTTCCTCCAATGCTCTCAACTCCGCTGCCGCCACTCTCCGAACCGCCACTGCCGGCTGGTTCTGCTGGCGATGTCCGCAAGGTTGATCCATCAGTGGCCACGTTAGAGGCCTCGTCGTCATCAGATCCCCCGGCGGAGACACTGGCTGTTGCTGCATTGGCTGCAGCTGCCATGACTGCCGCCTGTCGAATACCATTGAGATTGGGAGCACCCTCCAGCAGAGCCTGGAGCGCATTTCCATCTCCTTCGTGCTGTTGTAAGCTCAAGGCGATGGCAATGTCCATGATGGCCTCATCGTCGGCATCCTCGGGCAGGCCGAGCAGTCGGGGGAAAGCCATGAAGGCTTCTAGGTTCTCCAGCATCTGCTGCTGACCTACGCCTCCTACGCCAGCAACACCTCCCTCCGCGTCGGGATTGGGGTCAGGCAAACCACCACCGCCACCGCCGCTCCCTCCAACTGCAGCATCGACGGCAACGGCTGCCGCTTCCTCAATGATGTCACTGGCCGCTGAGGCTGCCACCGCTTGCAGAGCCTGCATGGTTGACGTTGAGGGTGTGGGCGTGGAGCAAGCTGGCGGCGTAACAATAGCTACCTTACGGCGCTTCAATCGGGGACTCAGTAGCAGGATCAGCGCCTCCTTGGCACTGTGGCTAATGACACTGGCATCGTGCTTGAGAAGATCAATAAAGTACTTCGTCATGCGACCCACCTGGGAGGGATCAGCCAACGCAAATCCGTACATAATCTCCACCAGGCAGTGGACAATAGTCTCCGCCTGGCATAAGCCGCGTCGCACAATATTCGTGGGTTCATCCAACGCCGGGGTAACCTTGTGCAGCTCCAGGACAAAGCTCATGATAGATGGCACAATGTCGTAGTTGTTCTCCTGGCAGATCTTGGCCAGCGACTGCGGACGAGCGTTGGCAATGCCACTCACAAGGAGAATCAGTCGATAGAAAGCCTCTGGGTCGATCTCCTGCAGAGATTCCAGTTTTTCGAGTTTCGGGTGCAGAGCTTGGAGCTCTCCGTGCACAAACTGCAGGAGCACACCATCCTTGTAGCTGTGATACGACGGCCGGCTTCCATAGAGGGTGGCCAGCACATAACGGGCCTGTGTCTGGACTGGATTGGGGGTGGGCAACAGCAGGAGGGCGCTTGCCGTTTTCATAGCCTTTTGACGGATGGCAGCTGGCACTCCGGAGCCCAGCAAGTTCAGGGCGCAGTCCATCACCTCCAGAAGGTGATTCACCATACGATCCAGCTGGGTGATACAATTGAATCCCTCGCCAAAGTTAGCGCTGCTTGCCTGTGTTGAGGGCACGGCCGGCACACTTGATCCCGGTGCAGTCACTTCCTCGGATTCGTCTGGCCAGCCCACCAGCTCCTTGGACTTGCCATAGACCTCGATGCAATCCAGCAATGTCACGTGTTCTGGGTCCTGGGACTTGGCAAAGACTACCTTCAGAATCTTGTCCGACTGGAACATCTCCTCTCGGGTCAGCGGTATGTCGAACCAGCGGGCGCGCCTCACTGGCGTGGGTACAGTTCGTCCCAGAATGGTGACCGATAGCGGTGCTCTCTGCACATCCTGGGTGCCTATCAACACCCTGATGCCCACGATAACCACATTGGGATCGTTGTTGATCACTTCCAGGGTGAAGCCATTGGCTCGCGTGCTAGCCACAAACATGCCTGTGGAGAAGAGCCGCGTTTTTAGTTTCTGTTTGTTGTAGATCTGGAGTAGATCGTTCCCGCCAAACTCCACATCGGCTAGCATATTGCAGTGCTCAAAGAAGTCGATGGGGAACACGGGTAGTCCGCCGGCCGTCAGTTGTTTCTGCTGCTGGCTCGCCTTGCGGGTCAGCTTGCCGGGACCAGCACTGGATTTGGGCTTCGCACTGACACCACATCCGCCTCCCTTCACCATCAGTGTGGATGAGTAGAGTTGGTTGCCAAAGGGTTGGACCTGAGGCGACAGCCAGAAGCTAGTGTGTTCCGGCTGGGCGGAGAAGATTCTCAGACTTCCGTCCTCGCATAGCAGCAACAGTGTGGTCTTCTCAACGCCGGCCACAGCATGTCGGATGCCCACCACGTCCATAATGCGCGACTTTGCCGACTGCGCCTTTATCTCCTGCAGGTATATCCGTTCCGGCGTAAGCATTAGAATAATCGGGTTGTTTGATGTCTGCATGCTGGCGTAAACTAGTCCCGGATGCCCGGCCACCTCAGTCCACTGAACCAGCGGCTGGAGGGGTCCTTTCGAGGCAGACTTGCTGGCCGAGTTGGTATCAAGATGATAGATGCCCTTCACGCCGTCATTCACATTGGTGAGCGGAGAGAAGAAGCTCCTGCCCGAGGAGTAGCTGTAGAATAGCAGCTGCATGGTGTGGGAGTAGTAGATGGAAACTCCCCCGCCGCCGACTTGGCCATTGACATCCTTAATGTGCTGGTGACTCAGCTCCAGAGTATTGGTGACATAGAAGTCTCCATGCACCGCCAGGCTCTGCTGGTCCAACTGCTGGGTGTAAATGTATCCGGAGCTGGCAAAGCTCAACATGTAGTACTGTCCATCCTGGTACATGAACGTGCAGTCCCGGATCTTGCCCAATGCGACGAGGTAGTAGTACTTCGGGCTGTACGAATCCACAGCCAGATCGTAGATCTTCACATAATCCGAGGTGACGAGGGCCAGGAGAGTCTGCGAGCCGGGCAGCCAGATCGCCTTCTTGATATAGTTTCCATTCTCCAGTTGCGGACTTACCACAATATGTTCGTTTGTGCTGCCGCTGCTGGAAAAGGTGAGCACGTGACACTCCTTCAGACCGCAAACGGCTAGGCAATCCTCATTGCAGGGATTGGCGGCCAACGAGAGCACCGTGCATGCTATGGGAGCGGAACTCAGCTGGGTAAGAGTCAACTTGCGCTTTGAGGCATCGGCCTGCTTGAGCAGCGCAGAGAGCTGAAGGATGGTCACTTTGCCCTTCTCATGAGACACTGCCAGTTGCTGACGACGTCCGTGTGGTGAGGAAAGACAACAGAAGGCCACGCGACGCACCACTCCGGATGATATCAGATGCTTGATGGTCTGGCCCTGATCTCCCGAGTAGTTCATCCGCACGTTCTCGAAGGCACCCTCCTGGGAGCCCAGGGTAGCAAACATAAGTTGATCCGTGACTTGAAAGCTTTGCTCTAGCTGATGGAGCCGCTCTAATGCCGCCGTTGCTCTCTTATGGCATCCCACGATGGAGTAGAGGGTACAGTTCTCCCGGATCGACGGTAATAGTAAATCAAAGTACTCCAGAATGCAGCGAACAACCAGCAGCCATTGCTCCTGATGCTGAAGTGTCTCTCGATACGGTTCTAGGAGCTTACTTAACACAGCAATTCTTTCACTGTTCAAGGAATCCTTGCGAGCAGCCGACACTTGCTGCATGGCGGGTGGGCTACTCCTCTTCTTGCCTGCCAGGAGGCTCATATGAGAGGGCAAGTAGCTGGCCACTCCGGCCGAATCTCTCACCTCGCCGCTACCAAGACGCCGGCTCAGTGCTTGGCACGACCCGTCCTCCTTGGCTCCGCAGTCGCAGAAGAAGTTGCCGTACTTGGCATAACTTACATCGTGTCCCTTGTGGCAGACCCGAGCGCAGACAGAGCACACGCCCACCGTGTTAATCATGTTGCAGGTGTGGCAATGGTACCAGTGCTGGTTCATGAATTCCTTCTGCGTCTGCGAAAAGGTACAAAGCTTGTTGTTAAGCGTATCCTCGTCGGAGTCATTGTCCAGCAACGAGTCCTGTTCCCCTTCCTCGGCCAGCTCATCGTACAGTTCGTCCAGATCGGTCTGCAGCTCATCATCCCAGGGCGGAATGTGTTGCCGGCTTCCGCGGTAGCCGATGCTCTGCAAGAGTTCGCTGAGGTAACGCAGCAGGGCGCTGACATTCTCCGCGTGCCTCAGCTGCTTATCCGGTAGCTGCTGTTTTTCTAGCTCCAGCCACAGGACCGTGGTATTGAACAATGCCGCATGACCGCGTGCGGGAATGGCATCCGCCAACGTAATCATTATCTGGAGCACATCCGCAAAGTCGCAAGCATCCTGGGGCGGGGATATTAAAGTCTGTCCCAGCTGCAGCAATGCCTGGAACAGGGGCGGCGCTATTTGCGCCGCCTTGCTCTGATCCTTAACCAAGGATTTCACAAAGCTCAGTAGGAGCGCTCCATTTCGTTCAGTTCCCGAGTGCTCACAGCATGCTTGTGAAGATTCCTCCGAAGGATTCGGCTGCGCAGCCTGCCACAGGCTCAGGATCTGCGATGTATTGGCACCACCAGCGCCTCCGGCACCGGTTCCGCTTTCTCCACCTCCGCCTGCTGCCGTTCCGCAGTCGTAGTCAATTTCCATGGCATCCAGCTGATCGGAGATACTCGGCATGGCAGAAACTGTGGCCATATTGGTGGGAGTCTGGGCATTGCTGCTGGAGCTGCTGGAGGGCTGCATGATGCTGGTCAGCAGGCGGCAGGTGGTGTCCATTGCCTCAGATGTGCTCACTTCCGTACTCACATTGGGCCCGTAGATGATGTGGGCCAACCAGAGCTTTAGACGTGCCACATCGACGGTGGCCAGCTCCGAGAAGCATTCGACTAAATCGTCGTGCAAGAACTGGGAGTCCGCTTGCGAGGACTGCTGGAACAGGCGCTCAACGAACTGCAGCATCTTGCGAGCGTAGCTGACGGGTAGACTGGTTCCAGTAAAGGAGAGCAGGAGGGTGGTGAGGCTTCCCGATTTCTGATCCTTGAAGAACTGCCGCATAGCCTGCATCCCAGTCGGTTTATCCACCATCTTGATCATAGTCTTGAGCACTGCAAACAGCATGGACTCATTGAACATTGCGCGCTCCTGATCTAGCGGCGGTGCTGTCTGGCGAAGATCGGCTGCGAAGTCCTTAAGCATGCGATAGCAATAGCCAATCATATGCTCATAGAGCAGCAGTTTCTGGGCCTCCAGGGTCAACCCGCTGAGAATCTCTCGCAGACACTGCTCGCTCTGTCCCTGCAGATAGTCGGTTCGCATGTCTAGCATGGAGGCAATCAGCAAGCCTTTCAACTGCGACTCCATCTCATTGTTGCTATGCGAGCAATGTGGCAGAAGGAGCTCAAATAAGTGCAGGATAGATTTGAGGCAGTGCTTTAGGGTGTGAAGCGTTGAGTAGTTGGCGCCACGCGTCAGCTCCATAATATGTGCGTCTATCACGTTCAGGGTATACGGTTCCACGGGAAACTGCTTGCCGTCGAAAGCGGAATCGTTGACCATGAGGCACTTGGGCCACTCGTTCGCAATCAGTTGCTTGTCCTCATTCGGGAGGAGCTTGAGAAACGCTGCATGCAGCTCTAGCATAATCGCGGGCTTATCACTCACAATGGGGACGATCAGATTAAGAGCTTGCTCCGGCGTCGAGCTGGACAACTGTTTCAGCATCTGGCCGCGTACAATGACCGAGAGCAGGCGGTAGGAGTTCATTAGCTTAAGCATAAGCTCGTTCACTAATTGGTTATGTTTTTGCAGATCACTTGGTAGTTCGCTTTCCTCTTCCTGCTGTGCCTTTTCATCATCGATGGACTCGTTGGAAGAGTAAACATCGGCATCGTTGCTCGAGGCTGCAGCTCCTGAAGAGGACTGATCGCTTGATATTTCATCGGTTTCTCTGCGCGGCAGTTTCAAGCCCTCCTTGCTAGCCCAGGCTACGGCCTGCATGTGAGCCACCAACGAATCAAACAAGATGAGATCGGAGAGGCGAGGAGTACCTAACGGAAGAATGTATTAATAGAGTCTTGTTAAGTTCAACAATAGGTTAAAGTGTATTACCATTGCCGTTCATCTGAGTATTGAACGCTTCGACGCCAAGTATGGTCTGCTTGAGACTATACTTTAAGTCACCCGCAATGTCACCAACCTCCCTCCACAGCGTTTCCGAGTACTGGGTGTACATGCCCTGCTTAATTAGGCTGTTTACCACCAGATAGTGCGAGGTGGCCAATGGACAGCGTATGCTCCAAATCAACGAGTGCAAGTTGGGTGCTGGCTCTACTTTCAGTGACTCCACATGCGAGGTGGAGGGCGGCAGACCCAAAATCAGCTTCCAGGCGATGCTAAAGCAGTACTGCATCGCACACAGACTCTGCATATTCGCATCCTTGGCCTCTTTGTCCTTTGTAAACGCCGACATGTCGACAATCGAGAGAATATCCGTGAGGGCATCCACTAGCAGAGGATACTTAAGTTTGTCCGGAGTGCAGAGAATAAAGTTCCAGGCCAAGCCATCCAATTTAAACTCCTGTGCCCAGTAAGGCTTTTCGGGATCGGCCATGACCAACGTGTAGAATGTGGGACGAATTGCTGAGATTATTCGATTAAATAGGATTCATTCTCTAGACTGTTGAAGACTTACCAGATCCATATTCCCCCGCTGACTTCCGGAACCTCTCCTCGATGTCCTGACGGAAATACAAGTTTAACTTGGTGCGACTATTAAGCAAATCGGTGATCTTCTGCGTTTCTGGCATACTGCTCACGCTGAACAAATTCCACCGAACTTGATCGAGCAGTTCCGGCGGTGCGTTGTATAAGTGTTTCATCAGATACTCCAAGAACAGCAGCAGCCGCGACAGCAGCATCATCTGGCTGTTCTTCACGGGTCGATCTCCGCTGATGCCGCGACAAACCTCTGCGCAGCGTATTACGCCGCCGGCTGTCAGCAACAGGATCGACTTCTTTTGCATCAGGTTGAGAGAGTGGAAGAGGAAGAGGAGCAGCTGGGCGTGCTCAATGTTCAGATCCTCGTAGTCAGTATAACTAGCGGCCGACCAGTTACAGACTCCCTCGACGAGGGTGTTGATAAGACGATGCCACACGGACAGGCAGGCGGCCTCCTTCTCCTGGGTGGGCTTCAGGAGCAGGATTTGGACCAGCACAGAAAGGGTACTGGGGTAGACCTGCAATGGCCAGGTGCTAGTATCCGTTGACCAGGGCGAGATGGCCAAGTGCTGCAGCAAATTGGACTGCAGTTGTTCGGACAGCAGTGAAGTGGAGATCAGATTATGGATGTATCTACCAGCAGAGCCCGAAAATCGAATCATAGCCGTTTGCCACTTGGTAGTTGCTGCTGCAGAGGAACCCGCTCCCGCACTGGCCGCTGGAGTATTCCCCGAGCCCTGCTCGCTATCATTTCGCATCACATCCCTGTCAAAGTCCTTGATTATATTGGCCATTAGGAGCATTTGCTGATCGCTGACGCCTGCTTTCACATAGCGCTGCATGTAGGCGTGCTTATTGGCCAGAAATTCGTCCAGGAAACAGAATATATCTGCCGCCAAGTCCAGATATTCATGGGGCTCATCCAGCTTGGGGACAAGCGAACTCTTTTGCTCTCCTCCGCTCCTCTCTTGGGCAGATGTATTGGCGTTGTCGTCATGTGTTTCCGGGGAGAGTGTCTCTTTGAACCAATGTCCCAAGTAGCTTTCACTATCGTCCTCCTCGGAGTTGTCAGAGCAGGAAAGCGAGTCGTTAAAGTAGGTGGTTGAGTCCGAATAGCTGATGGGCTCACATTCCGCGCGATCCTTTGCGGACGCTCGTCTTTGAGTGCAGGCCTTGCGGTAGGCAACCGTGGCCAAGAAGGTGAAGAGCTGGTGCAACGTGGCGGTATTCAGTACTCTCACAATCCTCCCCAGCGAACTATAGCTCTGCAGGATGTCGAATTGTGCCGGCGCCGGCAGCTCAGTGGACTCGGGATTCGGTCCACAGGCGGACTCAATCTTTAGATCTTCAATTAGTTCCGAAAGCAGTTTGATGCTGTGGTTAGCAATGGCCGCATTGAGCTCCCCAAATCCCTGCTGCACCTTGAAGAGATTGACCCTGGCTATGGGTGTACTTGGAGCTGTCGCCTCGTTTCCAGACTTGGCCGTTTTCGTTGCTGATTTTGATGAGGTGTCTCCGCCACTCCCGGAGGCACCCATGGCCCCTTGGATGCCACTGATAAGCAGCCAGCTGCCGTAGCACAGATGATTTTGATACACATGCATGCGGGCCGACGACTTGAACAGGTCTCCGATGGCAGAGTAGATCTCCAGAGCTTTGCTCACTATACTGCAGGCCTGCTCCTCGAAGTCGTCATGGTCCTTGTTACTCTGTCCAGTACTCGAGCCTCCCCCTCCGCCACCGCTTCCCTGGCTGGTGGAAGCAGCACTCTGTTTCTGGGAGCTGCTACTCGTTTGACACATGCTGAGCACACTGGCGGTTATAGATACCAACACAGCATTGTACAGTGCAGCGATACCGCAACTCGAAAACCGTTCAATTCGACTGGGAGTGAGCGGCTGAAGCACTATCAAAGCATGAGCCTGACTCAATATATTGAGATCGGTGAGCATGTGGTTCATGGTCGATTTCACTGTGGTGGCCTCCACTTGCGTCAGTGGCAGGTAGAGCGGCTTGCCGCCATTAATGGTCTCTAGATATTTGGAGCGATAGCGATTCAGTATAGGAAGGCCTACACATACGTCCAGCAAGGTGTCGACTCCATTCTGTTCCTGAAAGTACTCCACGTTGGCCGCCAAAAGTTGGTCCTGTAAAACAAATGTTTAAATTACGTTTTTATGAATATTCTTATTGAAAAGCTCACAGTGCAGTCAGTGACCTCCTCGCTTAGCGGCACCCAGGTCATCTTTCCCGGCTCTAGTGGAGCCAGCAGTTGCTGTAGGATCACAGAAGATAGATCAGACCGCGATCGCTTTATCTCCAGTTTAGGTGACTCCTTGTCCGCATTGCCGCCCGTACCGCTGGACGAGCTGCTGCTACTGCTTGGCAGGATACTTTTGCTGGTGGTCGACTCTGGATGCTTGCAACTCTTTAGAACGGTGGCCACCGCATTGTAGTCGAACATAACCGAAGACATGGAGACGTTCTCCCTGCCCTCGCAAAGCATCTTGAGTGCCACCAGCAACCACTTGGTCTCGTACACCGAGACACGAGGCAACCGGTAGATGATGAAACGGATAAGAACCGCGGTGGCATCGTGCAGTTGGCAAATTTGCGTCTGGCAAACTGCAAACAAAGCAAAGGAAAAACAAATATTTTTATACACATATATGTACGTATATATATATAAACTGCACACATATATGTTTAAACATATATCGTGTATCGGTGGGAGTGAATCACTCTAGGATTGGTCATTTCTTGGCCAAAGCCAAACAATGCCTTGTGGCTGGGATCGCTCTATGCTCTCTTCTCTTCTCTTTCCCTAGCGAAAAATCATTAGGGGTGCTGCTGCACTTACTCGTCTTTATTTGCATAAGCTTGTCGGCCGCCAGAGCTGCAAAGGCCGTGTAAAACTGGGTGTAACTGCTTTCCTCGTCGAAAAAATCATGTTCGCTGCAGGAAAAACACGGAAGAGCATAGTTAGTTGTTGAAAATGCAGAAATTTTAAAGTTCTTTGCAGTTTTGTCGCCGGGGCGGCCATATTTAATTTTGCAAGTCACTTTTTTTCGTGCACTTTATTTCTCACTGCGCCATTGGGGCAGTGAAAAAGTTTTGGCAAATATTTCTTCGGTCTTACCAACGCGTGATCGCTCTTAGCAGACTAACTACTTCGTTTTTGTTAAGGGCTCCTGTGCGGTTTTGCAGAAGGGCTTTTACCACGAAATTCCAATCCGTTCCGCCGCTGTGAGCCGACATTATTGTTGAAATATTGTCGTCAATTTTTCAGAAAGTACTCGGTCTACGCTTGCTAGTGTGCCCAGATTGGTTTGCCGCAAATATACCACCAACTTGGTGCTCTTAAGCTCATTATTTATTATTTTTTGTTATTTACTTTCTTAATAAAATGAGGATATTGACAATATAAAACTTAGTCGTTATATTTTATTGTCTTTAACAAAATATTCGCTTCTTAGTAAAAACAAATAAACCAATAAAAGACAAAAAGGAAAATGACAAATACAAACTGTCCAAGTTGAAAATCTACAAAAACCCACTATGCGACTCATGCAATTTTGTAGAAGCACAAGAAGTTTTTATATATTTTACTTAAAAACAAAACAATCAATCAATTATTTAAGGAGGAATAATAATTAATTAATAATTGATTGAGCGTCTATAATTTATTTCGTTTGTTCGGCTAACATAAACATGTAATTAATAATTTTGTATCGGTATTTTAAAGGGTTTAATATGAGGGGCCTCATAAATAGAAAGTAAGTAATAAAAAATTAAATAAAATGACACATTTATATTTTTGAATGAATTATTTTTTTCAGTGCATTTAAAAAAGCCCTAACGCATTAAAAATACTGCATTGTCGAACCGGCAATCAACTGTTTTTAGAATTTCGTAGGGCAACACTGTTCACTTCGCGTGCTGATTTGTTTATAATTTTCGGCCATGCAATTCCACTTTAAAATAGCGGACGCTGAACGAGATAGGGACAATGCTGCGGCAACCAGCAATGCCGTTCTCAACCCGCACGCCGCTTTGCAGCCGCAGCAGCCGGTTGCACTGGTGGAACCCAAGGACGCCCAGCACGAGATTCGACTGCAGTTAGTTGACGACATCATTGAATTCGCAAATGAAATTGAACAAATTTGCTAATAATTTGCAGGAATATCGTGGCCACGTTCTCGGTGAACTGCGAACTGGACCTCAAGGCGATCAACTCTCGGACCAGGAACTCAGAGTATTCGCCCAAGCGCTTTCGGGGCGTGATCATGCGAATGCACGCCCCCCGCTGCACTGCTCTAATCTTCCGGACGGGTAAGATCATCTGCACTGGTGCACGCAACGAGATCGAGGCTGATATTGGCTCCCGAAAGTTCGCCCGAATCCTGCAAAAGCTGGGTTTCCCAGTGAAATTCATGGACTACAAGCTGCAGAACATTGTGGCCACGGTGGACTTACGTTTCCCCATCCGCCTGGAGAACCTCAATCAGGTACACGGCCAGTTCAGTTCTTACGAACCTGAGATGTTTCCCGGCCTCATCTATCGCATGGTCAAACCTCGTGTCGTGCTCCTAATCTTCGTCAACGGCAAGGTCGTCTTCACGGGGGCCAAGTCGCGCAAGGACATAATGGACTGCCTGGAGGCCATCTCGCCCATTCTGCTTAGTTTTCGCAAAACGTAGGAAGATTTGTTGTATACTTTAGTTTTGTTAAATTAGTTTAGGTCTTTTGCGAACAACTTGATTATTTATATGCGTAAAAATACGGACATAAATGTTTAATTTTTTTAAAGACAGCTATTACCCTTAGTTTTCTAATTATTAAATCCAATGATTTTTTAAAGAATCAAGAGTTTACACAAAATATTATAATATTTTGCATATACATGAATTTTAGACTGTTTCGCCCCATTTATCTATTATGTATATAAAATAAAGCGTTTTATAATACCCATTATATGAAATATTAAAAGCTTCCAATGCATTTATAACCATTTTGTTTCATTAAAACCAGAGCTTCATTGTTATAATGCATTTAAGCACGCAGCTCGTTAGAAACATCATCATCCATTGACTCAGTGCTAATGGTTTTGAAAGCACTAAATCTTAATAACTTAAATTCAGTTAAGAATATGTTGCGAGCTGCAATAAAAACACCAGACATAAACATTACTTTAGTTTATTTTCACGTTTCGTTCGTTACAAGAGAAAAACACAAGTTACCTTCATAAAGAGATTCGATTCTTATGGTAAACGAGGGGACGGATTCTGAGTTAAATACAGACGAGCGTAAATACTCGATTCTCTCCGGCTTCATGTACATGGCTATGTGTGATTTATATGCAGAATATACAAACTATTTGTGGATCGTGTGGAGAAGGACGTAGAGGGTAAAATACGTATAAAACTTACAGACTATGCAGATTCATTTCAGTTGCATAAATAGATTGGACGGTTCATTCAACGTTTCTCGAGCTTCTCTTTGTTTAAAATTAATCAAGAGAGGATATAAGTATATAAAGTAGGTATAAATTTTCATTCGATATGCAAGACACATTTGCTAACGATTTCTAAAATCTATTAAAGGCATTTTGTGAAAGACACATTGTTTGTTTGTTGATTCGTTTCTCTCATACCCGCTCTATGATAGGGCATAGTATGCTCCTTCTTTCCATCTGACTTACAAAATACATATTAGGTGGCTACATCATGTGGTCTGCTTGGTGCAGCAATTCAAATACAAATTAATTCTCGTTCAACTGCTGCTTTGTACATATTCTTGATCATACAGCGCGGGTCTAGCGACAAAAACTAAGAAAAAAAAACCAAAATGTTGACCAGCATTTTTGGACGGAATGCAATTTCGTTGGCAAACTAAAAAAAATCTACAACTCAAAGCTATAAAATCAAAAACACAAAAATTAAACACGCAATAGATGAACATAAAAAACACTAAAGATCCTAGAATTGTGTTTCGTGGGCGGTGACTTTGTGAGAATTTCCTTCTATCTTTCCTATGTGAGCAGTTGCAACATGTTTAGGACCAGATGCGTACGACTCCGCAGCAGGTAGATAAACACGCTGAAGAACAGCAGGGACATGGACATGGAGGCGCGCCAGCCCATGTTGTAGATGGAACAGTACGGGCACTGGGAGCTGCCGCACACCTCGCAGATGTTCAGCAAATAAGTGGGCAAAGCATCGAATATAGATTCGTTGAAGCGCTCTGTAATTACATTTTTAACGGATTAATATTTATATATAAAAGATAAAACAGTAGTCTTACCAGGCGCATAGTAATCGTAGACGCGTACTGGCAAATAGCGAGACATATTGGCCACTGGGAACCATCGTTCTATGGTAAAGTTTACGCAGATATCTTCCCGATCAAGCTGTTAAAATAGAAAATCCAGTAAAATAAGAGGTTCTTACAAGAATCACATTGATCTTACGTAGTCAAAATAGAAGACAATCTTGCGCTCCAGATAGCGAGCCCTTCTCAGGTTCCGCACGCGATTGCTTAGCACATAACTGTCCAATTTTTGCTGCTGTATCCAATAGCCAGTGGGTATGGCCACATCCAAAACGGCCATGCCCGATCGCTCCGATTCATTGCCGTTTATCCAGCTAAAAAAGACAAGAACATATTATTAATATTTGTACGATTTTTCAGGGATCCAGGATAACTTACTTTTGGCAGGCCACGTAGGAGATGTGCGACTGATTCCTGCCATGGAAGATGGCCTTGGTGTGCAGGCCAAAGGCTGGCACTGGTGGCTTGGTCTGGAATTTCTCAATGTCCACATTGTACTGGACATGCATCTGAAGAATGGCATAGCCAGCGCCCTTGGCTTGTACCTTGATGGTGCCCCAGGCATCAGGAATCTGCAAAATATAAGGTTGGCAATAAGAAATCTATATACTTTTATCTAAGATAGTTGTGATTCTCACCTCGATGCTCTGAAGCTTGGCCAGATTAGTGTCATCGATGTGCAGTGTCTGGGTTTTTCCACCCTGCGAGGAAGCCTCGATTTCCACTGTCAGCGAGGACACCTCGCGCAATCTCGAACGCACGGTGTACTCCACAAGTGCCTTCAGGGCCGCACTGGTATCCTGGGTGGAAGCCCATCCGCCATCGTTCAAACGTTGCGAGTTCAGCCACCGCACGATGGGATCTACGAAGAACTCACGACGCGCCACATACACCAATAGGGCATAGGCAGTGGTCTCGATGTTCAGCGAATCGTACTCGTATGGGAGGCGAGGAAGAGAGAACCACTTTTGATTCTCCAGCTTGCGCGGCGGTTGCGGAATCTCCTGATTACCCCAGTACATAAAGTCACCGATGGTTCTCGCCTGTCGTCGAAGAATGGAGAATACCTCCTCGGCGATTGGTGAATTGCAGAGCTGCAGGGCGTATGCTGTAATGGCCACATCATAAGCCTCCGCTTGGCGCTTCAGGAAGTCCATATTCCTCTCGATGTAGGCCACCGCTCTTTGTGTGGCCAATGCCACTCGAGATCCCAGGGTGCCGGATATATCCTTCACAGTTGCCAAGGTGATGAGTACGTGCGAGGTTAGGGTGATGTTCTTGTCGAAGTTGGTGCGGTTCATCTTCCTGTCCGGCAACCATGTGACCTCGTAGAAAGATCCCTGTGGCGTCTGGTGCTGCAGGAGCCAGCGCATGTTCTTCTCAATGATGGTGGCATCGATCCAGATAAAGTTCTCCCACTCGTAGAAGCTGGCCTCCTGGAAGACGCGCAGGCAGTAGCTGGTTAGCCAGACAGACGAATCCGAGTTGTTCCAATCGGAGCGGAAGAGCGAGAAACTGCCGTCCTGTCGCATAAAGCTCAATTGCCGCTGGTATCCAATATTCATGTGGTAGAAGGCATTCTTTTCCAACGTTTTGTTCCGCTGGTTGATCAAGCGCATATACATGATGGTGTAGAGATTCGCGGCGAAGCTGAAGGCGTTCTGCTCTCCAGACTCCATTGGCAGGTACAACAGCGAGCTGGCATTCACGGGCATCGTGGGGAATATGGGACCCACCACATCGCCCACCACGGAAATCCTGGCTCTGTTAGAGCCATAGACAAAGTACCGATCCACCTGGTAGGGAATCTCCGGTGTTTGCGTCACATTCACGTGCATGTACTCCAGTACATAGGCACGATTCGAGAGATCAAGAAGAACGGACTGGTGGCGGTACTGCGGCAAGCCATCCGACTCCACATGGAGCCGCCGGATAATGGTGTCTGTTCCCAGGAGAGTGGCTACATGCAGGGTTACGTCCACATCACCCAACCTCTGCGGCACTACGGGCACATAGACCACCGTCGTACCTTGGGCCTCTAGGTAGATGAAGAACTGATGTTCACCGAAACTAGTCCTGGGATTGTAGGATCTCACGATGCCATCCTCCTCCACGTGCACGAACTTGTAGTCTGGACTGCCGTGAAGCACCACCGTGGCCTCGATGGGCGTGGTCATGTAGTTGAATACCGTCACACGGATGCCCACTTGCTCGCCCTGCCTGCAGGCCTCCGGCATCTCCACATTGATAAAGAAGGGCTGCACGCCAACATACTCCAGAGCTTTGTTGATCATACCGAAGCCCTTGGAGGGACTGACGCTGAAGGCACTCACCATCCAGTATGCTGGGCGATCTGGCACATCCACATTGAAGATGTATCGACCGTGTGGCCCGATGTTCACATCCCGCCAGAGCCAAACGTTCTCGTAGTGGCGTAGAACGCGATTGAATCTGTACTTTCTGTAGTTCAATAGCTCCGTGTCGTTCCTCACATGGCAACCGATCTCGTCTGTTCCATCGTCGCAGTCGAACAGCCCGTCGCACTGCTTTTCCAGTCGATAGCAGCGCCCGCTCAAGCACTCACCGTAGCCGAGGGTGCGGTTACACGTGTCCTGCCTGCGGGGCACATAACCATCTGTGAAAACTATCAGGCCGCTGTACTCGAAGGTGCGATTCGCGTCTATGCCGAAGGAGGAGGCGGGGAAGTACACCAGCTCGTCCGGATTGCCCTCGTGCGAGTACCAGATGTGCTTGTAAGTTCCGTTGGTCTGCTCGTCAAAGTTCGACATCTTGGTGATGATCTTGGCGTAGGTGAGTTCATTGCCCGCCTGCATCGTGTAGAAGGCACTGTCGATGCCAGAGAGACCCACGTAAGAGCCGGGCTCGCCAAAGATGGCTACTTCAACCTTCTCGCCCGTGCGTGCTTTTCGATTGTTGATGTACACAGTGAAGTTGTTTCTCGAGATGCCGTTGACGGGGAATGTGAGGGAATCGGCTACTACTTGCCCTTGCTGGTTAATCTTCCACACAACCAGAGTGGCCACCGGTGCCATTTCGGAGCTAAGCACCACAGCTATGGTCTTGATGCCTTCCGTGATGGTCTCACGATCGTTGACCAGTATAACGCCCTTGGACATGATGAGATAATTGAACTCCTCAAGGTAGAAATTCGTCCGAATGTGGAAAATGATGTACTCCCCAACCACCGGCTTCTCTGTGCTGGTTGTGACCTTTATGTGCTGATTCCTGGGGGAGTAGTGGGACACTAGGAGGAGCTCCGTTTGTATGCGTTCACCACGCGGATTCACAAAGTTCGCCTGCAATCGCATGTTCTGGATGCCATTCAAGAAATCCCTTGATTGTGCCCTATCGTCCAGGTTTAAATCGTTCCTAATATCGATCTTTACCTCCCAGATGCCGTCACTCTGCTGCGACATCTGCAACCGCTGAGCGGGCCAGTCTCTCCTGCCGCCACTGCGGCTTTCCACAAAGCCACTGACCTCCATTAGCCCCTGGCGCAGCAGGTTTGGATCGATTGGTGAACCGTCATGGTATTCCACCGCCAAGTAAGTGGTGAACGGCATGGCGGGCTTGAAAACCTGCGGGGACTCTCCCAGGAAAGACACCCTCAGGCTGGAGTT